CATTGTTATGGCTCAGACCGATCCCTGAAAGCTTGACTAGCACATAACTTTTTGATTTTGTTTACCCTCTATCTTTTATACTTTGGTTTAGTTTTATATCTACAGCTGCTCGGCAGGTCTACGGGTAGTATCAAAATTGAAACAAAGGTGTATGTCATAAATCAATGAATATTTCATAACTGACTATAATCAAAACGGAGTTTCGTTTGATCAATTTGACTATCATTATATAGGCCTAATGACGCGATTGCCAATTGACGTAAGAAACGCCATAAATTATACCGGGAAAGAATAAAGATGAACATTGCAATATAAATATTATTTAACATCTTTCAAATAACGTGTCTTTAATTGTGAGCATTCCAAACCATACAGTAATTCGCAATAGTAATAGAATGGCATATGATAGCACGATCAATGCGTCTCTATTAAATTTAAAAAAATATAATTTAGGCCCCTATGTGTGAAATATTCTTTGATTGACTATGAGCATTCCATACGAATGAGTTAATTCGCAAAATATAGCAACAACAAAAGAGAAAGGAAAAAGAGAAAATTCCTCTACCCTAAAAACTGGAAAAATAATTTGTTTTAAAAAAGTCAAATGGGACACTTCATGGGCGTGAGAAAGGAGGTCTGTTCCGGGGACAGCATATCAAAAACTGTCTACGGAGCAATAAATTCTTTGAAGCCCTATGCCGGCCTCAAATGAATTTTGCTAAAAATGCAAGGTTCACCCCTTACAATTTGAAATTTTTCATAAAAATCTGATATTGCCCAGTTTTGCTAAAAAAGCAAGATTCACCCCTTATATCTGGAATTTTTCAGAAACATCTCATTTTGCCCAATTTTACTAAAAATGCAAGGTCAACCCCTTACAATTTTAGATTTTTTATAAAAATCTGATATTGCCCAATTTTGCTAAAAATGCAAGGTTCACCCCTTACAATAAGACATTTTTAATAAAAATCTGATATTGCCCAGTATTGCTAATAAAGCAAGGTTAACCCCTTACATCTGGAATTTTTGAGAAACATCTAATTTTGCCCAATTTTGATAAAAATGCAAGGTTAACCCCTTACAATTTGAAATTTTTCATAAAAATCTGATATTGGCCAGTTTTGCTAAAAAAAGCAAGGTTCACCCCTTACATCCGGAATTTTTCAGAAATATCTAATTTTGCCCAATTTTACTAAAAATGCAAGGTCAACCCCTTACAATTTTAGATTTTTCATAAAAATCTGATATTGCCCAATTTCTGCTAAAAATGCAAGGTTAACCCCTTATTATTTGTAATTTTTCATTAAAATCTGATATTGCCCAGTTTTGCTAAAAAAAGGAAGGTTAACCCCTTACATCTGGAATTTTTCAGAAACATCTCATGTTGCCCAGTTTTGCAAAAATGCAAGGTTAACCCTTTACAATTTAAGATTTTTCATAAAAAAAAGGATTTTCCCCAGTTTTGCTAAAAAAAGCAAGGTTAACCCCTTACATCTGGAATTTTTCAGAAACATCTCATGTTGCCCAGTTTTGCTAAAAATGCAAGGTTAACCCCTTACAATTTTAGATTTTTCATAAAAAACTGATTTTGCCCAATTTTGATATCAATGCAAAGTTAACCCCTTACAATTAGAAATTTTTCATAAAAATCTGATATTGCCCAGTTTTGCTAAAAAAGCAAGATTCACCCCTTATATCTGGAATTTTTCAAAAACATCTAATTTTGCCCAATTTTACTAAAAATGCAAGGTCAACCCCTTACAATTTTAGATTTTTTATAAAAATCTGATATTGCCCAATTTTGCTAAAAATGCAAGGTGAACCCCTTACAATTTGAAATTTTTCATTAAAATCTGATATTGCCTAGTTTTGCTAAAAAAAGCAAGGTTCACCCCTTACATCTGGAATTTTTCAGAAACATCTAATTTTGCCCAATTTTACTAAAAATGCAAGGTCAACCCCTTACAATTTTAGATTTTTCATAAAAATCTGATATTGCCCAATTTCTGCTAAAAATGCAAGGTTAACCCCTTATAATTTGAAATTTTTCATTAAAATCTGATATTGCCCAGTTTTGCTAAAAAAAAGCAAGGTTAACCCCTTACATCTGGAATTTTTCAGAAACATCTCATTTTGCCCAGTTTTGCAAAAATACAAGGTTAACCCTTTACAATTTAAGATTTTTCATAACAAAAACAGATTTGGCCCATTTTTGATAAAAATGCAAGGTTAACCCCTTACATCTGGAATTTTTCAAAAACATCTGATTTTGCCCAATTTTGCTGAAAATGCAAAGTTAACCCCTTACAATTTTAGATTTTTGATAAAAATCTGATATTGCCCAATTTTGCTAAAAATGCAAGGTTCACCCCTTACAATAAGAAATTTTTAATAAAAATCTGATATTGCCCAGTATTGCTAATAAAGCAAGGTTAACCCCTTACATCTGGAATTTTTGAGAAACATCTGATTTTGCCCAATTTTGATAAAAATGCAAGGTTAACCCCTTACAATTTGAAATTTTTCATAAAAATCTGATATTTGCCAGTTTTGCTAAAAAAAAGCAAGGTTCAACCCTTACATCCGGAATTTTTCAGAAATATCTAATTTTGCCCAATTTTACTAAAAATGCAAGGTCAACCCCTTACAATTTTAGATTTTTCATAAAAATCTGATATAGCCCAATTTTGCTAAAAATGCAAGGTTAACCCCTTATTATTTGAAATTTTTCATTAAAATCTGATATTGCCCAGTTTTGCTAAAAAAAGCAAGGTTAACCCCTTACATCTGGAATTTTTCAGAAACATCTCATGTTGCCCAGTTTTGCTAAAAATGCAAGGTTAACCCCTTACAATTTTAGATTTTTCATAAAAAACTGATTTTGCCCAAGTTTGATATAAATGCAAGGTTTGAAATTTGAAATTTTTCATAAAAATCTGATATTGCCCAGTTTTGCTAAAAAAAGCAAGATTCACCCCTTATATCTGAAATTTTTCAGAAACATCTAATTTTGCCCAATTTTACTAAAAATGCAAGGTCAACCCCTTACAATTTTAGATTTTTTATAAAAATCTGATATTGCCCAATTTTGCTAAAAATGCAAGGTTAACCCCTTACAATTTGAAATTTTTCATTAAAATCTGATATTGCCTAGTTTTGCTAAAAAAAGCAAGGTTCACCCCTTACATCTGGAATTTTTCAGAAACATCTAATTTTGCCCAATTTTACTAAAAATGCAAGGTCAACCCCTTACAATTTTAGATTTTTTATAAAAATCTGATATTGCCCAATTTTGCTAAAAATGCAAGGTTAACCCCTTACAATTTGAAATTTTTCATAAAAATCTGATATTGCCTAGTTTTGCTAAAAAAAGCAAGGTTCACCCCTTACATCTGGAATTTTTCAGAAACATCTAATTTTGCCCAATTTTACTAAAAATGCAAGGTCAACCCCTTACAATTTTAGATTTTTCATAAAAATCTGATATTGCCCAATTTCTGCTAAAAATGCAAGGTTAACCCCTTATAATTTGAAATTGTTCATTAAAATCTGATATTGCCCAGTTTTGCTAAAAAAAAGCAAGGTTAACCCCTTACATCTGGAATTTTTCAGAAACATCTCATTTTGCCCAGTTTTGCAAAATACAAGGTTAACCCTTTACAATTTAAGATTTATCATAAAAAAAAACATATTTGGCCCATTTTTGATAAAAATGCAAGGTTAACCCCTTACATCTGAAATTTTTCAGAAACATCTGATTTTGCCCAATTTTGCTAAAATATGCAAGGTTCACCCCTTACCATTTTAAATTTTTCAGAAACATCTCATTTTGCCCAATTTTATTAAAAAAGCAAGGTTAACCTCTTACATCTGAAATGTTTTAGAAACATCTAATTTTGCCCAATTTTGCTAAATATGCAAGGTTAATCCCTTACAATCTGAGATTTTCCATAAACATCTGATTTTGCTCGATTTTGCTAATTTGAAATTGCTCCTAAACATTTCCTTTTTTGCCCAATTTTACCTGAAAAGCAAGGCTAACCCCTTACATCTGGAATTTTTCAGAAACATCTGATTTTGCCCAATTCTGCTAAAATATGCAAGGTTAACCCCTTCAATTTTAGATTTCTCATAAAAATCTGATTCTGCCCAATGTTGCTAAAAGTGTAAGGTTAACCCCTTACAATTTCAGATTTTTCATAAAAATCTGATTTTGCCCAATTTCATTACTAACACAGTACATTGTCGTAAAAGTTGGTATCTGAACATTTCTATGCAAAACCCCCTACACCGGGGGTTTGTGTAGAAAATATCAGACGGTTATTTATTACTCCCCATCACGTTCAATTAACTTCGGCAGCGACTGCAAGCCCCATTTGAAAGAAAAAGTTAAGACCGGATCAAGGTACTGTACCAACTCTTACGACAACGTACTGGTATTAAAAAATGGAAATTAGCATTTGGCTAGCGGGCTACCGCTAATTTCGAACTCTGGAAAAACTAACACACACATTTGTACTTCCAATTCTGAGCATTTTGGACGCAATTGGGATCGAAAGTGGCTTTTCAAAGTTTGCCATGTTGTTGAGGGATCGTTATTCAAGATGGCTACTTTTTGGATTTGGAGAAAAATAGGGGTCGTCTTTTTTGGGTGAGAAGTTCTCGAAAATTAAATGGATTAAGTGGGCAACACACCAAAGATTGAAAGATGACATGTTGATCAATTTTTTGTGCAGCTTAAATACCTATGAGAGTTCTGAGTATTTTTAAAAGAATGATCCAACATTGAAAGTAGAATAATTTGTAATATGTGTGTCACTTGTATCTATAACATAAAAGATGGGAGATTTCCAATGTCTTTACTATGACTTGCATGTTTATTGTGGGGGATAAGAGTAACACTAATAATATTAAGGTTACTGATTTTGCCCAATTTCACTATGATTACCATAGAAGAAACTTAAACCCTTGCACAAGAAAAGAAAAGGAATAACTCGCAATTGTCCGATTGCTTCAATCACAGACCGTTTTATTTTCTAACCGAGATTTCAATTGTTCAAAACGCAGGAGGTAAATGCAAAACAAAGTTGAAGTTAAAAAACAAACATAGAATAGATCTTTACAATTAAATGCAATGTCAAGTTGGGTGTGATTTCATTAAAAATGGAAATTCAGAATGGAAACATAAACATCTGGAAAAGAAACCCAATGAAATAGTTGGGAAACAGACAAACATTTTAGAGCTGATCTTTTATAGGAATGATGTAAATAAAGTTACAGATTTTTAAAACCTGTTGATAGCTTTAAAGTTTTGAAAAACAAGCAAGCGTAAACGAAAATGAAAATGGGTTACATGAATGCAAGATTAACATACTTCAAGAAAATGTACATAATTCGAGAAAATTTACATCATTCAAGAAAAGCTTAAAATATTTTTAGAGAGAGGAGAATGAAATTTCAGAAACAAACACAAAAACGAAAAGAAAAAAAACGAAAAGAAAAAAAACGAATTTTTTTTTTATTTATGTAATCAAATAACTAGCCACCTGAGACTGTATCACATAGAATACAAGTGCATCTGAAATCTTCCTCTAAGTTCCCAACAAAATTATATTCATATACAGACAGTTCAATTTCATCCACTTGAGACATGGTATGTAATTTTGAATTGGAAGTGCAACAGTGCAAACCAACATAAAGTACACTTGATGCATAATCATTATTACAACGTATCTGGAACTTAACGCTTACTGCTATAAATCTGAGGTAAAAAGAGTCAGTTTGCCAAGTTTGTTTGAATCACACAATTTGTACATCCCTGTATATGATTAATTGTGATTACACTGGTACAAATTCTCCTGACAGTGATCAAAAGCACCCGACCTTTCAAAAAGCCAATGGCTGATTACAATAAGGTCATGGCAGAATTTCAAGAAAATTAATCCACCGTACACCGTAAGGAATTCAAGGGGGCGCAATCGGTACTCAAGGGGCCTCTAAAAAGGAGGCACAGCGAACTCCTGCGGTCTGGTCCTCGGTGCAAGTGATGTCAGTGGTGGTAGAGATGCAATCCACCAGGTGTTGCTCGTCGCCAAAACAGCGCACCTTGTCCAGATTGAACGGGAGTTGCTCGGCCACCTGGAAGTGGGAACCTATGAAGGCCCTCTGTGCGATGGGGTAGCCCAGCTGGCTGCATGCTACAAAGGCACCTCCTAGATCCCAGTCGTTGTCACAGACCGTTCCCCATCTGCCATCCTTGTAGACCTCCACGCGTCCCTCTTTCTCTGTCGCTCCACCAACCAGACGGATAGCGCCTTCGCTGGCAGGTAGTTCTTTGCATGGAAAGAAATGAGCAAGAGGTTTTTCTTAATTGCTGATCATTGGGAACCATTCACTCAGAAGCATGGTGATGGAAAAGGGTAACTAAAAGCGAAATATCATAGTGGAAATGAGTGGAACACCATGCTGTATTCTGCATGGGCCGTGGTACGATATTAGGTTATGATGCAAATGTTTGTCAATTAATGAAAGGTTTACAGCGCATGGCCAGCTCTATGACGTTCAAATCACTGATAACCCATTGGAAAGAATGTAATCCCATCCAAGATTATTCAAAGAAGGCTTACTGAGGCGTTGAGGTCAACGCATGCAAAGACCAAATTCTTAATGAATGAACTAAAATTTGCAACACTGTATGACTTGAATTCAAAAAAAAAAAAAAAGTTTAGGAATTTCCCAATAATATATGCATATACAATTAGCATGAGTCAGACAGAAAAAGGTGGCAAACTTTTCAGACCATCACATTGTCATCACATAGCACTTGTCTGCTTAGATTTCCAAGTCTAATTCCTACCTGTCTCGCAGACAACTCCGACATCCTCGGGGTGCCCACAGTCATTCACTTCCCATCCAGCAAACGGACAGTCGGCTAAGGCAGCCTCCTCCCCAACACACTGCACGTCATCCATCCAAATCTTTTCAAAGCCAGGCCCAAAGAACGCCAACGGTTTGACCTCTTTCACTCCGTAGTAGCCCAGCTGTCGACAGACCACTTGGGCATTCAAGTCGGTGTCCCAGTTGTCATCGCACACCGTTCCCCACTGGCCCTCGTGGTAGATTTCCACCCGGCCTTCGTGTGGGCCATTGGAACCCTGGGCGAGCCGGACAGTTCCTTCAGCAACTGCACAAACAGAAGGGACAAAGCCATAAAAAGGAAGGACCCCATGAAGGACCCCATGAAGGACCCCATGATTGAAGGACCTCATGAAGAACCCATGAAGGACCCCATGGAGGACCCCATGAAGGACCACATGAAGAACCCCATGAAGGACCACATGGAGGACCCCAAGAAGGACCCCATGAAGGACCCCATGAAGGACCCCATGATTGAAGGACCCCATGAAGAACCCATGAAGGACCCCATGGAGGACCCCATGAAGGACCACATGAAGAACCCCATGAAGGACCACATGGAGGACCCCAAGAAGGACCCCATGAAGGACCCCATGAAGGACCCCATGGAGGACCCCATGAAGGACCCCACGCAATCCAACCCAAAGCGCGTAGGTCGGGTGTTGGTAGAGCCTAATTAAAAATCAAAGCCCCTTTTCACAAATTTGAATGATGGTAACGAAAGGAAGAATCAGCATTTTTGAAAACCAGTTGCTTTGAGCATGGATCCTCTACACAAGGATAAAAGACTTCCCAAAATTTCTCATTAGATGCGTGATACGGCACTTGCGCATGGTGTGTGCGCAAGACGAGGTATGCGACTGCAGTCTTTCAGTGGTCAAATTTCTGTCAGGACGCCAGCCGTGGGTGTTCTTTGCGCGCACATTGTTCTACATGTTCTATGCAGCATATCGCGCATGTAGACAATTTAATCCAATCCCTAAATTGTGTACACAAGCTCCGAGTTGTTTATCTGTGTGTAGAGGATTCCTGCATGCTTTAAGTGACTGAAAGTCATATGTCAAGAGGCCAGTCCGAAACCAAATGCAAACAGGAAGTTTTGACAACACGGTAAACTACTGTGTGTTGCCAAGTCGCAAGAGTTGAACACTATCCAACCAAGGCAAATTTTGCTGCCAATGTTTGGTGACATAAAAATTGCTTAACATTAACCTAATATGTTAAGCATGAATATATCTTAAGGATCGAGCCACAACACACTTGAGAGAATGAACTCTTTGAACAAGTTACCCCTCACTAAGGGAATAAAGCACATGTCCACCATTTGCCTTGCTTTCACACAAAGACGATATCGGTTTAAGCACTATCAGGCTGTAATTAGTACTTTGCACATGTGTGACCTGTTATGTCAAAATCAGACTTTTCTGGGCATAAGGTCTAAAATGATATTTTTACATATTGTTAACATATGTTCTTTTTCCTTTTAATAGGTGGTTTAATTTTTGAAACCGGTCATTCCTGGGCAGAGTTATGCTATTTTGAAGTTCATTGTGTCGAAAAGTAGAAAACGGAGAAAATGGCCACGAACGTCACAAAACAGTTATTTCTTTAACTGATATACCTTATCAAAATCATCAAAAATAGTATATGTAGAGTTCAAACTAGGGTTTCAAACTTTTATAATATATTTTGGACATGTTCAGGATTACAAATATGCAAAAATTTGAAAATCGATAAAAATCACCCCCACAGCGTTTTTTGGCCCTATCTCAATTTCAACCTCTGCCCAGAAGCGTCTGCTTTTGACAGAACAGGTCACATGTATGTCATGTTTCCCTCCGACAGAGTCCTAACAAGTGGTCGCACAATTCCACCTACTATTCATTGCACTGTATCCATAAAGGCATGTGCAAACTGCTGCTTGATGAATCTCTTACTTGGATTGCAAATCACTCCGACATCACCGGTATGGGAGCAGCGGGTTTGGGACCATCCGCTGGAATCACACTCAGTCAATCGCTTCTCAGACCCCACACAATCCACCTCGTCCAGGAAGACAGGCCCTTTGCCTTCTCCGTAGAATGAGGCCGGTTTTGGACCCTCCACAGCACCAGGGAATCCAAGCTGATTGCATGCGACATCAGCGCTCTCCTTGTAAAAGCCCCTTTCGCAAATGGTCCCCCACTGTCCGTCGTGGTAGATTTCCAGTCTTCCCTCGAGGTCGGTTGCACCGTTTTGCAGACGAAGATCGCCTTCCACAGCTGGAAAAATTACACAAAGAATTCGGTCTTTATGATACTTAACATTGCCTCAACTGTTGACAATCTAATCGACTCTTTCCCCAAGCCCAATTTCATTAAGTGCTGAAAAAAAATACACCCAGAAAAATATTGAAAATGAGATTTTCCCTCCAACATTGTCCAATTTACAATATGCAATGACGAGGACATCAAAAAGGTGTATTCTCCTGGCTATGAAAAAGTCCAGTTCAAGGTACTCTTTAAAGGGAGGCAGAAAGATTACAAAAACATTATAAATCCCACTACTTAGATGACAGGAGCCATTAAAGAGGCTATGATTACATCAATATTAGGTTTTGCCCTTCACTAATGTATAAACACTGTATACACAGTGTGCTACCTCCCGAGTGAAAGTTGAAAAATAAGGTGGAAAAAGTTTTCACTGGGGAAGTAACAGACTGAGTATACAGTGTTTATACATCAGTGAAGGGCAAAACCTCATATTGATTTACGTCACCCCCACGCAAATTCCTTCTTGTGAATAGTTTAATTGTGGTACCCGCTGCTACATGTACAACAGATTCGAACCAACTAACCAATCCCGCTAGCTTGGTGGTCGAGTGGTAAAACGGCTTCACTAGAAAGCAGGTCGTGGGTTCGAGTCCCACTTGAGTGATTTTTTCCAACTTTCACTCATAGGTAACACACCGAGTACACAGTGTTTCTACGTCGGTGAAGGACAAAACCTAATATTGATTTACATCACCCCGATGCAAATTCTATCTCATGAATAGGTTATAATTGGTTATCAAGTCCAGTGATCATAGGGCGTATGAAGAATATTTAAAAGCAAAATACATCTGTTCAACAAAATAACAGTACTGTTTGCGTTTATTTCAGCAAAAGATTCCAGTATGACAAATCTGAGAAATCAAGTCTTTACGTGGTACACAGACGACACCAGCATCCTCATCGTGGCCACAGTTGCTGACCTCCCAGCCTGGGAAGTCGCAGTCCACCAGCCGAGACTCGGATCCCGTGCAAGCCACGTCGTCCATGTGGATGGGGTCTGTGCCTCGGCCGTAAGCAGCGCCGGGGACGGGTCGCAGTGCCGACAAGAAGCCCAGCTGTTTGCAGACCACGTGGGCATCCGCTAGCTGCCAGTAATCGTCACACACCGTACCCCAGCGATTGCGGTGGTAGATTTCCACGCGGCCCTCTGTTTCTGATTGGCTCTCCCCAGCCAGGCGTACCTCGCCTTCTTCGTGTTCACTTGCTGGCGCCTCTGTAGATGTCAAATAGATATCAGTTTCTAAAAGATATTCCGAATGCACTATGCCCCAATCAGAATGTTATCAAGGTTACCGAAATTTGTCATATAGACGGAATTGTCTTAACCCTCCTATGGAAACATGCATTCTGAGCCATGCTGTTACTTGGGTCAATATTTGTCAAGTGACCCATTGGTTTGTTAAAAGTATGCCAGGGGAAGGAAATTTTGACCGTTTGTGACCTTTTAAACAGCAGGAGGGTTATTGATATAGTCCTTGGGTCCGTAATGATTGAATATTATAAATGAACACATGTGGAATGCAGGCAGAACTTGACCACAATTCGTCACCGACACCACGAAGTGACCTTAACCCCCGTGAAGTGGAAGATGTGTGTTTCGAGATACAAGCGGTGATCTGAACATCGTTTTAGCCTCAAAATTCATATTTGTTTTACATTGTCTGAAAGCTGGGATCTTGAATGTCACGTTAATGTATGATTTTTATTGAAAACAAATAATATTAATGAGTTATCAAACTAATTAGCCATAAGGTCACTTCGTGAAAACTCAAAGTTCAGATTACGCTGTGTTCGAGTTTTCACGAACTGACGCTAACCACGTGTATTAGCTAATGGGTTAGCGCTACTTCGTGAAAACGCCAGAAGTGAGTCGCGCGTATCACGTGACATTTGTGTCACTTCGTGAAAACGCAAAACCCGTTTTTGACGCGTAGTGTGCAGGCACTTTACACGCGAAAGAATGGTATAGTACACTTCGTGAAAACGCATTTTCTGGTTTTGACCCATTAAGTTGCAAACGTTCATTAATGTCAATTAATGTTTTGACAAAACTAATTAACTATGTGTTTAGTAACTTCTTGAGGTGATAGATTATATGTAATTAAACACAAATCAGGAAGAAAAAAAATCGAAATCGTAAAATATCGATTTTTTGATGTTAGTGTCACTTCGTGGTGATGGTGACGAATTGAGTTACTACCTACCTGTAGCACAGAGGATGGCGATATCCTCGCTGTGATCGCAGTTGGTGCTTCCAATCCCTTGGAAAGGACACTGATTCAGCTTGTCCTCTGTGCCTATACACACCACGTTGTCCATGTGGATCGGCGTGCCTTCCTCCACGCTACCGAACGTATTGTCCTGTCCCTTGAGGACTGCGCTGGCGGCTGCGAATCCGAGCTGCCGGCAAGCGACGTCGGCATCCTGCAGGCCAAACTCGTCGTCGCAGACTGTGCCCCAGACACCTTGGTACATGACCTCTAAGCGGCCTGACATGGTGTGTGCGCCATCACCGGCCAGCCGAACTTCCAAACTGTCATCTGTTAAACATGGACAGAGAGTAAGGTAAAGGTAAAAAGGTAAAGGTCCCATAACCATTATTGGCCGTAGGGGCAGTGGGATGTTAGAGGTCCACTGTGTCTTGGGCGCGGCATATGAGTGGAGGGGCCCAGTCCTCTCCTCTCGCCGTCTTGGACGGAGAGTATGGAAGTAACAAATCAACTTTGTCACTAGATGCAATATTTATCACAGCACTGCAGTCATGACAGGACATGCATCATGGATTTGTCTGGTGCACCACAAGGTGACGGATCATCCATAGACTTTGTGCACACGATACGGCACTTCGTGGTACGACCGACGAATTTAAGTATGCCTACTATCGCAGCTGTTTGACATAAATTCATGGAATGTATCCATTCATAAGATGTTCACAGGCTCTGATTTCTGGGACATTTGCTTTAACATAAGAGAATGTATCCATGGTTCAGATCAGGAGGCTAAATCCTGGCCAAAACTCGCTGGGCCCCCATCCCTCGGCCCAACGGCCAATGTTGACTCTCATTGCACGGTCTGTGCTCAATCGCGAGATGACAACATTGACCGGGAGAGAAGGGGACCGGGGAAGGGTATACTTAGTGTGGACGTGTCCCAACCATTTTGGCCGGGATTGAAGTCCTACTGTTTAAACAAGAGTGATTTCCCGAGTCATAAATTGTTGCCATTACTTCGACACCCATCAACCTGTTTGAATACGAATCAGCATATTCCAATGGAGTTGAATCAGATATACAGTGCCTATCAATTCAGTGTCGAACTTTTCTTTTTAACTAAAACAGATCAAAGAAATCTATTCCAGCTTTCAATTCAGTGTCAATGTCATTTTTTCATGCAATATACATGTTGAAAAGGTCTTAAGGAGTTCAAGCAATGTCAATTTATCATAATAATTATGAAGGATGAAAGGCTTAAAGGTAGAGTAGATCATTTGCAGCTATCCAAAAAAAGTAACTGATGAAAGAATTGTTGAAAATCTTACTTGGTTTAAAGATAGTAATGGCAATAAACTACCTGTGAAATTATTCTTTCTGGCATGCTGTCATTTTGAAGGGCATTTGAAAAGATGCATCAAGTGACACATTTTTGGAAATTTCAATAAGTAGTTGGTTTGTGATTTGGCAAATCCGTGAACAGGTGCACGCAAGCGTTGTTACAATCAACAATATATGCCAATGGTTGCTATTATGCCTCAAGTCAGTGTGTGACATCACGTAGCTTCAATCGGCTGAATGACAAGGTGTTCCGGATGCTGATTTCAGGCTCAATTCAAAACATGAGTTGGCAACTTTTAATTTGCAATCGAGATCCTAGAATATTGTTTTCGCAGAATATACAGCATTCACTGAGCAAATATTTCATCAGGTTAGTTGTTGAGAATTGTCTTTAGATTTTGAGCCTTGTTGTTGCTTCAAACTGAAAAAAATGCACACACGACAAATGATCTACCTTACCTTCAAGCCTACTCTTAGTCTAAATCTGGATTCAGATTTTGTTCTCCTAAAGCAGCCAATCCTGATTCTTGGCCAGTGCAGTTGAGCAACGGCAGCAGTAGAGGGCACCACCAATAAGATAGATAAATCCAGTCTTTGGGAACATTGGCACCTATAGACCCCACAACATTATGAGCATACCTCACACGTACTGCATTCCACCTATGGGCAATTCCACGGTTACTCACGTTACATTTTTGATGTACTTTTGAGTTTCCTTGGGCTGTATTTACCTTACTGAAAGTTTAATGACTGTTATCCCCATGGTAGATAGAGTAGACCTAGACCTAACTAAGCACCAAAGATGACATCCAGAAAAATGTGTTATGTATGATAAACAAGACGCACACAATCGGTTACTCACATTACATTTTCGTAACGTGAGTAACCGATTTTATGCGTCTTGTTTATCATACATTACACATTTTTCTGGATGTCATCTTTGGTGCTTAGGTAGGTCTAGGTCTACTCTATCTACCATGGGGATAACAGTCATTAAACTTTTCAGTAAGGTAATTACAGCCCAAGGAAACTCAAAAGTACATCAAAAATGTAACGTGAGTAACCGTGGAATTGCCCCTATGCATGCCCTAAAACGCACTACATTCCACCTCTGCGCATGCTCCGCAGTATGTTCAGCATTGTTCTGGTGCGAGACTGAGTTCCCAAAATGGTGGGTGAGAAAAAAAAAAGAAACCCAAATGTCGGGACTGTTGTTTAAGTGAAGTTCTGCATGTAGCACTTTCAGAATTTAGGATATGAATGCCACATATTGTTTCGTTTTGCTGAAAAAAACGCACACCTTTTTTGTGATATGTGGACAGAACTTTAAAACGGTGATTGTGTTTAAAATTCTGTAACTTGATAAATACATGAGTGATTTGAATGATACTTGTACTAACAGAAAGCTTATGAATTGGGCTTTCATATCCTAGATTTTAAAAGTGCTTTATGCAGAACTTCACTAAAACAAAAGTCCCGACATTTGCGTTTGGTTTTTGTTTTTTTTACTCGCCCTGTATTTGATTCATTTTGTTGATAGGCCCTCTCCTGCTGCCGTGCTTGTGACTGAATGTGTTAGGAAGACAAATTCAATTCTAGTCTTGGATCAAAAAAAGCCATGCTCACCAGTCAGGCAAATCACGCCGACATCTTCAGGATGGGTACAGTCAGTGACGCCCCAGCCATCAAAAGTACAGTCCTCTAGGGTGGTCTCATCGCCACTGCACCTCAGGGTGTCCATCCAAATCGGGTCCACTCCTTGCCCGAAGAACGCCTGCGTCTTGTATTGGGCTGCGCCGGGGTAGCCCAGCATACGGCACACCACACGGGCATTGTTGATGCTCCAGTTGTCGTCACAAACTGTCCCCCACTGGCCTTCATGTTGGATCTCCAGCCTGCCTTCCCAGGGATTGCCGCCTTCGCTGACCAAGCGCACTTCATCGATGCCCAATTCTAGTCAGTGTGAGATAAAGAGAAAGAAACATTTGAAAAAGCTCAGAGTAGAACTTTTAGAGTACAGGGTGAGTCCAAAACCAAAAACGAAACCTATATGGCACCCCTATTTTATTTTTTAAGAGGTTCTGCATGAAGCACTTTTTAGATCTAGGATGTGAAAGCCAAATCGGTAAGCTTTCTGTTAGTAACAAAAAAAATCATTCATATTGCTCATGTACTTTTCAAGTTACGGAATTCTGGACACAAACACACTTAAAATTTTGTCCACAGCATATTTTTTAGTTAAGTGAAGCCATGTCGTATCATGAAAACGATATCAAAATAATCCCATAAGTATCTAGGGTAGCCGGCAGAAAAAAAGACTATAAACCTTTGACATTACAAAACAAGTTTTTTAACACTGGAAGCAAAGGGTGCTTAAATTAAGGTAATAAGAGCCAGTTATCATTGTAATGAGAGTGGTTTTTAAATAGGAGAAAATTGATATTTGAATTGCTTTTGTTTTGGAGAATTCAAGAATATCCATGCTACCTTTCTCAATCATTTTCTCACAAAGTTGTCTTTTTACATTCTTGAAACGATTATAATTTTCTTGCAAAGATGAATGAATCCTCTCATTACAAAATGCTGATGGCAGGATGATGTTCTACCACAACCACTGGGTGCGTTTGTTGCAATTCAACCTCAAAAATGCTCTAGCAATTTTCGCATGGGTTGAAATTTTGGTCAGACAGTAGATATTCTCGTCCTTTTACTATACAAACTCGGATATGCTCAGTCACTGTCAGTTAGCACTGCGCAAGATCGCTTCAAGTTAAGCACTTTCCACATAGTCTTGTTCCAAGATTTGCTTTGAATTTTGCTTCACTAACACAGCTGGCTTTAGCACGCCCCAGCTGAACTAGGGGAACAAAATCCAAATGCAGTCTTGAACAAAGACTTTCAGCATATGACAGCTCAAACTTGATTGTTCTTGTTGATGTGGTTTTGAGAGCAGCTTCAATGTTGTATCAAATCGTGCAAAGATGAGAGCACTTTTCAAAAATGTCTCTGGTACGAACCACTGCAAATCACGCCAGCATCTTCACCGTGATCACAATTTTCCTCTCGCCACCCACTGTTGGGGCATTCCTCCAGTGTGGATTCCTGTCCCGTGCAGGCCACGTCGTCCAGCAGAATTTGTCCCGTGCCTTCCCCAAATCCAGCTCCAGAGACGGCTTCCGTGGCACCTGCGAACCCAAGCTGCTTACAGACGACGTCGGCATCATTCTCATCCCAGTCATCGTCGCAGACGGTGCCCCATTCACCTTGGTAGTAGACTTCCACGCGCCCTTCATTGTCATTTTCACCACCAGCGAGGCGCACTGTCGTATCAGGCTCTACAATTCCGAGAAGTGTCATCAAATGAAATAGTATCTCCCATAATGACTGCTAATCACTTTGAATGCAATTATTGTAAGATGGAATTTTTGCGTCGGGGTGATAAATCAAATTATAGGTTTTGCCCTTCACTGACGTTTGAACACTGTATACTCAGTGTGTTACCTCCCAAGTGAAAGTTGGAAAAAATCACTCGGGTGGGACTCGAACCCACGACGTCCTGCTCCTTTTTTCCCCCCAACTTTCACTCGGGAGGTAACCCACTGAGTATACAGTGTTTAAACGTCGGTGAAGGGCAAAACCTATAATTTGATTTCACTTTGAATGCAAGGAATCACACGTAGGCTTGCATTGATATTTTGCTAATGATTGCAACTCTCAAGACAGTATCAATATTAATTAACAGTTTCAGTTTATTCAGCGGGAAAGTATTTACACTCCACTCAATCAAACGCCAATCTCAAGTCAGGGAATAGGCCTAAAGACCATCAGAGCACAACCTCATTTGGTTTTTGTCTGGGTGTTTTTGAAGAGAAGAGTCATTTCATCACTTTGAAAATATTTCATTTTGCACTGAGACCAAGCATAGTTTGATGCATTGGCCTTCATGTGAATGTTGTTTTTCGTAAGCAAAGATGCAAGATGAAATGAATACACACGATGTTTGTGATCTTTCTAATCTTTACTACACGTATTACAGGTTGCTATCCAGGATATTAGGCCATTAAGTTACTCAACCAGTTGTTGTTTAGGAAATTTTTTGAAAGAAAATTTTATTAAAAAAGAGTTAGTTGAGCTAATAATACTTTCAATTAAGACAAAGCCTGCCAAATATCCATCACTCTAACTCAAGGATTACACAAAACCTATGGCTTTATTACTGGCTTTGTCGTCTTCTCCAGCCAAAGATTTGTAAAGAATCCTGCTACATTCAAACCCAATGAAACTACACCAACCACTGGCCTTGTGTGTCAGAACGTAGCGTTTCTATAGAAGTGAATGGAGAGATATTGTACAGGACAAGAGCGACAAAAATCACGGAGCTGGACCTTTTTAATATAATGGGAACTGTTGTCAACTAAATGTCAGTGGGGACGGCCAGTAAATTTCCCAAATTGTCAGGTGTTGAAGATCAATTGTTCGTTTTACACCCCAAGGCGGTTAGTTTTACAGGCAAATGGTTAACGGCAGAATCACATTGTTTAGTTTTGAAAAGTCCCAAACAGACGGCCTCTGCTATGTGAAACCTAGGTTGTGATCATGTGATTTCCATGTGGGTCACCAATGTGGACCTCTGTAATTCACATGTGCGCCATTTAATGTAGGCTGACATACTGTACGTGATATTACCGTATTTCCGCTGCTTTGCCATATTATTTGTCACGTTTTTCCACAACCACATCCGGTATTAGGTTAAAAGGTAAATTGCAGGGCTGCCCTCATAAGACTGTGAGAGGGCACGGCAGTGTTGTAGTCGAGTCACCAACATCGAGTCCGAGTCCGAGTCCCAAGCCTCGAGTCCGAGTCTCGAGTCACAAGCCTCGAGTTACGAGTCACTTGTTCTTAGTTGTTCACCAAACTAATCAATTTTTTTTAAAATTAGTTTTCAATCCATTCTGTCTTTTAAGTTAATCCCAGTATATATAGTTTACTTTGTGTGTGTACATGTTGTTTAGACCCACAATGTGTTTTCCTTTTAATTCCCATCCCTAAAAAACCCTCCTCTATCTCTTTCCCTCCATGTTTTATCATCCAAACATTATTCCTCAATGATCCCTTCCCATCCCTATGTTACATTTTTTCTTTTGATGAAAATAAGTGACTCGAGTCACGAGTCACCAAGCTCGAGTCCGAGTCATCATGGTTGAGTCCGAGTCCGAGTCATTTTCCAATGTGACTCGAGTCGAGTCCGAGTCACGAAAAATGTGACTCGAGTGTGACTCGAGTCCGAGTCCTGGACTCGAGTCCTACAACACTGGGGCACGGTATGGTAAAATTTACATAAAAATTACTTTCTGAGGGCCGAAATTAATCAAGTATGGACACATGGAAGAATTACCACAACTGAATGTTAACAATCGCTAGCAGTAACGTTTCACAAAAATGACGGCAATGCGAGCCAAGAATTTGTAAACCATAAAACCCCAAAATAGTCTTTCAGTCTCATAAAGATAGGCTAACCTTCGTTTGGCACACACACAACTCCTGCATCTTCAGCATGTCCACAGTCATTGGTTTCCCATCCTGCATTGGGGCAATCTACAAGTCTGGTCTGCGCATCGGTGCACTGAACCTCATCCAGAAGTATGGGATCCTCGCCTGTGAAAGAACCATGTTATGCATAAGATGGAATTGTTTGCGTCGGGGTGATGTAAATCAAATTAGGTTTTGCCCTTCACTGACGTATAAACACTGTATACTCGGTGTGTTACCTCCCCAGTGAAAGCTGGAAAAAAATGAATGAATAGTTATGTGGTACCCGGTGCTATGTACATCATATTCGAAACAGCCAACTGACCCCGTAAGCTCGGTGGTCGAGTGGTAAGACATCTGTACTAGAAAGCAGGAGGTCGTGGGTTCGACTCCCATCCCATTCCCCAATTTTCACTCGGGAGGTAACACACCGAGTATACAGTATTTATACGTCGGTGAAGGGCAAAAGCTCATTTGAACCATGTTATGGTTAACAGCAACACAGTACAGGATGTATTTGCTTTTTGAGCATTTGGGGTTTTTTTTTAAGTAACAAAATTGCTCAAATCTTAAATGCAGTGTACAACACTTGCAAACATTAAATGAAACTACCAAATTATTATGAAATACCTGTCACGACTTAAAGTAAATAACATAATCAAGCATCCTGTAAAATAATTATGCTATGTGTGCTGTAATTTTCAAGAAAAGTGGACTTTTGTATCATATTCAAACGATGGTTCAGCCAAATCATCATTTGAAAAAAGCGGCTTGTTTCAAATACTGGCCCACTTGACCGAATTTTAGTTAGTCCACATTTAGTTTGCAATCGGTAACATATCTGTGAACGAGTACAAGCCAGCCAGTCCGATACCTGACCCGACAATTCCATGACGGCTATAACTTGTTCCGTCTGAAGCGCAAGGTCTGGGAACCAGACTATGAGCACAACCTTTTTTTTTTCTTTTCCAGGCATCCATGAACACAAAATCTGAAATAAGTCGAACGATATTTGCTACAATTTATAAAATACTAACCCCCAAATCTGTCCATTTCTGAAAATTACAGTTTCAGTTTCAGCTCAGTGGAAACTTTACATTTTGAAGTAAAAAACAAACAGAGACAATTTCAGATCACAGAAACTACCCTTGCTGATTTGTGACTCATATTATCAAAACTGGAGTTCTTGGATTCAGGTACCGGGCTGCAGGGTACAGTCCTCTCCACCCTTGATGAAGCGTGTTTGCGGGGAGATCCATGCATGCGTGAAGATAAACTATTTCCAATATGATTAACCCTAACTCCCGAGCATGATTTACTAGGAACCATACCCATCCTGGCAAATTCCAACACCATATGAACAACTGCACACACATATTTCTGACTTTGTTTCTGGAGGTGTGCCAATCCAATGTAAAAGACTGTCAGTTTAGGGGTACTGTACCCATCCTGACATATTCCAACAAAACATGCCATTGGGGTTTGATGGGTTGAGTTCTGTTAAGGGTTAAGTATATCACCTGGACCAAACTCAGCAAGATTTGACACTCGTACGGCTCCATTAGTAAAGCCTAGCTGTTTGCACACCACGTTGGCATCATCTACGTCCCAGCTGTCGTCACAGACTGTTCCCCAGACGCCATCATGGTTCACCTCCACACGACCCATATTGGGCTCCGGGCCAATCAGTCGAAGGTTACCTTCATCTGGATGTACCACTAAAAAAAATAGAACACGGACAAGAAAATGTGGATTAGTCAATACATTGTTTTAAAGATTCAGCATCGTGTTTTTATGTAATTGGTTTAGACATCTCATTTCTTCATTCTGATTGGGAGAGGTTACCACGAGGGCATGCATGTTTTAGGAACTTTAACCTCTATTCATAAATACCTAAGACAGTTTACCCATTCCTATTGGTCGAGAGCCCATCACCTGGTCGGTCTTAAAAGGATGATAGAGACCGGCTGGCAGGTCTTAAACACTTTTCCAGTGTCACATGAATATGAATCCTATCAAAATCCAGTGCCCTTTCACCGTTTTATTGATTGAACGTTCTCAATCCTCACGTATAACAGGCATGCCCAATACTACCAGTGAGTCAGTATTTCTGTAAATTTCTAAATTTACAACGCACCGCTACAGCTGCATTTTGCACGACATCACACAGTACCCGCTATGCGTGCGCCGATCTCCATCAAAGGACTTGTTTACGACTTACTCGTGAGCTTCACACTCCATTATATAGCTAGAGGGGTGTTTCCACAAACATGAAGTGACATTGTTGAACAAAATCGTTTGAAATTTTTAATTTTTGACTTGTTTTGACTTTTGGACCTAAACATTTTGATTTTTGGAATGAAAAGGTATTGATGAATGGGAATAAATAATGTGCTAGGTCGGTATTAAACACTATGTTTAAGACTGGTGGGTGTCTGGAATGCTGATAATTACCTGCAGCAGCATTTCAGACTCCAACCAGTATTAAACACACCTCCCAAGCACACATTTATTTTCAAATGTTTGAAGAAGTGCACTTTTCAATAAGATTAACCAAAAAGGGATGTCAAGTTGTTTTCATACATAAGAGGAGTAGAAAGTTGCACAAAATATGTCCCTAATAATGTCCCTTTTAAGTACATATGTCTTCTCCGCACATTTTAATATTCTAAGTGATACATACCACCATCACCACTACCAGCACCACTACCAGCACCAGCACAAACCACGCCAGCGTCTTCAGCATGGCCACAATTTTCCACTCTCCATCCACGGCTCTGACAGTCTTCCAGCCTCAAATCATCTTCGGTACAGGCCACGTCATCCAGCAGAATGGATCCCGTCCCTTCCCCGAACCCAGCTCCACTGATGGCCTCTACGGCTCTCTCAAACCCAAGCTGCTTACAGACGACGTTGGCATCGGTATCATCCCATTCATCGTCACAGACGGTACCCCATTCACCTTGGTAGTAGACTTCCACGCGCCCTTCATTGTCATTCTCACCGCCAACAAGTCGTAACGTCACATCAGGCTCTAAGAATCAAAAATGCGAGTCACAGTTATGTGATTTCCAAGACTTTTAAGTCATGATAGTCTTCCATCGCATTCACATTGACAGCAATCTCTTGAATTTAAGAGATTCAAGCAGAATCTGTGGGTGAGGAGTTATAAAACAAATAGTGCTGAATGCGTCTTAAGTTTGGTGAAATCGATCCTAGGATGAGTCGCGAGTTAAGACGAGTTACCCTTCCTAAGATGCGTCTTAGCGTTTCATGAAATTGGCCCCAGGAAACACACCCCCTACACAGATTTATCCACTGCTTTTCAGCAAGCTAGCATGCTGCTACGTTTTGCCACCCATACAGTGGCGTAGCCACCGGGGGGGCATGGGGGGGCGACCGCCCCCCATGAAACCTTGTCGCCCCCCCAGTCACCCCCCCACTGAGATTTTGAGTTTCTAAAAAAAATACCATTGATCTACATGATGCCATGGGCCCTATTATGTACTACAATGTATCTTTTGCTTAGAAAATATTGGTTAAAGTGGTCAGAAATTGCCTCAGATAGCACCACAGAGCATTTAAAATCCAAAAATTTTCGGGGCCCATAAGCGGGCCCCGAACCCCACGCCTATAGCTCAGAATTCTGGTAGCCGATTCAATGACTCCAACCTCGAAAACAATGTTCACAAAATTTTCTTATACCTTTAGCTGAGAAAACCTCGAAAATTATGTTTAAATTATTATCTTTTGTGCTAAGATAATTATTGGTTAAAGTGGTAAGAAATTGCCTCAGATCACACCACAGAGCATCGAAAATCCAATTTTTTTCAGGGCCCTTAAGCGGGCCCCGAACCCCACACTAATAGCTCAGAATACCCATAGCTGATTCAATGTCTCCAATCTCGAAAACGATGTTCAAATAATTATCTTTTGCCAACAAAATATTAGTTAAAGCATGGAGGAAAGTCTTAAGAAATTGCTTCAAATCACACCAAAGAACATCTAGAATCCAATTTTTTTCGGGGCCCTTAAGCGGGCCCCAAACCCCACGCCGTTAGGGCTTTGCGCTTGCATCAGCTATGATCAAGGTATGTCCCCCCCCCACACTTTTGAGAAGCGATTGACGCCCCTGCTTGACGCCCCCCCATGAAATGTTCCAGCCCCCCCAGCGCCCCCCACTGAAAAAATCCTGGCTACACCACTGCACCCATACATCATACCAGCCGAAAGAAAATTTTCAGATTGTTCTAATGGTGTAGTTTATTCATAGTATTTTTATTACATTAAGTTCAAAGAGTGATTCAGAAGTATCCACGCACAATTTTCTATGAATTCCTACGAATCTATAGGTTACTTGATTCTCAGAAATTGGCAAAAAGCTTTACCCACCTTCATCAAGTATACAAACAACGCCTGCGTCTTCCGAGTGGCCACAGTTTTCCACTCCCCAACCTGCGCTTGGACACTCTGTAATTGTGCTCTCAGAGCCTGTGCACTCAACATCATCCAGGAAGATTTCACCCACACCTTAAAAAAAGATAGATAATAATAATAATAATATTGGCTTCTTGTGTAGCGCTCATGTCCGTCACAAAGTGAATCTCCTGGCGCTCTATTATTACCTTGGCTTTAGCACGGCTGCCATTATGGCGCTCAAGCATTTGAAGGAATTTCTTCCTACCAGGTGCCCAGTTACTACACCTGGGTGGAGAGAGGCAATCGTAGTAAAGTGTCTTGCCCAAGCGCACAAGCACCATCTTCCCCGTCAGGATTCGAACCCATGTACCACGGCACACGAGTCGGACACCGTAACCATTGGACCACAGCACCCCACAAATGACGTTGAGCAAATGTCTTCTGTCAGCCAATTGAAACTCATATGGTTGTTGTTGTTTTTTCAAGGAAAATTGTTTCTGACATTTTAATTTCTTACTACCAAAAAACTTTTTCTCTACATAGAAAAAAAGATTGGATTTATGATTCATATGTAACTCCATTGATATATCTTTGAGAAAGACAGTACGCACTGCCTGGTAAATTTATTTTGAAGTTTACTGTTAAGAGTAAAACTAGCCAATACTCAGTTACAAATGACTTTAATTAAAGTTAACATGGCAAATACAAAAAAAGGGCAAATTTGAAACTGACGACATGTATAAAATGTGGTATGGGCCCTTGTCAATCAAATTATTTGGCCTCTTTCGATCAACTAACAAGCTGTACATGCCTTCTTTGATGCATTGATACTTGAAACACTGGAAACTTGAAACACACTGCAATACCTTGGCCAAATTCGGCGCTCAATGAAGCTCTCACAGCCCCGTTAGTGAAGCCCAGCTGTCTGCAGACCACTTGAGCATCATTCATGTCCCAGCTATCGTCACAGACAGTTCCCCAGTCGCCATCGCGTCTCACCTCCACACGTCCCACATTGGTCTCCGGCCCGACCAATCGAATGTCTCCAACAATGTCAGGTTCTGTTACTAACAAACAAAAGAACGAACGAAAGAAGGTGAGTAATGATTTCACACGGAATTCTTTCGCCTCATCAGCCAAGGTTGTGTTTTTCTCTGTAGGTGATAAAACTGGAGTCTTCTCCGTTATACAAGCTCAAATTTAGTTTAAATTAAATGCACAGTTCAATGGAAAATGTTCTGGTTCTGAAACCATGGAAGAATAAATGAGAGAAAATGACAAGCATATGCTTGGTGCTCTAATACATGTAGTTCAAATAACAAACAATATCTCAACAATAATAACAAACAATATCTCAAATAACAAACAATATCTCAACAATAACCGTTTGTCATCAACTCCCGTAGTATCGGCCGGATGATGAAAAGGGAAATACGCAGCGTGAGTGGCGTACATGTACACATGCACACATTGTTGTACTTTACATTACTCTCGAGGACAAGGCATCGTGTTTCCCTCTGTCCCTGTAATCATAATATAACCATAGAGCTATATTAAATTACTAGAGCGCTAACTCGATGTACAAAGTAATGCCTGATGGGCGCATCCATGTTTGTGCAAAAACCTATGAAAAACCCAAAATTTTGTACGGCATTTTGTACGGCTATTTGCATATCTGCGTTTGTATTCCATACCGGTGCGTCATTGAAGCCGATACGCCCAAAACCGAAACGCACGATCAGCAAATGAGTGTTTCATTTTGCTCTACGCAAACAGTGCAACATGTGCGCGTCCCTCCGATGCGTGCACAGATGCTTTTCGCCGTGACGTTTTTTGAACCGTCATGACGCGCTTAAGTTGTTTGCGTATCTTCTACTTGCGCGTTGTATTTAGAGTACACTTTTAGAATTCAATCCATCTATTTTGACTGTGTTCTACAAACATGTACATCAATTCAAAATGTCTGCGCCCAGAGCGGCTTCAAAGCTTCTCCGTGCGCAAAAATGAGGAGTTAGCGCTCTTGTAATTTAATAGAGCTCAATGAATATAACACACTCCCATAGACTAAGCAAAGAAACGCACGATCGAGGACCATTTTTAAGAAAAGACGAACGGTCGAGGACAGCAAAGAATCTGTTGTTCTCCCTCTGTCTGTCTGTCTGTCCTTAGGGTGTATGTAAAGTAAGCGCACAAATGCATGTATTGTGCAAAACATTGAGAGGTTGTGAGTTCAAGCCCCATCATGGCCATGCCTGTTGTACCCTTGAGTAAGGTGCTTTACCTCAATTACTCCTCTCAACCCAGGTGTTAAATGGGTACCGGCATTAGCCAATGCTGGGAAGGTAACAGACTCGCTGTGGAGGAGGTGTGGCGATCCCCCCACAGCAGTGTTTCATGCATGGACTCAAGTCTGGCCCAATCGCTAAACGAAAGAGAGATGGGCACTCCATTCCTGTGAACACAGGTTCGTCCCTTTTTTTTATTGTGCAATAAGCATTTTCACGTGTGCATTTACTGATAACCTACATACAATTTGAAATCCAATGCTTTGATTTATTTGAGCTTAAAAGGCTAGCTCATCATTATTATTAATGACATAGCCCTTCCCCATAAAAGACAGAACCCAATGGGTCACAATAGCAAGAGTTGTATGAAGTCACGCATCAATATGTAAAGTGCATTGCATCATTTCAAAAGCTTTAATTGTGATTGGCCAGTTGAAAAATGACTCATTTATTTCTGGAAACCTACTGCTCTGTGATTGGTCCATTTCAAGCGTGACTGTGTTTCTGTACTTTTTTTTCATCCAAATGGAGATGAAAGATAAAAGAGACTCATTAAATTAAGAAGTTACACAAGCTACATGACGGTTTTTCAGCCTTTCACTTAGATGGAAGTACCGACAGCAATGCTGGTGTCTGTGTTGCATTATCCGGTTCGTTAGTGTGACGTCAGTTCAGTCTAAACCATGCCCACTGGCCATTAAGTAGCATTGGAACCTTTGGAACCTTAAGCTAACGCAACTTGGGTGTTTATCCCATGGGCGCTTGTAATCAGTGGTGAGCGCGTGTGTATGACGTTTTTACTAACGAACCGGATGCCAGACATGGGCACATACACGAACTGTTTGATTTGTGCACTCCCACAGATAGAACCCCAGACCACTTGGACAAGGCTACGGTAACACAGAAATTCTCTAAAACTTTGTACTTCCAACTAAAAAAAAAGCTGAAGGAAAATCATCCCTGTAACCGAACCCATTAGTGCAAGGAAAGGAAACTTAAAAAGCATCAAAATAATAAGTACCTACAAAAATTTCAATTCCAGTCAGACTCTGTAAACTAGGTTCACTAAATAATGGGAAACAAGTGGCGTAATTGGCCTAATTGACATTGTATTATTAAGCCATTTTAACAAATTTCAATTTTCAGTTTTTGAACCTACTGATGAAGTGATTTCAGGCTATCCATTACCATAGCTTGTTTTGCATAGGGAGAAATGTTATTTTTAACTGAACTGTTCAAATCAACTGTTAACACATATGGCATACCTGTTTCTGCTTCACAAGTAACCCCAACATCTTCTGTATGATCACAGACTGTTGTGCCCCAAGTCCCCCAAGTGCAGTCATCCAAGTTGGCCTCTGTCCCCTCACACGATATCACAGACAGGATGGGACCTTCCCCTTGCCCAAACTCCGAGACGCCTTCCAGACTGTTCGTGACACCGCCGAAGCCCAACTGTCGGCAGACTACTTCGGCTGAGGTGGAAGACCAGTTATCGTCGCAGATTGTCCCCCATTCGCCCTCTCGGTAAACCTCAACGCGGCCACTGTTGGGTGTTGATCCCCCAGCCAGACGTAAGGTCTCAAAAACTTCACCACTGCCAGCATCTGACAAAAAATTTAGAGCACAGCTTGCAAATATCTTCCCCAAGCATCGTGCATTCTAGTTCTATTTAATGGTTTAGTTTATGTCAACTGTATTACATTGTGTTATGTTGTTTTCATTCACTGTAATGAATCCATTAACTTATTGAGTGATCTGGCGGTTTCAGGCACTACTAAGAGTAATATTCAGGGTAGTTTGGAGTGTTAGAACGACAACTGGATTAATATCTATGAAAGTCTGAAAGATCAGCAGTTCAGTATGTGAGTATGGCAAGCAACTGTCTTCTGTTTAAGGGAACATGACATAAATTTTACATCAAAACAAACTTTGCGCATATATCCATTCCCTCGAACAGTATAAAATCTCCTCTTTGGTTTCATCAGCGTAAAAATCAAAAAGGCCCCAAACTCTTGAAAATGGCAATATGAACACTGAAAACAATTTAGGATAGGACACACAAACATATTTTAGGAATGGCATTAAAACAATTCTATTACAAGAGATTTTTAAATGAGTATTTGCAATGTCTTCAACTAATTTATTATTATCAGTGATACATACCAGTATCAGCACAAACCACTCCAGCGTCCTCACTGTGCCCACAATTTTGCACTCCCCAACCTCTGTTTCCACAGTCTTCCAGTCTGGTGTCCTCTTCTGTGCAGGACACATCATCCAGAAGGATTCGTCCTGTACCTTCTCCAAACCGAGCTGCACTAGCAGCCTGTACAGCACGTGTAAACCCAAGCTGCTTACAGACGACGTTGGCATCGGTATAATCCCAGTCATCGTCGCAGACGGTACCCCATTCACCTTGGTAGTAGACTTCCACGCGCCCTTCCTTTTCATTCTCACCGCCCATAAGTCGCACTGTCACATCAGGCTCTATAAAATGCAAACAGGCAAGTATTTTCTAAAATCATTCATCTATTTGATAACCATTTGTAATTCAACCAACAGTTTGGGTTTTGATAACTTTGTACTTGCGCTGTTGCAATAAGCACCGGTTTCCATCTACTGCCAGTTTCCATATCAAGTTCAAATTTAAAAATGTATAGTAGCTTTATGATAGAGGACAGATACACAACGGGAGAACAAAGATACTTTCAGTCCTTGAGTATTGGGTCTTTTGTGGAAACCAGTCCTCGATCATACGGTTATGTGCTTAGTCTATGGGAGAGTATTCTATTAGAGGGACAAAGGGAAACATAAAGCATTGTCCTCAGGCATATGGAAATTGACAGCTGTGTGTGCGACACACTATGTGTCAAAACCTAAGCATAAAACACATCTCAACAAACGTCTTTTTAAGTATATTGAAGATACTTCTGCATGTCTATAGATACTGACCTACGTTGGGCAGACAAACAACCCCTGCATCCTCAGAGTGACCGCAGTCAGTAGTTCCCCATCCTGCATTAGGGCAATCTACAAGCCTGCTCTCCGTGTTGACACACTCGACTTCGTCCAAGAAGATTGGACCCTCACCTTTGAGGAAAAATATGCAAAGATATTCGGACATGTAGTCTAATGCCAATTTCCTTGTTTATGGACACGTTAAACCCTGTCAGACTGGCATTCAAGGGTTGCACCAAACTAAAATATGCTGGAGATTTGAATTACACGAACAGTTCAACGTTTGGAATAGATCAACTGTTGCAGTCATTTTTAGAGAGACTTTGAAGTCTAGTCAATAGAAAATTTATAAAAACAGTTAACACATTAATATACAATATATATACAAATAATGAATGTTTGTGAGTGCAATGGTAAGAATAATTTCATGAGGTGACAGATGAAATGTTCCATTCCACGAGGCGAAAATGGAACATTTCATCTGAAATTATTCTTTCCATTGCACGAACAAGAAACATTCATTTTTGTTTTATATAACACCTGAATAAATCCTTGTCATCTGATTGGTTGACTTTTAATAGCCAATTCATTCAGGTTAAAAACTGTTTAAAAGTTCGACAAGTTCATCATATTTATGTTAATGCAAACTGTTCAACAGGTTCAGAACAAACATATTCAATTTATCTTGATTTACCAACAGCACTACCACCAGCAGAAGTAACACCGTCCAATGTAAGTTCTATTCACAGTGCAATAGAACTTCCATTGCACTGTGCACTGTGCGCTGTGCGCGCGCCGTGCGTTGGTACGAATAATTCAAAGACATGTGATCAACGATCCACCAATCAGATGACTGGGATTTATTCAGGTGTTGTATAAAAAGTGTGGTCAACCTGAGTTGCTTGCAATACTCTGTGGTTTGGCGTGACTAACAAACACAAGCCTGAAACTGGTTATATGCATTTTATAAAGTTGGCCATTTTTTATACTGAGCAGGTTTAGTTTAGTACACCTAATACTTACTTTTAAACAAACATGCCTTTCTAAGCACTCATTGTGTGATGAATCACTTTGCATCTGAGTACAGGAGAGTGTATATTGCTACATTCATTAATGATTATACAAAACAGTCTTTGGGAGAGAAACTTACTCTTTGGTCAATTTGATTTTAACATACATGTAAATGTAACATCCTTTCCAATTTGAGGGGTATTAGTGAGATGGGCAGGGAACTTCAAACAACACCACACCTGGACCAAATTCCGCAACAGTTGATACTCTTGCTGCTCCGTTAGTGAAGCCCAGCTGTCTGCAGACCACTTCAGCATCATTCATGTCCCAGTTATCATCACAGACAGTTCCCCAGACACCGTCATGATGGACCTCCACACGCCCGTAGTTGGGATATGGCCCAACCAGTCGAACATCGCCTTCACTGCCCTCATCAGGCTCATCTGGTGGACATAATGATAAAGAAAAAGGATTTATTTTTGTGAATGTTGGTCAGTTTGACACAGTGTTGTAGTACTCGTACTCGAGTACTCGTACTCGAATGTCAAAGTACTCGAAATGACTGTACATGTACTCGGGCAGCAAAGTACTCGTACTCGAATAGCAGTACTTGGGGGGGGGGGAGAATGGTATAGCCTGACTTTATATACCACGACCTTATTTTATCAATGTTTTCAGTTTGAAATGGTTTATCAGCTTGTGGAGAAATCGAACTTTCCTGATTTTCCTCTGTACATGTTCGGACAAGCACATTTACATGTAACAGCTAGCCGTGAGTGGGTCTGTATCATCGGTCTGACTAGGCCTGGGCCAATTACGCACAATGAACCATTTGCCGTATGGCTGTATTCGGGAAATAAAAGTACTCATACTCTTACTTGGAAGTACAGTACTCGTACTTGTACTCGGAAGTACAAGTACTCGTACTCAGAGACCTGTTCTTGTACTCAGAGGTACTCGTACTCGTACTCGGCAACCTAAGTACTCGGCAGTACTTGGTACTCGGAAGAAAGTACTCGACTACAACACTGGTTTGACACTTATTGAACTTGTCTGAACACAGCCTTTAAAACTCTCACAGCAGATTAACAGACTGAGACCAGCCAGTGTGAAGTGAGATGATTCATCCATGACTTTCGGGTCAACTTAATGTAAATAATTATCAACGCACAGGGTGTATGCTAAATGTTGGTATATTAAGACACCCCTTAAAATACCTTCCTTTTTTGTTCTTTATAAACTTTTATTTGTAAAAATATCTCAAAACATCTAGAAACAGGAAATCCATATTTCAAAAAGAATCTATTAAAAGTACAGAAATAAGGAGAAATCCGGACCAAGAAATCCTGAAATCGGGAATATCCTGACAAATCTCACAATCTCACAAATAATCTAGAAGTGACTTAGTAAAGTTGAGTACTAATGTTCCGTGTACAAGCTATCTGTAATGATAATGCAATTTGGTGTTGATGTTGTCAACGATCAGCGAAACAAGTTATAAACCAAGTAGCCTATCAGACCGACGTTTCACTTCTTGTTAACTGTTAGTGATACAAATTTATCACCTATTTATTTGTTACACAGTGTTCAAATATTTGTCACTCAAATTGACTAGAGCTAAGTTTTTGACTCCACTTGACTCGACTCAACTACGCACTGTGACTCAACTAGACTCGACCTTCTTGACCTAATGACTCCCAACGTCTTCCGAATGATCACAGACTCTTGTGTCCCCCATCCAGCAGTTCAGTAAAGTGAGTAAGGTACTTTGAGAGGTAAGCAACTGTCTTGCTGTAAGAGTACATGACACACATCAAACATTACAAACAGTTCAGTCGCATCTTCCATAGACAACCAAAGCGTGTGTACATGTGTGACACGAATACGACGCGCTCAGCTCCACAGCAATTCTACACAAGGCAAAGAAAAAGACGGCCTCACGGCCGTTTCCAAGACTTTCAGAGTAATGCGCACCAAGTTTGACTTAGAAGATATATTACTTTAAAAATCTGGAGGACAATTTTTACAAAATGAACAACCAATCATCCGTACCTGGTACATTTTCTTACTTGTGACGACACAAACATTTTGACTGACAGCAGAACGATTTATGGAGATTTGCACGTAATTGACAGTGTGACCCTTGGGCTACCCCACTGTGCGTAATGTACCGATAGTTCCCGGATGTATGACTCCCCGTAACTTCAAGTAATAAATGCACCCTTGGCACTGTGAAGAGGATTTAGTAAGCTTCATTTTGAATTGTCATTCAATGCAGTTGGTAAAATTATGCCCCCGTACCTAGGACCAAACATATTGTCTACTCATCAGTCCTTTGGCCGCCATAAAATACGGCGAACAGCATTTCGCTACTACAATACTATACGCTCCACCGCTGTGTTGTTAGTAACAACTCAGCGCGCACGTGCCCGCGCCCGCGCGATCAGGCGATGGTAGACTTGCACTGACAAACACGGGGTATGCACACATGCAAAAGGATAAACGCGATTGCTGCGACAAACGCTCATTCCGCGCGCACCGCATGTAATCAATAAGTGACTTAGTACTGATGTTCATTTTGCGACTCGCCGTGTACAAACTATTTGTAATGAGCAATCGTTGTGCAAATATCCATTCCCTTGAACAGAATACAAATCCCACTTTGGTTTCATCAGCATGAAAACCAAAAACAGGCGCGGATCCAGGGGAGGGCCGCGGGGGCACGTGCCCCCCGTCAAATTTGAGTCAAAAAAACAAAAACAACAGGAATAGAAGGGGAAAAAAGAGGGGAGGTGAGGGAAGGAGGAGGTAACCTCCTTACAAAAATACCGGCGCCGATATTAAACATGAGCCTGCAAACATTGCGTACTCGACTCGAGAAGCTTCGAAATAAACCGCGATCCCATGGTACGTACCCCGTACGTACGTACGTACGTATTACCCTGCATATACCGTTATTAAATGCGATTCATACGAACGTACACGATTTATTCTCAACGAACATGCAGCTTTATGTGCGCGACAAACACACGTTGCGCAGTGCTCTTTGGACCACACCATTGGTTAAAGCTATAGTCCATCATTTGCAGCCATCCGAAAAAGTAACTGGTGTAATTATTGTTGAAAAACACGAAAGCACAATGGAGGACCGTTTTTAACAAAAGACGAACGGTCGAGGACAACAAAGAATCTGTTGTTCTCCCTCTGTCTGTCTGTCCTTGGGGTGTATGTAAAATAAGCACACAAATGCATGTATTGTGCAATAAGCATTTTCACGTGTGCATTTACTGATAACCTACATACAATTTGAAATCCAATGCTTAGATGTATTTGAGCTTAAAAAGCCAGCTCATTATCATTATTATTAATGGCATAGCCCTTCCCCGTAAAAGACAGAACCCCATTGGTCACAATAGCAAGAGTTGTATGGAGTCACTCGTCAATATGTAAAGTGCATTACATCATTTCAAAAGCTTTAATTGTGATTGGCCAGTTGAAAAATGACTCATTTATTTCTGGAAACCTACTGCTCTGTGATTGGTCCATTTCAAGCGTGACTGTGTTTCTGTACTTTTTTTCGGCCAAAAGGAGATGAAAGATAAAAGAGACTCATTAAATTAAGAAGTTACACAAGCTACAAGACGGTTTTTCAGCCTTTCACTTAGATGGAAGTACCGACAGCAATGCTGGTGTCTGTGTTGCATTATCCGGTTTGTTAGTGTGACGTCAGTTCAGTCTAAACCACGCCCACTGGCCATTAATTAAGTAGCATTGGAACCTTCGGAACCTTAAGCTAACGCAACTTGGGTGTTTATCCAATGGGCGCTTGTAATCAGTGGTGCAAGCGTGTGTATGACGTTTTTACTAACGAACCGGATGCCAGACATGGGCACATACACGAACTGTTTGATTTGTGCCCTCCCACAGATAGAAACCCAGACCACTTGGACAAGGCTACGGTAACACAGAAATTCACTAAAACTTTGTACTTCCAACAAAAAAAAAGCTGAAGGAAAATCACCCCTGTAACTGAACCCATTAGTGCAAGGAAAGGAAACTTAAAAAGCATCAAAATAATAAGTACCTACAAAAATTTCAATTCCAGTCAGACTCTGTAAACTAGGTTCACTAAATAATGGCAAACAAGTGGCGTAATTGGCCTAATTGACATTGTATTATTATTAAAGCCATTTTAACAAATTTAAATTTTCAGTTTTTGAACCTACTGATGAAGTGATTTCAGGCTATCCATTATCCATAGCTCGTTTTGCATAGGGAGAATTTTTTTTCTAACTGAACTGTTGAAGTCAACTGTTAACACATATGGCATACCTGTTTCTGCTTCACAAGTAACCCCAACGTCTTCTGTATGATCACAGGCTATTGTGCCCCAATTCCCCAAGTGCAGTCATCCAGGTTGGCCTCTGTCCCCTCACATGATATCGCAGACAGGATGGGACCTTCTCCTTGCCCAAACTCCGAGACGCCTTCCAGACTGTTCGTGACACCGCCGAAGCCCAACTGTCGGCAGACTACTTCGGCTGAGGTGGCAGACCAGTGATCATCGCAGATTGTCCCCCACTCGCCCTCTCGGTAAACCTCAACGCGGCCACTGTTGGGTGTTGATCCCCCGGCCAGACGTAAGGTCTCGAAAACTTCACCACCACCACCACTGCCAGCATCTGACGAAAAATTTAGAGCACAGCTTGCAAATATCTTCCCCAAGCATCGTGCATTCTAGTTCTATTTAATGGTTTAGTTTATGTCAACTGTATTACATTGTGTTATATTGTTTTCATTCACTGGGGGAGTCAGGTTGGCATAGCGGTACTTTCCTCGCCTTCCACCGCTGTGACCCGGGTTCGAATCTCGCCTGGGCCAATATGTGGATTGGGTTTTCAAACCCTGCCTGATTCCGTGGGTTTTCCCCAGAATATTCTTCTGGGCTTTTCCTCCCACCTCTTAAACTGTAATTTCTTTTCATTGTCTTCTCTCCACAGGTTTCTTCAGGCTTGCGAGCTACAGTGCCATCCTACAGTTTCGAGGAATCCTTGGTTTCATTACCAGAAATGATTAATAATAATAATAATACTAATAATTACTCTTTTGGCTGCAATAGGGTGACTTTCCCATAGACTTGTGCACAAACCTAAACTGTCATCTAACCCAAGTTTACATGTTTTTTCCACGAAATTTAGTATTTATACTAATTGGACCATGAGGAATCGATCTGGATGGTTTTCGACAGCAAAATTCCTTGTCCTAAGGGTCGTTTTCATAAAAGGGCGACAGTTATTTTGTCGCCTCAATAAGGTGTATCGCCCTATTGTGGACAGAGTTCGCAAAACCTGTCGCCCTATTACAGTAATAGTAGTAATAATGAATCCATTAACTCATTGAGTGATCTGGCGGTTTCAGGCACTACTAAGAGTAGTATTCAGGGTAGTTTGGAGTGTTAGAACGACAACTGGATTAATATCTATGAAAGTCTGAAAGATCAGCAGTTCAGTATGTGAGCATAGTAAGCAACTGTCTTCTGTTTGAAGGGAACATGACACAAATTTTACATCAAAACAAACTTTGCGCATATATCCATTCCCTCGAACAGTATAAAATCTCCTCTTTGGTTTCATCAGCGTAAAGAACAAAAAGGCCCCCAAACTCGTGAAAATGGCAATATGAACACTGAAAACAATTTAGGATAGGACACACAAACATATTTTAGGAATGGCATTAAAACAATTCTATTACAAGAGGTTTTTTAAATGAGTATTTGCAATGTCTTCAGCTAATTTACTATTATCAGTGATACATACCAGTATCAGCACAAACCACTCCAGCGTCCTCACTGTGCCACAATTTTGCACTCCCCAACCTCTGTTTCCACAGTCTTCCAGTCTGGTGTCCTCTTCTGTGCAGGACACGTCATCCAGAAGAATTTGTCCTATACCTTCTCCAAACCGGGCTCCACTAGCAGCCTCTACAGCACCTGTAAATCCAAGCTGCTTACAGACGACGTTAGCATCGGTATCATCCCATTCATCATCACAGACGGTACCCCATTCACCTTGGTAGTAGACTTCCACGCGCCCTTCCTTGTCATTCTCACCACCAACAAGTTGCACTGTCACATCAGGCTCTAGAAAATGCAAACAGGCAAGTATTTTCTAAAATCATTCATCTATTTGATTACCATTTGTAATTCAACCAACAGTTTGGGTTTTTGATAACTTTCTACTTGCGCTGTTGCAATAAGCACCGGTTTCCATCTACCGCCAGTTTCCATATCAAGTTCAAATTAAAAAATGTATAGTAGCTTTACGATAGAGGACAGATACACAACGGGAGAATAAAGATACTTTCAGTCCTTGAGTATTGGGTCTTTTGTGGAAACCAGTCCTCGATCATATGGTTATGTGCTTAGTCTATGGGAGAGTATTCTATTAGAGGGACAAAGGGAAACATAAAGCATTGTCCTCGGGCATATAGAAATTGACAGCTGTGTGTGCGACACACTATGTGTCAAAACCTAAGCATAAAACACATCTCAACAAACGTCTTTTTAAGTATATTGAAGATGCTTCTGCAAGTCTCTAGATACTGACCTACGTTGGGCAGACAAACAACCCCTGCATCCTCGGAGTGACTGCAGTCGGTAGTTTCCCATCCTGCATTAGGGCAATCTGCAAGCCTGCTCTCCGTGTTGACACACTCAACTTCATCCAAGAGGATTGGACCCTCACCTTTGAGGAAAAATATGCAAAGATATTCGGACATGTAGTCTAATGCCAATTTCCTTGTTTATGGACACGTAAAACCCTGTCAGACTGGCATTCAAGGGTTGCACCAAACTAAAATATGCTGGAGATTTGAATTACACGAACAGTTCAACGTTTGGAATAGATCAACTGTTGCAGTCATTTTTAGAGAGACTTTGAAGTCTAGTCAATAGAAAATTTATACAAACAGTTAACACATTAATATACAATATATATACAAATAATGAATGTTTGTGAGTGCAATGGTAAGAATAATTTCATGAGGTGACAGATGAAATGTTCCATTCCACGAGGCGAAAATGGAACATTTCATCTGAAATTATTCTTTCCATTGCACGAACAAGAAACATTTATTTTTGTTTTATATAACACCTGAATAAATCCTTGTCATCTGATTGGTTGCCTTTTAATAGCCAATTCATTCAGGTTAAAAACTGTTTAAAAGTTCGACAAGTTCATCATATTTATATTAATGCAAACTGTTTGACAGGTTAAGAACAATCATATTCAATTTATCTTGATTTACCAACAGCGCTACCACCAGCAGAAGTGACACCGTCCAATGTAAGTTCTACTCACAGTGCAATAGAACTTCCATTGCACTGTGCGCTGTGCGCCACGCGCACACCGTGCGTTGGTACGAATAATTCAAAGACATGTGATCAACGATCCACCAATCAGATGACTGGGATTTATTCAGGTGTTGTATAAAAAGTGTGGTCAACCTGAGTTGCTCGTAATACTCTGTGGCGTGACTAACAAACACAAGCCTGAAACTGGTTATATGCATTTTATAAAGTTGGCCATTTTTTATACTGAGCAGGTTTAGTTTAGTACACCTAATACTTACTTTTAATCAAACATGCCTTTCTAAGCACTCATTGTGTGATGAATCACTTTGCATCTGAATACAGGAGGGTGTATATTGCTACATGCATTAATGATTATACAAAACAGTCTTTGGCAGAGAAACTAACTCTTTGGTCAATTTGATTTTAACATACATGTAAATGTAACATCCTTTCCAATTTGAGGGGTATTAGTGAGATGGGCAGGGAACTTCAAACAACACCACACCTGGACCAAATTCCGCAACAGTTGATACTCTTGCTGCTCCGTTAGTGAAGCCCAGCTGTCTGCAGACCACTTCAGCATCATTCATGTCCCAGTTATCATCACAGACAGTACCCCAGACACCGTCATGATGGACCTCCACACGCCCGTAGTTGGGATATGGCCCAACCAGCCGAACATCGCCCTCACTGCCCTCATCAGGCTCATCTGGTGGACATAATGATAAAGAAAAAGGATTTATTTTTGTGAATGTTGGTCAGTTTGACACAGTGTTGTAGTACTCGTACTCGGTACTCGTACTCGAATGTCAAAGTACTCGAAATGACGGTGCATGTACTCGGGCAGCAAAGTACTCGTACTCGAATAGCAATACTTGGGGGGGGGGGAATGGTATAGCCTGACTTTATATACCACGGCCTTATTTTATCAATGCTTTCAGTTTGAAATAGTTTTTCAGCTTGTGGAGAAATCGAACTTTCCTGATTTTCCTCTGTACATGTTCGGACAAACACATTTACATGTAACAGCTAGCCGTGAGTGGGTCTGTATCATCGGTCTGACTAGGCCTGGGCCAATTACGCACAATGAACCATTTGCTGTATGGCTGTATTCGGGAAATAAAAGTACTCGTACTCTTACTTGGAAGTACAGTACTCGTACTTGTACTCGGCAGTACTAGTACTCGTACTCGGAGACCTGTTCTTGTACTCAGAGGTACAAGTACTCGTACTCGGCAACCTAAGTACTCGGCAGTACTTGGTACTCGGAAGAAAGTACTCGACTACAACACTGGTTTGACACTTATTGAACTTGTCTGAACACAGCCTTTAAAACTCTCACAGCAGATTAACAGACTGAGACCAGCCAGTGTGAAGTGGGATGATTCATCCATGACTTTCGGGTCAACTTAATGTAAATAATTATCAACGCACAGGGTGTATGCTAAATGTTGGTATATTAAGGCACCCCTTAAAATACCTTCCTTTTTTGTTCTTTATAAACTTTTATTTGTAAAAATATCTCAAAACATCTAGAAACAGGAAATCCATATTTCAAAAAGAATCTATTAAAAGTACAGAAATTAGGAGAAATCCGGACCAAGAAATCCTGAAATCCGGAATATCCTGACAAATCTCACAATCTCACAAATAATCTAGAAGTGACTTAGTAAAGTTGAGTACTGATGTTCCGTGTACAAGCTATCTGTAATGATAATGCAATTTGGTGTTGATGTTGTCAACGATCAGCGAAACAAGTTATAGACCCGAAGCCAAACCAAGTAGCCTATCAGACCGACGTTCCACTTCTTGTTAACTGTTAGTGATACAAATGAATTTATCTCCTATTTATTTGTTACACAGTGTTCAAATATTTGTCACTCGAATTGACTACAGCTAAGTTTTTGACTCCACTTGACTCGACTCAACTACGCACCGTGACTCAACTAGACTCGACCTTCTTGACCTAATGACTCCCAACGTCTTCCGAATGATCACAGACTCTTGTGTCCCCCATCCAGCAGTTCAGTAAAGTGAGTAAGGTACTTTGAGAGGTAAGCAACTGTCTTGCTGTAAGAGTACATGACACACATCAAACATTACAAACAGTTCAGTCGCATCTTCCATAGACAACCCAAGCGCATGTACATGTGTGACACGAATACGACGCGCTCAGCTCCACAGCGATTCTACACAAGGCAAAGAAAAAGACGGCCTCACGGCCGTTTCCAAGACTTTCAGAGTAATGCGCACCAAGTTTGACTTAGAAGATATATTACTTTAAAAATCTGGAGGACAATTTTTACAAAATGAACAACCAATCATCCGTACCTGGTACATTTCCTTACTTGTGATGACACAAACATTTTGACTGACAGCAGAACGATTTATGGAGATTTGCACATAATTGACAGTGTGACCCTTGGGCTACCCCACTGTGCGTAATGTACCGATAGTTCCCGGATTTATGACTCCCCGTAACTTCAAGTAATAAATGCACCCTTGGCACTGTGAAGAGGATTTAGTAAGCTTCATTTTGAATTGTCATTCACTGCAGTTGGTAAAACTATGCCCCCGTACCTAGGACCAAACATATTGTCTACTCATCAGTCCTTTGGCCGCCATAAAATACGGCGAACAGCATTTCGCTACTACAATACTATACGCTCCACCGCTGTGTTGTTAGTAACAACTCAGCGTGCACGTGCCCGCGCGATCAGGCGATGGTAGACTTGCACTGACAAACACGGGGTATGCACACATGCAAAAGGATAAACGCGATTGCTGCGACAAACGCTCATTCCGCGCGCACCGCATGTAATCAATAAGTGACTTAGTAAAGTTTAGTACTGATGTTCATTTTGCGACTCGCCGTGTACAAACTATTTGTAATGAGCAATCTTTGTGCAAATATCCATTCCCTTGAACAGAATACAAATCCCACTTTGGTTTCATCAGCATCAAAACCAAAAACAGGCGCGGATCCAGGGGAGGGCCGCGGGGGCACGTGCCCCCCGTCAAATTTGAGTCAAAAAAAAAAAAAAACAGGAATAGAAGGGGAAAAAAGAGGGGAGGTGAGGGAAGGAGGAGGTAACCTCCTTACAAAAATACCGGCGCCAATATTAAACATGAGCCTGCAAACATTGCGTACTCGACTTGAGAAGCTTCGAAATAAACTGCCATCCCATCGTACGTACCCCGTACGTACGTACGTACGTACGTATTACCCTGCATATACCGTTATTAAATGCGATTCATACGAACGTACACGATTTATTCTCAACGAACATGCAGCTTTATGTGCGTGACAAACACACGTTGTGCAGTGCTCTTTGGACCACACCATTGGTTAAAGCTATAGTCCATCATTTGCAGCCATCCGAAAAAGTAACTGGCGTAATTATTGTTGAAAAACACGAAAGCACAATGGAGGACTGTTTTTAACAAAAGACGAACGGTCGAGGACAACAAAGAATCTGTTGTTCTCCCTCTGTCTGTCTGTCCTCGGGGTGTATGTAAAATAAGCACACAAATGCATGTATTGTGCAATAAGCATTTTCACGTTTGCATTTACTGATAACCTACATACAATTTGAAATCCAATGCTTTGATTTATTTTAGCTTAAAAGGCTAGCTCATCATTATTATTAATGACATAGCCCTTCCCCATAAAAGACAAAACCCAATTGGTCACAATAGCAAGAGTTGTATGAAGTCACGCATCAATATGTAAAGTGCATTGCATCATTTCAAAAGCTTTAATTGTGATTGGCCAGTTGAAAAATGACTCATTTATTTCTGGAAACCTACTGCTCTGTGATTGGTCCATTTCAAGCGTGACTGTGTTTCTGTACTTTGTTTTCATCCAAAAGGAGATGAAAGATAAAAGAGACTCATTAAATTAAGAAGTTACACAAGCTACAAGACGGTTTTTCAGCCTTTCACTTAGATGGAAGTACCGACAGCAATGCTGGTGTCTGTGTTGCATTATCCGGTTTGTTAGTGTGACGTCAGTTCAGTCTAAACCATGCCCACTGGCCATTAAGTAGCATTGGAACCTTCGGAACCTTAAGCTAATGCAACTTGGGTGTTTATCCAATGGGCGCTTGTAATCAGTGGTGCGAGCGTGTGTATGACGTTTTTACTAGCGAACCGGATGCCAGACACGGGCACATACACAAACTGTTTGATTTGTGCCCTCCCACAGATAGAAACCCAGACCACTTGGACAAGGCTACGGTAACACAGAAATTCGCTAAAACTTTGTACTTCCAACAACAAAAAAAGCTGAAGGAAAATCACCCCTGTAACCGAACCCATTAGTGCAAGGAAAGGAAACTTAAAAAGCATCAAAATAATAAGTACCTACAAAAATTTCAATTCCAGTCAGACTCTGTAAACTAGGTTCACTAAATAATGGCAAACAAGTAGCGTAATTGGCCTAATTGACATTGTATTATTATTAAAGCCATTTTAACAAATTTAAATTTTCAGTTTTTGAACCTACTGATGAAGTGATTTCAGGCTATCCATTATCCATAGCTTGTTTTGCATAGGGAGAATTTTTTTTCTAACTGAACTGTTGAAGTCAACTGTTAACACATATGGCATACCTGTTTCTGCTTCACAAGTAACCCCAACATCTTCTGTATGATCACAGACTGTTGTGTCCCAAATCCCCAAATAAAAGCAGTCATTCAGGTTGGCCTCTGTCCCGTCACACGATATCACAGACAGGATGGGACCTTCTCCTTGCCCAAACTCCGAGACGCCTTCCAGACTGTTCGTGACACCGCCGAAGCCCAACTGTCGGCAGACTACTTCGGCCGAGGTGGCAGACCAGTTATCGTCGCAGATTGTCCCCCAATTGCCCTCTCGGTAAACCTCAACGCGGCCACTGTTGGGTGTTGATCCGCCGGCCAGACGTAAGTTCTCGAAAACTTCACCACCACCACCACTGCCTGCATCTGATGAAAAATTTAGAGCACAGCTTGCAAATATCTTCCCCAAGCATCGTGCATTCTAGTTCTATTTAATGGTTTAGTTTATGTCAACTGTATTACATTGTGTTATATTGTTTTCATTCACTGTAATGAATCCATTAACTTATTGAGTGATCTGGCGGTTTCAGGCACTACTAAGGGTAATATTCAGGTAGTTTGGAGTGTTAGAACGACAACTGGATTAATATCTATGAAAGTCTGAAAGATCAGCAGTTCAGTATGTGAGTATGGCAAGCAACTGTCTTCTGTTTTAAGGAAACATGACATAAATTTTACATCAAAACAAACTTTGCGCATATATCCATTTCTTCTATTAAACAGTATGAAATCCCTTCTTTGGTTTCATCAGCATTGAAAATTAAAAAGGCCCCAAAACTCTTGAAAATGGGAATATGAACACTGAAAACAATTTAGGATAGGACACACAAACATATTTTAGGAATGGCATTAAAACAATTCTATTACAAGATATTTTTAAATGAGTATTTGCAATGTCTTCCTCAACTAATTTACTATGATCAGTGATACATACCAGTATCAGCACAAACCACTCCAGCGTCCTCACTGTGCCCACAATTTTGCACTCCCCAACCTCTGTTTCCACAGTCTTCCAGTCTGGTGTCCTCTTCTGTGCAGGACACGTCATCCAGAAGGATTCGTCCTATACCTGCTCCAAACCGACCTCCACTAGCAGCCTCTACAGCACCTGTAAACCCAAGCTGCTTACAGACGACGTTGGCATCGGTATCATCCCATTCATCGTCACAGACGGTACCCCATTCACCTTGGTAGTAGACTTCCACGCGCCCTTCATTGTCATTCTCACCACCAATAAGTCGTACTTTCACATCAGGCTCTAAAAATGCAAATAGACAAAAACTTTCAATAAATATTCACCTATTTGAAAAACCATTCGTATTTGACCTAACAGCAGGGGTTTTGTAAACATGGCAGGTCCTTCCACCTGTCCGTGTAACTTTGTACTTGCACTGGTGCAATGAGAAATTTATGTTGTATCTTAATTTGAAGTTTAATTAGGTACAATTTGCTAGATGCATCAAGTGTCAAAACCTAAGCATAAAACATATATCTAAAATATCTTCTTAAATATGTTGAAGAGGCTTCTGCAAGTCTCTAGATACTGACCTTCGTTGGGCAAACAAACAACTCCTGCATCCTCAGAGTGACCGCAGTCGGTAGTTCCCCATCCTGCATTAGGGCAATCTGCAAGCCTGCTCTCCGTGTTGACACACTCAACTTCGTCCAAGAGGATTGGATCCACACCTATGAGGACAAATATGCCACAGTGTTCTATCATGTAGTCTACCGCCTTTTTTTCTCTCTGGACACTTACCCTTTTCATACACATATCCTTCTCAGACTGGCATTTCAGAGTTGCAACAAACCCAAGTATGCTGAAGATTTGAGTTACATAAACAGTTTGACGATTGAAACAGTTAGAAGCAACTATGTCTTTCAAAGATAAGCTGTTGTATTCCGAGGGATGAAAGTTATTAACAGCCTGAGATGCAAAGAACAAAAGTCTGAAACAGGTTAACACTTGGTTTAGTACACAACAGGCCTCTGAGCACTCATTATGAGATTAAGTTGCACTGTGCTGCCAAGGACGGGCGAGTGTATATTGCTATACAAGCATAACAGTCTTTGGGACAGTAACCCTACTCTTCGGTGAATTTGATTTTAACATACATGTAACATCCGTTCCAGTTTGAGGGGTATTTGTGAGACGCGGAGGCAACTTTGAACCAAAAACTCACCTTCACCAAATTCAGCATTCGTGACTGCTCTCCCAGCTCCGTTAGTGAAGCCCAGCTGTCTGCAGACCACTTCAGCATCATTCATGTCCCAGTTATCATCACAGACAGTTCCCCAGACACCGTCATGATGGACCTCCACACGCCCATAGTTCGGAGATGGCCCAACCAGCCGAACATCGCCCTCACTACCCTCAACAGGCTCATCTAGTGGACATGTTGATCAAGAATAATGCTCACTTCTATACTTATTTGATTGTCATTTAGTTTGCCATGAGCCCAATTACAGCCTCACTGCCAAGGTGGATTAACAGTTTTGAGACCAGTGTGAAGTTGGTTGATTCACATGTCAACTTATATTAGTTGTTCTAAGAGCGCGAGTGCAACACGAAATATTAAATGTAACGCATCAGATGAATGGCATACGGAACACAGACAAAATACATTTTCTGTCTTCCGCTATCGTCAACAACAAGCAAACTTGACGCACAGTAAAGATGCCGACACGTTTGTCATACATAATCTTTTCAGCAGGTACCCTGTTGCTAAAAGGAATAGCATGCGCATCTTTAATAGAATAGCACAATATTGACTGTGGTATACTGGATAATCACACTGATGTTTAATTGCCATGGATCAACTAATCAGGATCAAAAATTTAATATTGCTTGAAGATAAATGTTATTAAAGTATCCATACGCATGCAAAATAGAGCACTGTGCTCCGTGTGACACATGATGCGTTCTGGAGGAGTAGACAGTATGATAAGGTGCAGTGCATTGCAACCAATCAGATTTCAGAGTTTGGGTTTTGTCTGTCCTCATAATACCCATGTGATTTGTGGTCAGCTCTCCACTCTATGGACACCATGGACGAACAGTGTATGGCCCCTCATCACCCCTTATTGGCACTCTCGTGGGAGGGATGCAACACACAAATGTTCAATGGTTTGCACTTGTGAGATGAAAACCATGGCCAGGTTATGGCCGCAAACTGGCAAGATTTGCATCAACGTTGTTACGACTTGCACAGCTTCAAAGTTATGTAAGTATACATTTGTGAATGTGCAAAATGTGTAGCTTGTTTGCGATTGTCTAAACAGAAAACATGTTTACGCACATGTCGAAGAATCAGAATTATTCAACTTTGGACTTAAAAGACTATGATCTAATTACTCTTTGGACAAGTCAGACTGGAAAAAGTATACTCACATGGCTTAACGCTCAACTGGATGTAAAATGAAGACTGACTACTAAAGGAACTAAAAATGTCAAAGGAACGTTCCATACAGAATGGGAACGTTCTGACTTTGAGACACTCCCTTTAGACACTCCTTAAGGGTACATGACACAAAGTTTGCATCAAAGCAAACTTTACGTTAATATCCATTCCCTTGAACAGTATGAAAAGTCCTCTTTGGTTTCATCGGCTTAAAAACACAAAAGGTCCCCAAACTCTTGAAAATGGCAATATGAAAACCAAAAATATTTTGTGATACGACACAAGAACGTACTTCAGGACTTGTACTAAAAATATTTATATATATATATATCGAGAGATCTTTACATGAGTATTTGCAATGTTTTCCTCAATAATTTACTATTATCAGTGATACATACCAGTATCAGCACAGACCACTCCAGCGTCCTCACTGTGCCCACAATTTTGCTCCCCCCAACCTCTGTTTCCACAGTCTTCCAGTCTGGTGTCCTCTTCTGTGCAGGACACGTCATCCAGAAGGATTCGTCCTGTACCTTCTCCAAACCGAGCTCCACTAGCAGCCTCTACAGCACCTGTAAACCCAAGCTGCTTACAGACGACGTTGGCATCGGTATCATCCCAGTCATCGTCACAGACGGTACCCCATTCACCTTGGTAGTAGACTTCCACGCGCCCTTCCTTGTCATTCTCACCACCAACAAGTCGTACTGTCACATCAGGCTCTAGAAAAAGCAAACAGTCAAGAACTTTCAATAATTATTCACCTATTTGAAAACCATTCGTATTTGACCCAACGGCAGGGGTTTTGTAAACATTGCAGGTCCTTCCACCTGTCCGTGTAACTTTGTACTTGCACTGGTGCAATGAGAAATTTATGTTGTATCTAAATTTGAAATTTAATTAGGTACAATTTGCTAGATGCATCAAGCGTCGAAACCTAAGCATAAAACATATATCTAAAATATCTTCTTAAATATGTTGAAGAGGCTTCTGCAAGTCTCTAGATACTGACCTTCGTTGGGCAAACAAACAACCCCTGCATCCTCAGAGTGACTGCAGTCGGTAGTTCCCCATCCTGCATTAGGGCAATCTACAAGCCTGCTCTCCGTGTTGACACACTCAACTTCGTCCAAGAGGATTGGATCCACACCTATGAGGACAAATATGCCACAGTGTTCTATCATGTAGTCTACCGCCTTTTTTTCTCTCTGGACACTTACCCTTTTCATACACATATCCTTCTCAGACTGGCATTTCAGAGTTGCAACAAACCCAAGTATGCTGAAGATTTGAGTTACATAAACAGTTTGACGATTGAAACAGTTAGAAGCAACTATGTCTTTCAAAGATAAGCTGTTGTATTCCGAGGGATGAAAGTTATTAACAGCCTGAGATGCAAAGAACAAAAGTCTGAAACAGGTTAACACTTGGTTTAGTACACAACAGGCCTCTGAGCACTCATTATGAGATTAAGTTGCACTGTGCTGCCAAGGACGGGCGAGTGTATATTGCTATACAAGAATAACAGTCTTTGGGACAGTAACCCTACTCTTCGGTGAATTTGATTTTAACATACATGTAACATCCGTTCCAGTTTGAGGGGTATTTGTGAGACGCGGAGGCAACTTTGAACCAAAAATTCACCTTCACCAAATTCAGCATTTGTGACTGCTCTCCCAGCTCCGTTAGTGAAGCCCAGCTGTCTGCAGACCACTTCAGCATCATTCATGTCCCAGTTATCATCACAGATAGTTCCCCAGACACCGTCATGTTGGACCTCCACACGCCCATAGTTCGGAGATGGCCCAACCAGCCGAACATCGCCCTCACTGCCCTCAACTGGCTCATCTAGTGGACATGTTGATCAAGAATATTGCTTACTTCTATACTTATTTGATTGTCATTCAGTTTGCCATGAGCCCAGTGGCGTACGCAGGATTTTTTCAAGGGGGGTGTTTCAAAATTGGATGTCGTCATTTATGACGCTAGAAATGAAGATGGTAAATTGTGTTGGCGCCAGAAATAAAAATTGGATCAGTGGGCTAAACTTTACGCTAAAATAAAAGTCAGGAGTTTGTGTTGGCGCCAGAAATAAAAGAGGGTATATTTGGACGGGTTAAAATCGAAGGGCCGGGAACCCACGACCATCAGTTATCTTTTTGAGCTAAAGCATAGTAAATCGGGAAAAAAAATGTTCTGTGTCTTTAGAGTATGATGAACATAATGAGTAAAGGGGTCAATGTGGGCAGTCCCCTCCCTCAACAGCATTTAAACCAAAAAAAAAGAAAAAATTCAAGAAAAAAAGTGACACGGGCTGCGGAAGTGCTAGGATTTGTTCTTGTTATTGGCTAAAATCACCCAGCTTTGTCCCCTGGATCTCATGATTCTCATCCGTTGGGAATCTTTGTGTAAACCGCCCCCACCCCTAAGGCCAAACTTCAGATACAGGATACATATATATGCGCTCTGGTCACAGGAACGGATTCAGACTGCCATTTGCCGGGGGACCTAGAATTATTGTAATGAAGGGTTCAGGACCTGCGAAGCCCTTACGGCGTGGGGTCCGGGGCCCGCTTAAGGGCCCCGGAAAAAATTTGGATTTTAGATGCTCTGTGGTGCAATCTGAGGCGATTCCTGGCCACTTCCACCGTTTAGAAAACGTTTTAAACATCGAAAATTCCATTTAAATTTGTTATTTTTAAATTTTTTTTATAAAGTTTGTTACGTACTCAAAGTTGAGAACCATGTTCCATCTCCGTATTTTTTCACAATTTTCTATTTTGGAAAGGGATTTATGCCACTTGTAGAGCCATTCGCTGCTGAAGGTACAAAATGGTGGGGGCACCGCTAGGGTAAAATTATAGCATAGAGGGAATTTGAATCCCGGGACATACCGTTATTTCGTTTTACCGTTTTGGATTTCCTCAAAAACCAAAACAGTAAACGAATCATCGACCGTTTTGTCGTTTTACAGTGTTATAAAACGACAAGCGGTATTAAGATAAATACGGTTTCTCCGTTTTATAAGTTTAGTAAAATTCATTATAGCATTACGATCAATGATTTTTGTTTTACAGATTACACAAATACAGACTGTTTTTTTATTCCAGTGTCATGGTTAACAGTCCGTGGTGCATTTTGTGGCGGTGGGCAAGGGGGTGGAGGGGGACCATGTTTTACACGAAGAAGTGTTACCTCGGCATAATTAATGCGTGATGTGATTCCTGGCGCGGACCCTGACCCCTTTCTCATGCGATTCAGTCAAGTTGGTGGGGCTTAAAGAGTTCCAAGCAAAATGGCGCTGGAAAACTTCAAGGGAGGACATTACTTTTGACAATGGAAACAGGATGGTAATAAGACGTTTGATGAAGTTGCAGACATTTTGAAGGAAACTGGGGTTCAAGTCGACGCGGCTGTTCAATAGCCAATTCGCAAATTTTGTCGTGAGAACGAAATGTAAGGAGCGGGGCCCAGGCAATGACTCGATCCCAAGGACGCATTAATTAACATTCTGGTGCACTGCTTAATTGCCGAACCTAAAATCAAAAAATGGTCGGCAAGACTATTGACCGTTTTGTCATTGTCATGATTTTGTAAAACAACACTCTAAAAAAAAAGCAACTAACCGTTTAACGCTTTCTACAATTAAAAACAACAACAAAAAGTATTTTGTGTGTGTGACTTAATACCGTTTGACCGTTTTACAAAACTGTAAAACGAGAAAACGGTCAATGGTTCGTTTACTGTTTTTGTTTTTGAGGACATCCAAAACAGTAAAACAAAATAACGGTATGTCCCGCGATTAATTTGGCCGGAGGACCAATGTGAGCGCGGAGCGTGAAGCACTTACGGCGTGGGGTCCGGGGCCCGCTTAAGGGCCCCGGGAAATTTTGGATCGTAGATGCTCTGTGGTGCAATCTGAGGCGTTTCCTGGCCACTTTCCCCTGGTTTTTTTAGCAGAAGTTTTTAAAATTATGAGGGGATATTTTGATTCATTTGTTTCAAATACATATAGGCCAATGTACTCTTGCTCTTATAAAGTGTCTTCTGTATTCAAAGCTTAAAGTTGAGAACATGCACATAATTTGTAATTGTTCCGCGCTCGGTCACATAACTCTCTTTTCCCTCCATATTTTTACATGGCAAAGGGGGGTGTTTAACAGCCAAAACACCCCCCCTGCGTACGCGCCTGCATGAGCCCAATCACAGCCTCACTGCCAAGGCAGATTAACAGTTTTGAGACCAGTGTGAAGTTGGTTGATTCACATGTGAGTTAGAGGTCAACTTATATTAGTTGTTCCAAGAGCGCGAGTGCAACACAAAATATTAAATGTAACGCATCAGGTGAATGGCATACGGAACACAGACAAACTACATTTTCTGTCTTCCGCTATCGTCAACGTCAAGCAAACTTGACGCACAGTAAAGATGCCAACACGTTTGTCATACACAAACTTTTCAGCAGGTATCCTGTTACTTGAGCCTTTAAAGGGAATTATAGCATGCGCATCTTTAATAGAATAGCACAATATCGACCGTGGTATACTGGATAATCACACTGATGTTTAATTGCCATGGATCAACCACTCAGGATCAAGGATTTAAGATTGCTTGAAGATAAATGTTATTAAAGTATCCATACGCATGCAAAATAGAGCACTGTGCTCCGTGTGACACATGATGCGTGCTGGAGGAGTAGACAGTATGATAAGGTGCAGTGCATTGCAACCAATCAGATTTTAGAGTTTGGGTATTGCCTGTCCTCATAATACCCATGTGATTTGTGGTCAGCTCTCCACTCTATGGACACCATGGACGAACAGTGTATGGCCCCTCATCACCCCTCATTGGCACTCTCGTGGGAGGGATGCAACACACAAGTGTGCAATGGTTCGCACTTATCGCACTTATGAGATCGAAAAACATGGCCAGGTTATGGCCGCAAACTGGCATAATCTGCATCAACGTTTTTACGACTTGCACAGCTTCAAAGTTATATAAGTATACATTTCTGAATGAGCAAATGTGAAGCTTCTTTGCTTGAGCATAATGTGATGTTAGCAATGTGTTTAGGATTACTTCCCAGTGGTCCCTCCCCCACACTTTCTTTCTTTGTTATCACTGAAAGAGTACTTGAGCATGAGAAGAATGAGTGAACTTTCTACCTAGAAAAATTCAGCATCAACACTCATGGGTGTCAATTGGTGCGGGGAAGGGGGGGACCAACTCCTCCCCCCCCCCATTTTAAAAAGTTGGGGGGGGGGACATCGTTTGTCCCTCCCTCACTTTTTTGTATATTGTGCAATCGTTTCACACTACACACACATGGCCGGCCGGCCTCCCTACACATGTTTTATAGCTCCATTTATGCACTTCACTGCACTTCACTTCCCGGTTCTAAAGGATGTCACACTTCGGTACTCTGTACTATTCATAAGATACGTCGGTGAGTGGCAAAACCTAATATTGATCTAAATTATTATACTACACTCATACCAGTGCACTTCACTCCAGCATCTTCAATGTGGCCACAATTGTCCTCTCTCCATCCACTGCTTGGACAGCCTTCCAGTCTGGCCTCCTCTCCCGTGCAGGCCACGTCATCCAGCAGAATCTCTCCTGGACCTTCCCCAAACCTGGCTCCCAGGTAAGCATCTGTGGCACGTGCATATCCTAGCTGTGCACAGACAACGGTGGCATCATTCAAATCCCAACCGTCGTCGCAGACAGTGCCCCATTCACCTTGGTAGTAGACTTCCACGCGCCCTTCCTTTTCGTTCTCCCCGCCAACAAGTCGCACTGTGATCTCAGGCTCTGAGAATACAAACACAAAACTAGATTAGGCCATAAAAGATTTGAGGCTTTGCATGGTGGGGTATCGGTATCGTTTCGGTTTGCGGTAACACCATGTGGTAATAACTACTGCTTAGAAGATATTAGTTCTGAGAAGAACTTGTCCTGCTTATTATCAACTTTGCTAAGTAGTTTATTTTTTTGTTCTGTTTCCTGACGATGACTAGAGCAGGCTAGTCGAAACGTTGAGACCAAAGACAAGTTCTTTTAGAACTTACAGCAGGACTGTTCTAAACAGAACAAAAAAATATATTACTTAGCAAAGTTGATAATAAGCAGGACAAGTTCTTCTCAGAACTAATATCTTCTAAGCAGTAGTTATTACCACATGGTGTTACCGCAAACCGAAACGATAGATTAGGCCAGCCTTCAAATTAGAATCCCTCCCCAGACTGTTCGGGGTTGAGCCCACCCAGTATGTCGCAGGGATCGGGACTTTGGATGGAATGATCGGGCCTGGATTAACTCCACCAGGCTTCCGCACCTTGCTCTGGCTCATCACAAAGGAACCAATTTGTGACGGGCTTAATCCCCCAGTAGGCAACAATGACTGTGAGCTTCAAAGATTTTATTGCTGCCAGTAATCCCCCATACCATTGCCTTTGTGTACTAATAAGACGTTTACTAATCCTATAATCCTCCAACTGGCCAGACTTCAATCTATAATGCCCACTGTTCAAACCCTGAGTCACTGGTTCGGACCGTCACGCTTCAGTAACCGGGTGGCTTCTGGCTTCATACTGATCGGGGTGAAAGGGATTGGCTTACCGAGCCCGGTACCTGAACGGTCTGTTATCTGATGGCTGGCCTTAAATGAGACTTAAAGATTCACATGCAGACATTAACAATGAATGAAAGTTTTGCGGTAATACTATGTGAATGACATCTCTTTGTGAGTTGTGTGGGTCTTAGAAGATCCAGTTATTCTAGCTCGACGTTTTGTTAAACTACTGGTTGTTCTCAGAACCAGACAACTCGAATGAGATATGATTAACATGGGGTTACCGCAAACCTTTCATTCATGGATCCTATAGACCGACTTTGGACTTGGCAATTGATTTGGGGTCCACTCATAAGTTCGATGCCTCATAGGGTAATTCATAAGTCAGAAATTTCGGACTTGTGAGCAGTCGGACATATGAGGCATAAATTCCGACTCATAGGTCCGACGCCACATAAGTCCGAGGCCTCATAGCCCCGATGCCAAATAAGTCTGATATTTCGGACTTATATGAGGCGTCGAACCTATGAGGCGGAATTTATGCCTCATAAGTCCAATGCCTCATTACTCCAAAATATCGGACTTATGAGGCGTCGGGCCTAGGAGGCGTCCAACTAATGATACCGCCCCATTGATTTGTTTTTCAAAAACTGGATTAGCTTCACAATAGATTCCAGAACCTTTACTTCAACTTGCAGCGAAGGAATGATGGGAATGAGTCTCCCTCACCCATTCACAATGTCAACAAATTTGAGCTCAATACATTTCCCCTAAACTCATAGGTAATTACATATTTTCAAACCTTTTTTGTTTTAGTATGATCTATAGTCAGTGAAACTTTATTTAAGTTTCTATGAAAAGATGTATTAAAATACTTTTTACAATCGTTGTTTCCTTTTCTCCGTGTCACTTACCTTCGCTGGGCACACAGACAACGCCTGCATATTCAGAATTTCCACAATCATGAGTTTCCCATCCTGCATTGGGGCAATCTTCAATTCTGGTCTCTGCACCTGAGCAAGCAACTTCATCCAGGAGAATTGGGACTTCACCTTGAAGAGAACGAAAACAAAACTTTGATAATCATTTATCAGCAAAACAATAAGTACACATGGGCTAGGCGACAAACATTGATGAGCTCTGATATCATCACTTCATTTTAATTATTTCTTTCTTTTTTTTCTTTCTGGTAATGAAATCAAGGATTCCTCAAAAGTGTCCTTAAAGCACTGTAGCTCGAAAACCTGAAGAAACCTGTGGAGAGAAGACAATGGGAAGAAATTACAGTTTTAGAGGTGAGAGGAAAAGCCCAGAGGAATATTCTGAAGAAAACCCATGGAATCAGGTAGGGACTGAAAATCCAACCAACATGTTTGCCCGGGCGGGATTCGAACCCAGGTCACAGCAATGGAAGGCAAGGAAAATAACACTACGCCAACCTGACTCCCCTCATACTTTCCGAAAGGTCAGTGAATGCTAAAGAATCACTAAAACAAAATAAACACCAATACCTGCTCCAAAATGTGAACCGGTAGTTTCTCTCACTGCCCCATTAGTGAAGCCCAGCTGTCTGCACACCACGTTGGCATCGGTAATGTCCCATTGGTCATCGCAGATGGCTCCCCAAACATCATTGTATTTCACCTCAACACGGCCGTTGTTGGGTTCAGGACCAATCAGTCGAACGGTGTCAGTTAGCGCGCCCCCTCCTGGACTCCCTCCTTCATCAAAGACACCAAAAATCAATGACACTGATTATGTGATATGCATGCATTTCCGCTATGAATGAGGAAAACCAAAACATTTGGAAGTTGAGAATATTACCGGGGTTACGGAGTAATTCGGCAAACAAAATGAGAAGCCATTTCGAGGTGGCACCACATCCGAACGCAAGCCGCATGCGTTCTTAAAGACAAAGTGTGCGCGCATTTTGGTAACACTATTTGTCCAAGGAGCCCGGACGTGCGTTTGCACTATCTGAGTGCGACTCGCATCGAGCCTGGTGCCACTGCAGAAAATGGCCGTCGCCGAATTAGTCTACAGGGGTAGTGGAGGTATAATTACATCTGTGCTGATCATCCTTTCCTTGAGCAAGTGGTTCTTCATTGAAATAGCCCCTTGTAGATGCTTCATATTAGGTCAAGTATAGCCCATTCCTATACTGCACTCATCAGTGTGCATTTGCGGTACAGATCCAAGTGGCCCACGTGAACGTGCTTTGGCAGCCTGTTTTCTTGAGGGGCTTTCAACCTTCTAAAACAAACTAACCAACAGGGCTGGGGTTTATTAAATATCATCAATAATTATGTACCAGTACAGACGACTCCTGCATCCTCTGAATGACGGCAATCTTCATCTCTCCAAGCGTTGCTTGGACACTCTTCGAGTTTTGTCTCATCCCCGACGCAAGCTACTTCATCCAGCAATGTCGCCCCGGAGCCTTCACCAAACGCGGCTCCACCGACAGCCTCTACGGCCCTCTCAAACCCAAGCTGCTTACAGACGACGTTGGCATCGTCCTCATCCCAGCTGTCGTCGCAGACCGTACCCCATTCACCTTCATAGTAGACCTCTACACGTCCTTCATTAGTGTTCTCACTGCCAACGAGGCGCACAGTTGGAGTAGGCTCTACACAATATTTCAAAACGCCAGATAATTCCCTGATTAAGGATAGGTGGGTACACCATGGAATATCTCTTCTGTAAAGAGTGTGGTTCTAAAGAGAAACCAGAGGTGATCAATGTTCTCAGAGAACAATTGCCACTTTCAGTTCTTTTCAGAACTACACATCTTGGAACTAATCTCACCTCCGGTTCTTTTCAGAACCACACTTCTTTACAGAAGAGTTATTCAATACCTTTATTGTACAAAGCTTCCAATCACAGATAATTACTCACCCACAATATTACTTTATGACCCAGATATTTTCCTGAAAAGTGAATGAATCGTTTTATTAGGATGGATGAAGCCTGAAAAACTATAGGCCTTCTTGCTGTAAATATTCCACACGTTCTATTTTACTTGCGTAAATGCCCCGGTAAAAGTCAAGGCATATGTACCTTCCTGAGGATGTGCAATACAATATTAAGCAAGTCACAGTTTCAAGTGAACCTTACCTTCATCCGGCAAACAAACAACGCCGGCATCTTCAGCATGATTACAATCGCTGGTTTCCCATCCTGCATTGGGGCATTCTTGAATTGTGGTCTCCTGGCCGGTGCAGCCCACCTCGTCCAGAAGAATGGGGCCCTCACCTTGATGATAACAATTCAAATATCTCTTTCATAATTCGATTTCTTTTGGAAGTGAAAACAGAAAACTGACTTGGACCTGCTTCAGTCGGTTTGCAGCATGGCTCATGTTGCAAGCATTGTGACTTAGGGGTGTCATCCCCGGCTACACAGCGTGTTACGGGCGATTCCCTTACAGTTTGCCACCAAGAGGTTGCCATGGGGAGTCCATTTTTCGCAGTGCATTGTGGGAGACAGTCGACGCATTCACAAGGCGTGGGACACTTAAAATTCTTAGTTTGTCCAGTCAGTAGTTTCGTAAGCGTATGATTCAAGTATCGTTTTTCTTTTCTTTTTTTTTTTAATATCAGGATGGTGTTTTTTGTGAGACAGCAGATTGCTACGCCCCGATCGATAAAAATTTAACTCAACTTGTGCACTGACATTCGTTCAAATCACGGTAAGTCGGCCTTGTTTTTGTTGACCGTAAACTTGAAAAATGGACTCTCTAGGCAGTGGGCAGCCTCTTAACCCTTACTCTCTGAGGGTAGTTTACTGCATGTCAGTTGGTTATGCCAATGCCCTCCAGCTGCAGTTAATTGGAGGATAAACTATCTTGACAGTGAAGGCTCCAATTGGCAGGAGTTGGAGGCCCTGGAGGGTGCCTGATACTGACCAGCTGGGGGCACTCACTTTGTTATCAGAGGACTCTCATTGTTCTCCGTGGCATGTATTGGAGTGCCTGTCCAGTTACCCTTGAAATGACATGGCAGATATTGGAGGGCCTTGCAAAAAACATAGGAGATTTTCTTGAGGCACATATTGGCATGCGTTGGAGGGTCTAGTAGGGTAAGGGTTAATGGCACACTGTATTTGGAATAACCTGTATCTTTGGTTTCTTTGTCTTTTACCATTAAGATTCATATATGAAACCCATTTTGTTTTTCAATATACAGTTTTTCTGTTTACAATAAATGAATCCCTAAGTGAGTGAGTATTGCAGGGGTGCTTTTATTTTATTTATTTATTTATTTCTCAAAGGCAGGCCTGTTTTTTCAACGATGATGCTGACATGACCAGTTGCTTATTCCAGCAAAGCTTGGAGCAGCCTAGCCTAGCAGGCAAGGTCATCACAAAGGCCTAGACATGTGCATTGTACAAATCTTAAACTCATACAATTCTCCCTTCTTAACAAAAGCCTTTTAAGGTTTTGCCAAAAAATACTCTCATGAGGGAAAACTTCTTCACAGAAAATCCCACAAATTGCATCAGAAAAGCTGAATTCCAAGACAGTTCAAACTGCAATACAGGGTAATTGTTCAATGATCATGACGCAAATTGTCCTTTTTTGAGAAAACTGGGGAAAAGTAACAATACCTAGACCAAACTCAGCTATGGGTGCTGTTCGCACAGCTCCGTTAGCAAAGCCCAGCTGTCTGCAGACCACGTTGGCATCGTCCATATCCCATCGATCGTCACAGATCGTTCCCCAGACGCCATTGTAGTTCACCTCAACACGCCCCAGGTTCGGTTCAGGACCAACCAGGCGAACTTCGTCAGTTGAAGGTACTGATTCTGAATGTATTGTTTCAATTTTTAAAATTGTATCAGCTTGAGATGGTTTTGAGAGACAAACGTAATAGGCAATCAGGACGCGTTATATCTGTACCTGATTTGGCCTTTTTGCAAGGATAAAAAACCAGACCACTTCGAAATTATCTGTTGTTTTTTTTCAAAGTGAAATGAAACCCTCATTTACTGATGAAGCTTTCTGGTTATGGGCATACAAGCCTTAATAACAAACCAGTATGGAATTCAAACAAAAATACTCCACAGTAGAGTTTAAATTTTATGAGTTCCAAAGATTTGTGCCTAATCATAGATGCACTCAGCTAGCTTCACTCAGAAAGGCACTGTAGTCAACGACTACTGATTGCTTTTGAGTGGTGTAGAAAAGTAGCTTCACATGGTGATGCATGGAGTATTTTATTATTATGGATCGCATAACGGAGCTAGTTTTACTATACCATGAGTTAAAACAGTCAATAGTTCCGCATATTTTTTTTATAAATCATTACCATTATTATTATAGTTTATTTGTTCATGCATGATAAGAAAGCAAATATAGTTAATACCATGTGACATGCTTTGGCCAATCAAGAGACAGAATCTGTGGACGAGGCGTTATAATATATAAATAATGAATGTTCATGAGTGCAATGGTAAGAATAATTTCATGAGGCGACAGATGGAATGTTCCATTCCACCCAGCTTCGCAGACTTGTATTCGAGTCACCAAACATCAAGTCCGAGTCACCTCTCCCGAGTCCGAGTCCGAGTCACAAGTCACAAATGTCAAGTCCAAGTCCGAGTCATGATCACCTTTAACATATATCGGAACTACATTTTGAGGTACTGTTAAAACCTCACGGTGTAAATGTTTCCATTTTTTCACAGCTTTTCTCTAATTTAATGAACTGGAAATCTATGTATAGTATACAAATATTGAATGCTTCGAGTGGTGTAGTAAAACTAGGCTCCCGAGGTGATCCATGGACATTCTATTTTCCCGAGGCAAAGCCGAGGGAAAATAAAATGCTCCATGGATCACCGAGGGAGGCTAGTTTTACTTCACCACGAGATAAAGCATTCAATATTTGTTTTATAACACTTCACCCACAGATTCTGCTTGGTTATAATATTTTAAATTATTTAAATCTGAACGCAGTTGAAATAAACTTCAATTTCAATAAAAAATTGGTGGAAAATGTATTTCTCTCTTCCAAACTACCCCTTCGCGAAATGTTGGAACCCAACTCTGTGGCGCGCTCTCTTTGGAACAAAACGCGCTACGTGCAACGCCCAACGCGCACACCAGCATGCATTTGCACACAAATACCGCGCCGTGGAAATAGTACTTTGGTTGCTAATGGTATAGTACTTTGGTTGCTACGGGTATAGTTCTTTTGGCCGTGCACAGAAAGATAGCAAAAATAGAAAGTATCACGTGACTCGCTCTCGGCCAATCAAGACACAGAATCTGCGGGTGAGGTGTTATAAACCTTTCTATTGTTTATAAACATTGTGCGTCGTTTTGTGTAGCATAAATCGAAGCGTTGGTTCTTCATTTTTGCAGTGTTGGACCTTCCATAGTTCAGTTTGGCAAACTGTGGTTGGCAAAATGTTTCAACTACGTGTCGGCAATAGAAAGGTCTTTTAGCATTAAGCAAGGCACTTTTGACTGGAAAAGATAATCTGCTACCGAACACTGTCAAGCTTGCAGTGTGGTCGCTGGGATGCAGGTTTCTATACATTGATTACCAAAATCAATATATTGGAAATAAGCCAGCCGCACGCGCTTTGTTTGTACAGTACTAAGATGCATGCATTTCTTCTGCACCACACAGACTGTATAACTTGCTCAGGAGATAAAGAGGATCTTCTCCAAACTAATTTTGTAATTATATTGTTGCAAAAAAAAAAATGAGGGGTTTTTGGCATTTTTGGTCAAATCCCAAGTCGCGCAGATCGTCCGATTCCAAGTCTGTAGGGTCGAGTCCGAGTCCGAGTCATTTTGCCATCGTGACTCGAGTCCGAGTCCCATGTCATATAAGTCTTCAGCTTCACCTCCTGGATAGAAATTAGTCTTTTCAATGAACGAATGTCAAACATGCATGATTTGTTTTGTGCAACGCCTGAATAAATCCTCGTAATCCGACAGGTAACTTGTAAACTGGTACTTATATGAATGTACAGTATCAGAGTTATCAGGGCTGTGTGAACAACTAATAGTGTGACCATGCAGTGGAAGTTCTATTTACCATGGAATAGAACTTCTATTTTTGCAGTGCGGCCGCGCTTGTGTTGGGATGAATAATTCAATGACACATGATCAACAACCCACCAATCAGACGACTGGGATTTATTCAGGCGTTGTAAAATACTTTAATATTGCTCTAAGGATAAAGCTAAAAATAGCACTTACCTGTTGTGCATGTGACACCAACATCCTCTGAATGTTCACAGATGAGCGTATCCCATAGGGCCCAATTACACTCATTCACACTGGACTCTGTCCCCTGACAAGTCATGCTATACAGTATGGGGCCTTCTCCCGCGCCATATTCAGAGGTGCCATCGTCACTGGTCGCAACGCCGGTGAAACCCAGCTGTCGGCACACCACGGCTGCGTCAGCGTCGTCCCAGCTATCGTCACACACCGTCCCCCACTCGCCCTGGTTGAACACCTCGACTCGGCCAGAGTGTGGGTTGGGACCTCCCACTAAACGTACAGTTGTTTCCACAGGTGTGTCTTCAAGATTCCAAGGAAAAAAATGGCAAAAACATATCACCATACTATTCCATAACAACAGTTACCAAAGTCTTCTTTAAAAAGATTAAATTTTGATAAATTTACTTTTTTTCCTAAGAATGAATGCTGAAACTCATGTAAAAGAGGACTAAGTAGTGCTCGGCCAACAGTGTTCTAGGAAGGTGTGAGTACTTTTTTTGAATGGATTTGTTCATAAAACAATGTTTGGTTCAGATTTGGGGAGGTAAGTAGAATGTTTTAAAAAAAAATTGTACCTGATCGACACACAATTCCGACATCCTCAGAATGAGCACAGTGTATCGTCCCCCAATCGGTGATGAGGCATTCGTCCAGGCTAGTCTCCGTCCCAGCACAATTCACATTGCGGAGAATGGGGCTGTCTAGGTCGCCAGGGCCAAAATCTGTTGCCATGGCAACACGGAGCGCCCCTTCTGGGTAGCCCAGCTCCCGGCAGGCGACGTCAGCCTCATCTGAGCCAAAATTGTCGTCACAGATGGTCCCCCACGCACCCTCGCGGTAAATCTCCAAGCGACCGCTGTTTGGCGACGGCCCGCCAACTAAGCGGATAGTGCTGGACTCTCCACCGTCAGTGACACCGTCACCACTACCACTACCACTACCACTACCACTACCGTCAGTTACTGCTGCAAGGAGAAAGTCAATTGAATAGAGGTATTTTCACACTGCAGTTTAGCCTTAAAGTCCAACCTAGTCACACCCATTGCGGACAGTCATTCCACAGCCACTCCAAAATCCTAACCAAATTATTCCTTAGATTTGAATTTGGTTTGATAATTGAAACAGTTTAGAGAAACTAAAAGTAAAACTCAGCGAAATATTGACTGTTGTAATTGTTTGGAATGATTCCGAAGTCCAGTCAACTTGAAGTTATTACATAAAGTCCGCACATGTGAAACCAAACGCTTTTTGTCAACTAGAGAAGTTCCTCTTTGCCCTTTTGTTTTGGTGCAACTCTGGAAAGCCAGTCTGCGACTGGTGGCGGTGGTTGTATAACCTTGGGTCTTCTGAGGCCTTTCTATGGGTGTGATCTGATCTAAAGCATGATTCTTTTTGTCCAGTTTTCTACATTAGTGAACATCAAGTGAAAATTAAATCAAACTGCCAGTCCACAGAGTACACCTTGTTCACTATACAGGCCGGTTCACACTCAGCGCGAAAGCAAATGCGAACGCAAATTTGCAACGTCAGGGCAAGTTTTCACGCTATGATTTCGCAAAAGTTGAGCAAATTTCAACTCCGTCAAATTCCGTGGCAAATGTTTCGTGATGCCAAATTTGTTTCGCATTCCCAATTCGTGTGCAGTATGAATCGGTCTTACCACTTGCTAATTGGGAGCTAGTTTTGTAGTATGTTTTCTTTACTCTATCTCCAGTGTCACTTGCTTGTAACTTGATTTCTTCTTTTTTTTACCAAGGAGACTTTTTCCGCCACGGAAGTTACATTTTGTGGAGCGGTTGTAGTGAAATGACCGCTCTATGGTAGTTCTGCATAGTCCTTTTTTAAGATTCAATCAATGATTTCTGGTTAGTAAATCAGCTAGCTCTCGTTTTTCTTTTCACATTTCAAATAGTATACAGAGTGTCAAAATCAATCAGTTTTAAATTCATGTAGTTTTTCATTTATTTTTGTTTTACTAGGAAAAAGGTACGACAACGAGCAGTGTTAAAATCGAATCACTTCACTTGAGTTGATTCTGACTCTGAGTCTGAGTACCTTGGGTTGAGTCCGAGTACAAGTCTCGAGTACTTTGGTTCAGGACCGAGTCAGAGTCACATTTGTATGAGATGGATGTGCACGGACATGAACACACATACAAGTACGCCATATGTAAGTGATGCACTTTCCAGGGAAACAACATTTGTATTTCCTGCGGTACAGACCTTGTGCTTAACATTCTTTAGCGTTGCTTTAACTTTCCTTCGGAAAATAAAGTTTGTGGGCAATATAAATATGTGACTCTACAGGCACCAGTCATGAGTGTCAAGTCCAAGTCATAAAGTTTAATTCAGAGAATGAGTTTGAGGCTTTTGCTGATGTGACTCGATTCCAAGTCCTGGACTTGAGTCCTAACTTGCAGGTTCTGCAGTACAGTGATCTTGTTGCCATTGATACGCAAATGGAAACTCTACATGAAGAATCCAAGCCCACTCTGATGATCAGACTGATTACATACCAACACAAACCACGCCAGCGTCTTCAGCATGACCACAATTTTCCACTCTCCATCCACGGCTCTGACAGTCTTCCAGCCTCAAATCATCTTCGGTACAGGCCACGTCATCCAGCAGAATGGATCCCGTCCCTTCCCCGAACCCAGCACCACTGATGGCCTCTACGGCTCTCTCAAACCCAAGCTGCTTACAGACGACATTGGCATCGGTATCATCCCATTCATCGTCACAGACGGTGCCCCATTCACCTTGGTAGTAGACTTCCACGCGCCCTTCATTGTCGTTCTCGCCACCAACGAGTCGCAATGTTACATCGGGCTCTGAGAATGGAAAACACGCTTTGTCTTTAAAAAGACAGTATGTGCTGTGCTGCATCCACCAAAGCATGCAAGCCTTAATTGTGCAGTCCATTGTGCACACAAAAACAACCATGCCTACAAATGTATCTTGCTTGGGGATAATATAAATTATAACGTTATTTTATTTTATAAACAAGGACTGATATTGTTTTCAAATGCTTCTGTTTAATAAGACATGATACCCATTTCGAACAGAAATCCATCCTTTAAAGCACCTTTCAAGCGTCTTGCAAGTAGGCGAGTTGAAAGATCTTCCCCTGAAAGTTTGCCTCTCGCATTCTGAAGTTTTCTTTTGTACCCAGTTTTGCACTGCACTCGTAACTCTTCAAGTTTAGATGTTACAAGCAACAGAAAGTCTTATTTGTTCAGCCCCTTCTGCACTCAGTTCACTGAAACTAATCTACAAGGCATATTCACACAAAACCTAAAATTTAACAACTCTTGAAGCACACAATCTTTCATGCTCATTGCAATTCAATGTTGACAATGTTCAGTCACTTGGAAAGCACCCCGGAATTATCTTGAGGAAAATGGTCTATAAATGTTTGCAAAATACCTTCATTAGGCTGGCAAACCACTCCGGCATCTTCAGCGTGATTACAATCATTGGTTTCCCATCCTGCATTGGGGCAATCTTCAATTCTGGTCTCCGCACCTGAGCAAGCAACTTCATCCAAGAGAATCGGGCCATCACCTGCAGGAGAACAGGTAAAGATTCATCAACAAATTGAGAAACCTCATCAATACCGCGGTTAGAAATTGGGGGTGAAGGTCACCTCTTTATCCCTTACAAATTCATTAACATTCCACTTTGCAGTGAACTTAGTCGGCAAGAGCTTTTTTCACGGATAATTACCTGGGGCTTAACCCCATGCGCACGGGAAGCGGTCATGGCCGCGGCCGCTAATCCTCATTGGAATGCAGTTGCCAGCTGTGGTATGCCATGTCACACAGCTAGTGGGTAGTTCCACAGCTGCTGCTTTTGTGCAGTCCCGCTACCACACAAAGGCTGTGCAGTCATGCGGGCCACTTGCTCTATGTGTGGAGGAATGTCCCCATTACACCCCGTCCTTAAGGGGTTAAGGGCTCCGTGCACAAGTACCTCTCAAATGGTAAGGAAGGGAAAGTTGGAGGAGACCACTTGGAGTAACGTTTGAATGAATTTCCGACAACACCTGACCCCGAGCAAAAGATACTTTGTCTTTGTGCACATTCAGAATAAACTATACGTTGTGCGTACTTCGCACCATAGGCCTATGTGCGCGAACCAGTACACTCACGCAGTGTGTCCCGCCCATTATGGCACTCTCAAAAATGGTAAATAAGCGCTCCTGTTGTTCGCGCACGGAGCCCATAGAACTTATCCTCTAAGGGAATGTTCACAGATTGTTAATGACCTGAAACACAGCCCCCCCCCCCTTTCCTCTTCCATAGATACAATGGTCAGACAGGGAAGGAATATGAAATTATCAGATTGTCACAGATCGATTGCCCAACAACATTTCACACATTACTCCAAATGACAATCACAAAAAAAACAATTCAAGAAACGGTCGCAGCAGACGGAAACAACCACGCCCGACCCAATCCCCGAATAGGTGAGGGAGGAGTGGAGTGAGAATCATGCAATCAGCAACTCTGAATCAGGCCTTTCAAAAAAGTAGCAGAACATTGAAGAAATATTCGCTTTTAAAACATACCACTGCCAAACTCAGCAAGGGTTGCTGAACGCCCAGCTCCGTTAGCAAAGCCCAGCTGTCTGCACACCACGTTGGCATCCTCCATGCCCCATTGATCATCACAGACCGTTCCCCAGACGCCGTTGTAGTTCACCTCGACACGTCCGTAGTTGGGTTCTGGCCCAACCAGTCTCACACTTGGAGTTGTTCCTTCTGAATAATTTTGGAAACAAAACATATTTCAAGACTACAACAAAGCCTTGGATACTAAGAAGAGAAGCCATAGTTGGTTCCAGAAGTTCAGGAGGAAAAATAACAAACACAAACAAAACTGGAAACAGCAATATCAAATTGCAGCCAAAGCACTACATTAAGAGTAATAAGAGACACTAGCTAAATCATTAGTAGACCTAGTAGTAGGCCTAGTAGTTAGTAGGCTAAATCATTAGTAGGCCTATTTCTTTTCCCTCCTGGATGGGATGCTAGTCCATGGCAGGTTAATCCCCAGCTAATGCCGGTACCCATTTATACTTCTGGGTGGATAGAGGTAAGTTATTATCTTATGTTCTAAACAATTTGAATACATCTATAAAAGAATATCAATCAAATGGAATTGAATAAGCCATGTGTGGTAACCTTACCAGTTTCGCAATTTACTCCTGTGAAGCCATCTTGACAAGTACATGTGTAGCCATTGACATCACTGGTGCACTGTCCACCGTTCAGACAGGGACTAGGTTGGCACATATCATTTTCTGTGGAGAGTAACATTATTGTTATTGTATGGCACTCCTAAAGCACCCTTTTTTTTAAATATGCTATTGAATATTCATGGCCCCTGATCTGAAGCAATAAATCTCTTTAAGTCCATCTGCATGCTAATCTTTTCTTGGCCTTATCTCTGACTTATTTAAATGTATCTGAGGTAGTAGCAACATTGAAACATGGTGGCAGCAGTGGGATTGCCATCTACAAAATCCATAAAGAGTAACTAAAATGCCCGACAAACAAATTCCTTATTATATGCATTTCCTTACCAGTTCTCTGGCAGGAGACACCAGCATCTTCACTGTGCACACAGTTGGTTTGCCGCCAGCCGCTGAACAAGCACTCTTCGAGTTGTGTCTCCGATCCAGTGCATGCCACCTCATCCATCAGGACTGGACCCGTGCCTGGGCCAAACTCCCCAGCGATAGCCACCCCCTCAGCACCGCCATAGCCCAGTTGATTACAGACCACTGTCGCGTCATCCAGATCCCATCCGTCATTGCAGATGGTGCCCCATTCACCTTCGTAGTAGACCTCAACACGTCCGACATGCGGTTCTGTGCCTCCAGCGAGACGAACTGTGATCTCGGGTTCTGGAAGTACCCAAAACAAACCCCCTCATTACTTGTACTGCCCCTTTTGCTATCAGTTAAAATTGAAATAGAATGGAATAGGCAATGAACAGCAGGCCTATGGACCATGTCGCCTTGACTCAATTGTTCTTCAAGCTTCATGCTGACAGCTGACGACTATCAACTAATCAGCCTTCAAAGCCTGGTTTTATAATTTGTGCACACCTTCCTCAAAGTTACTGTGGCGTCAATAGATGGTACTTAGAATACACATTCCTTTGAATTAAAAAAAATTACCAGGATCTGTTCGACATATAACACCAGCATCCTCCACGTGTCCGCAGTTGCTTTGCTTCCATCCACTGCTTGGGCAGTCCTGCAATTGGGTGTCCTGGCTTCCACAGTTGACATCGTCCAGCATGATCAGGCCCTTGCCCGGGCCAAAGCCCGCATCGGATACGCTTTGGTAGGCACCGTTTTCAAAGCCCAGCTGTCTGCAGACCACGTTGGCATCAGTAATGTCCCAATCGTCGTCGCAGACTGTTCCCCACTCGCTGTCGTAGTAAACCTCCACACGGCCGGCATTTGTTCGTCCGTCCTCACTCACCAGACGCAGAGTCGGTTCACTAGGATCTGAGAGAGGGAATAAACTCACGATTGAATGTGTTCTAGGGTCAATATCATATAGCACTACGAATTCCCCATTGCAACTTTACCAAACTTTCTATGATATTGTATCTTCAAGCAAACTTGTATCCTCGATCCTGATTGGTCGATCCATGGCAACAACAGTGTGATATGAGGCTGTATTGCACGGTCCATACCTCACCCTGCGTATTGCGCTATTCCAAGATGCGAGCGACATTCAAGCTGCATGCGCTGAACTGCTGAAATGTTCATGTAAAACATGCTCGTTCCAACTGTACTGCACATCAAGTTTGCTTGAAGATAAATTCGTTATCACGCTCGCCCTCGTGGAACACGGAAAATGTAGTGCATCTGTGTCCCATATGTGGGACACAGACACGCACTACATTATTCCGTGTTCCACTCGCACTCCCGGGATAACTTATAGTAAATCCATGGTAACAATGTGCGACTCTGAGTCGTCATAATTTGAGTACGCAATCAATGAAACAATTCCAAACACTAGAGATCAGGAAAAGAACGGGTTAAGGGGTTAAGGTTAAGTTGAAAAGCTAAAGGAATGTAGGATCATTGGCTCATTGTGCATTTTGTTTTTGCATGAATTACTACTTTTTGTTTTCAAAATCTTAAAGAGGTTGTGGAATGCTCGAAGACATTTCCATCATTTTTCGGGTATATGTAGCCTAAGGTGTGATGAAATAAAAACGACTATTGTTTCTGTCATAAAATGAGTACAAAAGGTACTTTTGAGAGCTGTTTTTCAAGTCCTGTCATGCCTGTTTCGACCCGAACGTGCAATTTGTGTAAAAGTCGTCGTTGCGGGCAGCAAACAAAACACAGTAAATCGTGACGTAATAAACAGGACTCCCGATGCAGAGTAGCATAAAGGAGTCCTGTTTATTACGTCCCGATTTACTGTGTTTTGTTTGCTGCCCGCAACGACAACTTTTACACAAATTGTACATTTGGGTCGAAACAGGACCTGAAAAATAGCTCTCAAAAGTACCTTTTGTACTCATTTGATGACAGAAAACATATACCCAAAAAATGACGGAAATGTCTTCGAGCATTCCACAACCTCTTTACAACATTTGCTTTTGCTGCAATTTTCAGAAATAAATGGATTTGAAGGATTAGTATGTTATGGCAAATATTGTTAAACTGACTTGTTTCACGTTTTGGGCTTATAGATGCTGGAAAAACCAAGAAAATCATGTTCTTGTAGTCTAGTTCCCTGACCCCTCTCAAGATGAAACGGAGCAATTTATAGACTTTGGGGAATTGTAAGGTCAAAGAATCAGTCAGGCAGGCTTGTACCTCTTCACAGGTGTGTAATCAATTGCAAAGAAAATGCGGAACAACTCAATATGAAAAATTAGGAGTGGTTTTTGAAAAAAAGCCAGTTTTCTCCAATGCTGGTCGGCCGATCAGCGTTGAAAAAATACACTATTTCTTGAAAATGTCAGCATACCAGCAGCCAGGATTTTACAGGATGCTTTAGACTGTCATTCCCTAACAATCCAGTAAGGTATTTCGTGGTAATTTTTGAGTATTTCGTTTTTTGAGGTTTGCAAATGTTGTATCTTCCCTTAAAGAAGGACGCATAAGAACTGCTCTGTAAAAGTTTCAGCTCAGTGATACTAAACATTTTGGGAAGAAAATGTTTGCACAATTTTGGGTCTCTTGACTCGATTCTATTGCTAATGCTTGTAAAAAAAAATATGCCAGTGGCGGCGTCAGACTCTAAAATTAGGGTGGAGGCAATTGAGGGGCAAGGAATTTTTTTAGGGGGGGGGGACCAGTCAATAGTCCGGAAATAGGACACTTGAGCAACTTAGAAACGTAGTTGTTTTTATGAATGAGAAATGTATCAAACCACAAAATTGTGCATAAAAAATGTATAACAAATGTAAAAAGACGTTGGCTGCACACTATCTACGGCTGTAAAAATTGCATTGATGGCGTGTTTTGTCCACCAAAGTACCAATGTTTGTAATGCTTTCATTGGCCCAAAATGTGTCCACAGAACCGATGATTCACCCTCTATCTTCAACTTGTTATGAATCTTAACAGGGAAGAAAATAAACATAATTAATCTATTTGTAAATAAAGTGTTGGGGGCAAACTGGGGGGGGGGGCAAACTGGGGGAAAGGAAACATCATTGCAAAGTGCAATAGACAAAAATGTTACTTAAAGTTTTGAGTTTCATTTTATAAGTGACAACATGCTAAACACTCTTCTACACTTCTTCCAATGTTATGATGTATCTAGAGCACAAACCAAATGGGTAAAACCCTGCTAACAATCTGCCTATAGATATTCAAAACAAATGTCTATCGAAATTCAATATCAAATAAATGCCATAAGATTGATATCTTACCACGGGTAACTCCACACACAACAGCCACATCCTCTGCATGGCCACAGTTGCTTTCGCCCCACGTTGACCGGTCGCAGTCCTCTAGTCTACCCTCATTGCCACTGCATGCCACGTCGTCCATCAGAATCGGGCCGGGGCCCTCTCCAAATTCATCTGCGCCGCCGACTCTGACACCACCCTGGCCGAAGCCAAGCTGTCGGCACACCACGTCGGCGTCAGCCAGCTCAAAGTCATCGTCACAGACTGTGCCCCACTCGCCTTGGTAGTAGACCTCCACGCGCCCCTTGTTCTCTTCATCGCTATCAGCCAATCGCACTGTTTTTAGGGGCTCTGTCAAGAAGACACAGACATCAACTTTTGATACACTGAAATGTGTGGCTCGGAGGTGCTGGGTGTAGTAACAGCCTTAAGCCCGGTTCATACTCTGCGCGAAAGCGAATGCGAATGTGTGACGTCATGGCAAGTATTCACCCTGCGAATTCATAGAAGTTTAATACATTTCAACTCAGGCGAATTTCACAGCGAACGTTTCATGACATCAAATTCACTTCGCATTCGCATTAAGTATGAACCGGGCTTTACAATGTAACCATGGTTTATGTGGAGATCATATGAAATACATTACAGTCACAATTTGAATACAATCACTCAAAAGCGAAATGGAATAAATGAGTTTGCAGTAAAACAATCCAAATTCTGTTATTTTATCAACAAGGAGATATCAATTTTGTTCTTCTTTTGTTTGTCGGGTAGACAGTTCAGATATCAGCTTGTAGTTGGGTCAACCATAGTTTGGTCTCCTGGTCCAAGTTAGTTAGACCGTCTGCTCCATGTGGCGATTGGTAGATGGGGCAATGGGATAGAATATAGTCTGCAGTTTGGTCTGCAGTCCCACATTCGCAGGTGGTACTGTCCGCGAGGCCCCACCCGGCCATGTTGACTCGGAAGCACCACACGCCAGTTCAAAGGCAATTTTGATCCAAAAGGAAGTGACTGTATGCTATTTGCCGACTTTTCATACCCTTTTGCAATCTTACCAATGTTTGGTACGCACACCACTCCAGCATCTTGACTATGCTGACAGCCGACCCCTGCCGAGCCTGCAGACGGACACTCCGTGATGCTTAGCTCCGTGCCGACACAGCCGACATCGTCCATCAGGATAGAGCCAGCTCCCTCCCCAAAGAAGGCAGAGGATTTGGCCGAGTAGGCTCCCTCATCGAAGCCCAATTGGTGACAAACCACGTCCGCATCAGTCTTGTCCCAGTTGGTGTCGCAAATCGTCCCCCAGTCCCCGTCTTTATAGACTTCCACACGGCCCACGTGATCAGCTGTACCGTCCGCAAGTCGAATCTGAATTAGTGGCTCCGGTTCTATTACTATAACAAAAGAGTGTGACAATGTTTGATTCAATAAAATGTCCATGCTATCTCCCTAATAAATTCAAAACTGATAAAAAAACACTCACATCAGGTGTTTTTGATTTTACATTAATATAACAGATTAATAATAAGCTTAATAATATACAATAAGATTATAACAATAATAAATTAATTCAAATAAACTCTGACAAAAGTATTACTGTTTTTATAGCCCCCTTTACCTGTGACCACACCTGTGATTGGCTTGTGATACATGGCTTGTAACGTACAAGCCATTCATGTCACAAGCCTAGTCACAAGCTGATCAAAGGAACCATGACAAAGGTAGAATTCTTTGCCAATGCCTACTTTTGTTTCTTGTGACCTTTGTTGTGATTGACTTGCCATTTAAAGCTATAGTCCATCATTTGCAGCTATCCGAAAAGTAACTGCCGTAATTATTGTTGAAAAACATACTTGAAAAAAATTAAGACTGCTGCAAACTGCTTACTGACTGGGTGGACCTGAAATATATAAATCTAAAAATTAATGTGGCCTGACGTTGCAAACTTAGCAAGTTCTTCTTCAGAGGCTAAAACAGAAATGACAGAGGTACATACCCACCTAATCCTCCTTTTGTGTTTCTTCTTTCAGCCCTGCATGTTTGTGTGCACCCCCCATGTGAATGTATGTACCTCTGTCATTTCTGTTTTAGCCTCTGAAGAAGAACTTGCTAAGTTTGCAATGTCAGGCCACATTAATTTTTAGAAAAACATACTTGGTTGAAAGATAGTAAACTGCCTGTGAAATTGTTCCTTCCGGCAAGCTGTCATTTTAAAGTAATCAACGAAAGAAGGCCTTTCCAACAGTGCTTCTTAAGACGCATCGTAGGAAATTTAAATTAGTAGTTCGTTTTGTTATTCGGCGAAGCGCGCGCAAGCATTGGCACAACGCACACGCACAGTGAGAACGTGTCTCAGACGCTGAAATCTGACCAAATTCAAAACATGATTCAGCAACTTTTGATTTGAAATTGAGATCTTAGAATGCTGTTTTTCTCGAAATATACGGCTGAAGCTGATCTCAAACGTCATCAGGTTAGTTGTTCAGTACCCTTCTTTAGATTTTGTGGACTTTTGTTGCTTCAAACAAACAAAATGCACAAATTACAAATGATGGACTATATCTTTAACTTGTGATCGGACTTGGGATTTGACGTATAAGCAACTTCTGATCTGACATGTGACTAAATATGGGCGAGTCCCAATACATGGCGCCACCAAGAGGAGCAGTGCATTGTGGGAGACGGTCGACAATTTGATGGCGCGGGGTTTATATATCTGGTGAGTCGTTTCAAAGCACATAAATCAAGTATCTTTTTTGTTCATTCTTTTCTTTAATCAAGAGGGTGTTTTGGTGAGGGGTCACAACGCAATGCCCCGATCTATCAAAATATTTCCTCAGGTTGTCTGCTAACATTTGTTCAAATCACAAGTCGGCCATGTTTTTGTCGACCGTGTGAACTTGAAAAAATGGACTCTCCGTGGCAAACTCTTGGTGGCACACTGAATGTGGAATCGCAATGTATTGGAATATACCGGGGTCTGTGGTGCAAACGACTCCAACATCTTCAGAGTGGACACAATCGATGGCTGTTGGAGAGGCAACGGGGCAGTCCTGAAGAAGTTCCTCGTTTCCAGTACACTGGACCTCATCAAGCAGGACTTCACCAGAGCCAGGGCCAAACTCCTCACTGTCGGTAATGCGAGTCGCGCCTGCAAAGCCCAGTTGCTTACAGACCACCTCGGCATCCGTGAGGTCCCAGCCGTCATTGCAGACGGTACCCCATTCGCCATTGAGGTTGACCTCAACACGTCCTTCGCTGGCAGTTTGACCTTCAGCCAAGCGGACCAGCGGCTCCGGTTCTATGAGGAAAGTTGAAGCATAAAGAACGTGTCATCGGTTTCCAGCAAAGTTTTGCAGGATGCAGGAAAGTTTCAAGCCAAATAGCTGACATTGTTAGGACTGAGGCTCAACCACAAAACCATCATCCATCATCAATTCATGGTGGTGTTTTGCAAATGTCATACCAAAAAATAAAACCGTTGTTAATGTGTAATTTTTTGTTTTTACAAACTAACATGCATGTCTATAATGTTTTTTTTTTCTTTTCTTTTTTTCATGAACTGAAACCCGTTTTAATTATTGAATTTTTTAAGCATCTGTTAAAGTCAAGATTGAGTTAACAGGTTTCTACATTAAATGATTCTATAACCCCATCATTACATGGATGGAGAAAGATCGTGTCAAACCTTTCAAAGATGTTTTCTCCAAATTGTATTTCCGCCACAGTGCTTGTGTGTCAGTTCGTGAAAACCAAACTAATCATACCCGTTACTTCACAAAGCGCATGCACAAAGCGCGTGCGTGTCAGTTCATGAAAACAGGAACTATGTGTTTAAAAATTCTGACCCTCTGCCTGACATAAGCTAGTAAAATGCATAGACAATCATTTTGAAATAACACCTCTGTGCATGTCCATTTTTGGGGAGGACATGATGCATTTCTTTAAAGCCTCTCCTATGCGCTAAGAGACTGACTTACCAGGAGGTTCAGCACATATCACCCCAGCATCCTCATCATGCCCGCACAGCAGAGTTGTATCCAGGCCACAATCGGACAACTTGCTCTCCGTACCCTTGCAGTTCACGTCGTCAAAGTAGATGGGGTCTGCATTGCTGCGGCCAAAGAAAGCAAACTTGGGGGCATCCTGGGCTTCTCCGAAGCCTAGCTGTCGGCACACGACTTTAGCATCCTCAATGTCCCACAGATCGTCGCAGATGGAACCCCAGCCACCCTTGTAGAACACCTCTACCGTACCTTCGTAGGGGTTGGAACCCCCAGCCAGGCGTAACTCCAGTGGTTCTGCGAGAGTCAACCAGTGCAGTTTATTACACATCATCAATATTTATTGGCCAAACCCTCTTCTTTTGCTCAGTCAATGTTCTGACGCATCAGGGATGTAAAAATAGCAAACTTCTAGATCCAAGACACATGGTATGCGTACTTACTCCCAGTGGGTCAGAAGTATCTTAAAATTAGCTCCTAGACTCCTCACGTTAGTGGTACCATACTATTATACCACAAGGGCGGATCCAGAACACAATTTTGGGGGGGGGCCAAAAAAAATTACGGCGTAGGGTTCGGGGCCCACTTAAGGGCCCCGAAAAATTTTTGGATTCTAGATGCTCTGTGGTGCGATCTGAGGCAATTTCTGACCACTTTAACCAATGTTTTTTTGAGGAAAAGATGGTGGTGTACTCATTGCCTGCCTTTATTGCGATGTCACATAAAAACAAAAACAAAATTGGTTTCGTTTTTGGGGGGGCCATGGCCCCCTTTGGCCCCCCCCCCCTGGATCCGCCCTTGTTATACCATTATAACAAATTTCAATGTTAACCATTTAACAAGATTACACAATTTTGTCCAAACTTGTTTGAACATATGAAACTGAAGCTACATAATGTGAGAGGTTTGGTAAACAAAAAAACATTTCTATTCCAGGGATGTTTTGCAAATTCTATTGGTCCCTCATTATGGGCTCCGTGCACAAGTACCCCCTCAACGGTAAGAAAGGAAGAGTTGGGGGAGACTACAGGGAGAGACATTCTAACGCACTGTTGATTCCTGACTCTCAAGCGAAGACCCTATGGGCTCCGTGCACAAGTACTCCTTCAACGGCCAGAAAAGGGGAGTTGGGGGAGACCTAGACTGGTTCCTGGTCCATCCACTGCATATTTCGATGTTTTCCAAAGTTAATGGGAGTGGGGATTAGTCTGAGAAACCATCGCAAGATAAATTCGAACGCATAGGCACACCGACCACGCCTGACGATCACTCAAAGACGCTGTGGCATATAGCTTTGGCAGATTTAGGAAGTACTTCGCACGTTAACAAGTACAGAACGCACACGCTGTGTGTCCGTCCCATCCACGGAGCTCTCCAAAGTGGTCAAAATGCACCCTCTTTTGTTGGCGTGTGGAGCCAACAGCTTTGTGCACATTTTGAATCAAATAAGTGGGGCATGCTTCCTGCTGTAGGCATGTTGTCCAGTATGCGCTCTGTAGTACTTCCCCCCACTTCATATTGTGAGGTACCCAAAATGGACCAGTTACTTTTGCACTAACTAGGCATTTCCCTCCATGGTAAAAGTATCTTTCCATTAAATCCCCAACCTCCAACACCCTCAAAGGTGCCTACCTGTAAGGCATACAGCAGCAGCTGGCATATTTGGGGGTGTTTTGCAACTCTCAAACCATCCTGCGCTGGGGCAGTCCAGAATGTCCGTCTCCGTTCCAGCGCAATTCACGCTCTGCATCCAGCTGTCCGTAATTGTTGCATCACCGTAGTACTCCGACGAGCCGCCTGAAAACAAAAATTATCACTCATCAGTTGATTTAACTGGAAAAAGAAATTTCTTTAACCTTGTGTTTTGTGGCAAAGTCATGATCACCCCTGCTTCAAACCGAGTCCGAGTATAAATCGGGTGCAGTATTTAATAGAAGTGATTCTCGTCACAGACATTTTTTTCAAACGTCTGCTTAGTCTCTGGTTTTGACATAGGGAGATTTTGAGGTCCCTGTTTTTGGAGACCCTGGCTCTATATGTTTTGCTTCAGGAAAATCAAATTATACTGGACAAAGTTAAGAATATTCTCTTTTTTTTTCTTTTCTATTTTGTTGGGGGGGGGTCTCTGGACTTCATTTTGCCTTAAGGGACACTCTTTCCCCCTTTTTTTATCTCTCTTTTCATTCTGTTTTTTTTTTGGGGGGGGGGGCACGTGGAAGACACTGGACATTTGTGGGGGTATGTTCCCTCTAGTCCCCCCCCCCCCCTTCATCTCCAACCCCCTTTCTAAAAACCTGGGAAAAGGAAAAACGAGATCACTCAAAGAGCTTTTCATTGCAAATTGTTCAAATCCCCATTTGCTAATTCCCAGGTTTGCATGCGTGATTCCTAGCTACATAGCTTATACGAGTTTGTGGCTTCAGACTAGCGCTCCTTGAACAAAAACACTGACAAGTTGGGGAACCGCCAATATAGAGTTGGATAGCTCAGTTGGTAGAGCACCGGAACGTCAAATCCAGAGGTCGCTGGTTCAGTCAATTTCTTAGTTCACCTGTAAAATCAAAACGTGCTTATATTGAAGTAACCAAAAAGAGGAAATCACGTTTAGAATTTGCGTACCGGAGACAGCACCGATGAATCCCAATTGTCCACAGATTACTGACGCTCCTTCCTTGTTCCAATTCTCATCCTGGCAGATATTCCCCCACATTCCGTCATGGTAGACCTCGATGCGACCTTCCCCGGGGGTTGGCACGATGCCACTGTTGATCAAACGCACAGTCTCTGCAGGGGTTACACCTGTTGCTTCTGAAAATAAACAAGTAGTAACAAAGCATTGAGATCGTCTTGAGTTAGATCCTTGACAAAAAGAAACCACAGGTCATGTGTGACGAAAACACAAAGTTGGATAAGGTATTATAACACCTCACCAACAAAAAAAACACAAAGACTCATTTGTGAGTTCTGGCAAAATGAGACAGAACTGGGCAGAGGTTGAAATGAGGGTTTGCAGGCATTAGGAACGAGAATAAAATTCTCCTTACAGAAGTGTTTGTTGCACTTCAATCAGACATTCCATTGACAATTTATGGCTGTTGAAATTTGCATTTATCGTCATGTCAAAAAAGTTAACTACTGAGAAAAAGGCTTTTAGAGTTTTGAGTTTTGTAGTCGTGAAAATGAGATACGCCAATTTTTTTCTTTAACCAGTTCATGTCGGAGGACATGCCCAGGCATGGCTGACAGGTTTAAACGTCAAGATTGCCTCAACTTGCTTAAACATGCTAATCAAATGTACACACACCCCAAGGTCTGTGAACGTATGTGCGTGTTTATGGTGTAAATTGAGGACACACACGTGCAACATCATCGATGAATCGAGGACAGGAACCAAATCGAGGTCGAACGTGTACAAAACCAATGAGAGCTGTTGCAAAAAAGTTAGTAGTATCAACAAAGGAAAAGGAAAGAGGAACAATAGAAAATCCTTGATTCACACCATAAACAAACGTGTGTGGAGGCGGAGTGTGTGTTGATCTTCACTCATTCAAATGGCCGTGTTTTGTCGACTGTAGCAAAAACAGGACTCCCCATGGTAAACTCTTGGTGGCGCACTGCATTGTGAATTGCTAACAAAGAGATTAGCGTTTTCTCTTGGTAATACAGGGCGAGTAAAAAAAAAAGGAAACCGAAATGGCATGACCAATTTTTTAATTAAGTTCAGCATGCAGCACTTTAAAACTCTGTAACTTGAAAAGAACAGTGATAGATTACTGTACTAAAAGAAAGCTTATTAATTGGACTTTCATGTATCCTAGAATTTGCAAGTGCTACATGCAAGAACTTCATTTAAAAATATTGGAGATCTCACCTGAACAGACCACAGCGCCAGCATATTCCGGCGAACAGAACGATCCAGTTTTCAATTCTAGAGCGCATTCTTTGATGTTCTGCTCACTCCCGGCACAGTCCATTATCGGAAGGTGCGGTTCTCGGTTCTCTGGAGTGTTTCCAATGTCAAAAGCAAAAATTGCGGAATTGGCACCCTCAAAATTTAGCTGTCGGCAGACCACTTCTGCCTCGCCTAGGTCCCAGTCGTTGGAACAGACATGTCCCCATTCCTAACCAAAAAAAAATAAAAAAATACCATATGATTGGTAATCATACCATACGTTTTATCAAACATCAGCCACCTATCCTCAAAACACATTTTTAACCATTTCACATCGGACAACGTGTATACACGCAAAGGTTTTGCGGTATTCGGAACAGATGACAAATAAACATGCAACGAGCGAGGCCAAAAGTATCTGTCTGCGACCCGCTCACAGCAAGCGAGGCCGTGAATATCAGGGTGTGCTACCCGCCTGAACCCGTACGGCATGGAGGTTATAGTGAGAAACAATCCTGTGCCTGGGTCCAGTAAATGTCATGACTAAAACGGACCTCTTCAGAAAGTTGCTAGTTTCACACACCATTTTGGGCCTCTGTTGGAAGCCCCTGGGGAGCCCTTAAGTAAGCAAAACTCCCCTCCCTGCTCCACAGTCCTAGCGAGATAATGACTTGTGGTTAAGTGAACTACCTCCTGTTAGCCACACTGCTTTCTGGAACTATACTTTCTGGTGATTGTGGCATTTGCTAGCATAGCAGTAAAAGATCGTTCTCGGCTATTTATTCACCGATTTTCACAGTTCAACATATATTAAAAACAAGTCAACATTTTAGGCACATCATCATGATGGTACTTTTAGATTGAATTTAGCAAAGAAATATTATGCTTGAAATCTCTCAGGCAGAGTGACCTTTGCTCCTTTATGGAACCAATTATAGGATCAGTACGGTTAAGAGTCTTAATCCCCCAGGGCAAACTCTCTAAAATGGTGTGTCCCAACCCACGTGGCCTATATGGCTGGTCGGGTTGGTCTTAAGAGGAGTGTTCACCTCATGGTCAAAATACTCCCGGGGCAAACTGGTTAAATGGATGATAAAGACCGGCTGGATGATCTTAAACACTTTTCCAGTGTCATATCAAATTTGGATCCCCGTGAAATCTGGTGCCTTTTACCGCTTTATTGGTTGAATGTTCACAATCCTCAAATAGGCAGTAGTTCATAGTCCTAAATTCACACTGGCACAGCTGCATTGTGCCCCACATTGTGCAGTCGGCTTGGGTAATTATCAGCATCCAGACTCCAACTGGTCTTACACATAGTGTTTAAAACCGGCCGAGCACATAGTTATTCTTTATTTGTACACCATTGTCATGTTTTGAAAAGAAATGTAATGTCAATCGTATATCGCAGCTGTGATTGGTCAACACACCTCACGGGGTGGCTTAGTGGATGGGCCTGTTATGGTTCCTGGTTTTGAGCGTAATATTGGATGTCAGCTGATAAAATTAAGTCAGTCAAATCCATTTTTCTTCTAAAGAACTTACCCAAAGGTTCACAGTCTTAAATCCACTTTTTGTATATTAAACAACAAGTCAATTTGTATTGAAAAAAACCTGACATAAATCAACTCAGTGTTTACGAGTTCTTATGATACACTAGTCTCAGGCCAAATTCTAAGCCACATTCCCAAAAACCTAGCATCTGGAAAGTTTAAACTTCTGTGTGCTATTTTGGGGTTTCATCTTGAAAAGTTGATTTTTTTAAATTGCTTATTTGTAAACCAAAGTTATTGACTTTTGAATGAGCCTGTTTTTAGTTTCAGAAATGTTGATTTACAAATTTGAACCTTTTCAGAGCCTGACAATAATTCACAGGGATCTTTCTGTTTAATTCATTGGGAAAAGCAACAAAAGCCTTTTTTTATAAATAGGGAAAAAGATGCAAAATATACAAAAGTTTTGTCCTTAAAAAACAAGGAAATGTTCTTACCCCGGCAAAGTACACTTCCACCACACCCTGGTTGGGTGTGGCTCCACCAGTCAAACGCACTTGCAAATCATCCTCTGAAATAAAGAACACAGGAACAATAATACAGACTTGCTCACAAATAAAGGAATCCCCACTGAACTTTCCCTCCTTCACAGTCAATATCATTAACTTATCATGGACTGTATGAAACAAACAAATAATTACGTCCTCCTAAACTTGGATGATTTGGTTAAACTAGAAGTTCTGAATCTTACTGCTTTCGTGATTGTCTTTAAAGAGTGACCTTTGACTTTGGTGTGACCTTTGACATCACCATCACTTGAAGGTTGCCATGTTGCATCTATGGGTGCAGACCAGTAAATCGGTCCGAAATTGCCTACGCCGGCCAAATCACTATTTGCATGCCCTCAAAATCTTCAGTATTTGAGCATGCTGTGGGCCATGAACTTGAGGGTTTGTAAAAAATATGGGTGGAAGCCGTGCACAGGACTGGGAGCTTGCAGTTCTGTGTAATTTGGATGTAATTTGGACCCTAAAAGCGCTTTATTTTGCAATGGAGTGTAGGCATCCTTTTTCAAAATGGCGATGGGCTTCAGGACTATTTTCAGGGGTGATCATCTTCAGATGGAAATTTCTCCTAAAAGTCATCAGTTGACCCCCCAAAAATTGAAAAGAAAATAAAAGATGATGAAATAAGCTTTAATTTGATGTGTGTCTCGAACACCTTGGAGAGTTGTGAGTATTTTTCCCGAATTTCTGAAGTGGGAGCATTTACCATTGGGGTCTATGGAAGTTTATTTACTGGTCTGCTACCCTATGACCCAACTTTGGTTCCAAGTGGACTTCAACTTTTCAAATGAGACCAATTTCACATTTTCAGCCTGTCACAAATTGACAATTGGGTCAATTGGGTCAAAATGGGTCAATTTGGTCACGATATTTTTGTAATACAACAACAGGTTAATACAGAAGGCCCATTAGAAGGCGCCCGCTGAATGGTCAGAAATCTCAAGGTGAAGACAGTCTTGCTTTGCATTATCAATCGCCGAATCTGCTCGCATCTCATAGACCCTTGCTGAGCAAGGGCATCTTCCATAGACTGCTCTACTGGTTTTTATAATGGCGATTGTTGTGTTCTGATTTTCATCTTGTCGTGAGCATGAAATATATGCTGTGGGGGGATAAAAAATATCAGAGAAGGAATTTACCTCAAATTAGGTTTTGCCCTTCACCGACATATAAACATTGTATACTCAGTGTGTTACCTCCCGAGTGAAAGTTGGAAAAAGTCACTCGGGTGAGACTCGAACCCACGACCTCCTGCTTTCTAGTGCAGATGTCTTACCACTCGACCACCGAGCTAACGGGATCGGTTGGCTGGTTCGAATCTGATGTACATAGCAGCGGGTACCGCATTAACTATTCATAAGATGGAATTTTGCGTCGGGGTGATGTAAATCACCTGGAATTTACCTGTAAGACAAACAACGCCAGCATCTTCAGAGTGCGCACAGTTAGACTCTCTCCAGCCGTCATGGCCGCAGTAAGGCAGACCTGCTTCCGTGCCCGAGCAGCTGACCTCATCCAAGAGAATATCTCCTTTGCCCTCTCCAAAGAGGTTTGTTTCGCCATCGATTTGGACCGCCTGGCCAGCCCTTGCGTAGCCCAGCCCTCGGCAGACCACGTGGGCGTCCTCCAGATCCCAGCTGTCATCACAGACGGTGCCCCACTTGCCTTCGAACTCCAGCTCTACTCGACCTTCGTACGGGCCCCGTCCATCCACTAGTCTGACAGCCACTGACTCTTGATCCGCTTTAAGGAGACCGAAAATCAAAAGGTGTATTTTTCACAAGATGGAATTTTTTTGCATCAGGGTGATGTAAATCAAATTAGGTTTTGCCCTGGATAAACCTAGTCAGGACACCAAATATGTATTTTTATAAAGGTTATTAAACACTATATATGGTGTCCCGATGTACCAGGTGAGAAAAAATACCAAAAAAGCCAAATGGGAGGACCATTTCAAACCTCATTCAAAATAGGTCCTGCCATTTGGGTTTCTTGTTTTTTTCACTCACCCTGTATTCTTGGAAAATCTCCCTGGTTTTTTTAAGTCAACTTGCACACTTTTACTTTTTTGGGCTGTATTGCCTGTCTACATCTGGCAGGCATGATTTCACAGGGGTGACACATGGTCTAGAGTTTGGTGATTAATTCGGGCGATTCACAATGCAGTGCGCCACCAAGAGTTTGCCATGGAGAGTCAATTTTTCAGGTTTACGGTCGACAAAACACGGCCCATTTGAATGAGTGTCAGAAGACAACTTGAGCTAATATATTATAGATTGGAGCACAGCGTTCTGCCGCCTTACAAAAAACACCATTTTGATAAGAAGAAAAGAAAAGGGCAAGCAGATCCTCGAATCATATGCTTACGAAACCACTGACCGGGAAAAACTAACAATTTCAAATGTCCCGTGCTGCGAATTTGTCGACCATCTCCCACAATGCACTGGGAAAAATGAACTCTCCGTGGCAAACTCTTGGTGGTGCACTGCATTGTGAATCGCCCGAATTAATGACATAATTTAACCCATTAGTCCATGTATTGCCCAAACTGCCCTGCTTGTTACTACCCACAATCACTGATCTCTATATAAAGACTGGATAGTGGATATGCATACAACATTCACACAGTAGACTTTGCATATTGACCAATTCGCCCCCGGTCTCACGAAGATGGCCGCGTATAATACGAACGTTCTACGCGTATATACGCGCGCGTTGTATCAACAGTTGATGCGCATTTTGGCCACGTACACATACTATGATGTTCTAAAAGGGACACATTTCCGTAGTGATTATTATTTCAAAAATGCCGAAAAAGTGATTTGCAGCATTATAAAAGTAACCACGACGTTAGAAAAATTGTGGTAAACCTTGGTCAGTGATGGTGGTCAAAATATAAGTCAAGTGAACCGGGACGTTACAAAAGAAATCATGCTGTCTATAAAGACGGCAACTTGTCCTTTGTAGATCACCAGCCGGTCTCACCAATATGGCGTCAAATTCATTCATTGTGCGGCTCTTTATTAGCTATCCAGTCTTTATATAGAGATCAGTGCCCACAATGCCCGATGCTGCCCAAGGGAATAAATACAATGTAATACAATGAAGTACCGGTACAGGTGCCCTACAACTTACGCAACTGGCAGGTCACTCCAGCGTAGCCGCTACAGGACTCAGGCTTGTATTCAAAGCTGCAATCAAAGAAGGATTTCTCCTCTCCCGTGCACGTTGTTGCATCCAAGAGATTGGGCAGTACCTCGGCCGGTGGGAAACTGCAATGTCAATGTCAGAAAAATGAAGCAACCTCATTCAATTAATAATAAGCTCGAGCAAGAAGTTGACTGGAGATGGAATTGAATGCCGTGCCAGCAGTTTACAATTGCTGAGCTATCCAGCCCAATTTTGGTAACGTCCCAATTTTTCAGTGTCTATATACGCACGAGGGGACAGGCAATGCCCTCAATTGTTACATCACCTCACCCACAAATACTGTATCTTGATTGGCCGAGAGGGAGTCACATGGCAAAAAGAAAATACAATGGCTGACTCGGTCTGAAAAAAAAAGTATTATATGCGTAGACACCACCATAGCAACGTGTGCACAAAAGTCATGTATATGGTATGGGTGTGCGCATTGCATGAATGGTTCCCTTGCGCTACAGAGTTGGGTTCAAACACGTCATGAAGGGGTTGTTTGGGAAAGAGCACGGAAGTTTTCAACTACATCAAACTCGTGTTACCACAAAGTTGGATACATGGGCGTCACCAGGATGGGGCAAGGGGGGGGGGGGGCATTTTAAGCTTTACTGCGTAGCCAAATCTCACTCGGATAAAATGAAAAAGGAGGGGAAAAAAAGATGGGGGGTAAAAAGGAATAAAACGGAATAAACACAACAAGACGTGAAATTTTACTTCGCTCTTATTGAAGCCCACAATAGTGCGCCCCCATCGATTAGATAGAAATAAAGTACTGTATATTATACGTACATGTAAATTGGACTTGAATGTAGGAAAATCGGGAGTCTTGGTTACCTCGAACTCCCATTAGCACAAATGTTTTATCCGATCCCCAGAGGTTTCTGGTAACGAGAGCTTACTGTAATTTTCTATTGTAATAGCAGTGCATTTTAATAGGATTTTGGTGAGAACAATCAGTTATTTGGGAGTGCTGCCAGAAAACAAATAGGTACTGCTTTAGTGGCCGTGTTCAGATTGAAACCGACCTGTTCTTGGTAGCCTGTAGAGCCCAGGGGTAGTCCAGGTATCGACAGAGTACGTTGGCATCTTCAATGTCCCATAGATAGTTGCAGACTCCGCCCCATTCACCGTTGACCCGCACTTCCACCCGGCCTTCCTGAGGACTTCCGCCATCCGCCAGACGAACAAACGGTAGGTCTACAATGTCAATCAAACAAAACATAAAATCAAATCAAATGAAGATTTGCTATTCAAGCTGTGCATGTGCAACACAGGGTGAGAAAAAAACCCAAAAAAAACAAATGTCGGGACCATTGTTTTAGTGAAGATCTGCATGTAGCACTTTCAAAATCATTGAATATGAAAATGCATTGAATAATTATAAAATAGCATAGAATATTGAAGTTGAAATTTAGTTGAAGTTGAAGTAGCTACACAGTCCACTGAGAGCTTGTTTTCCTTTTTTAGCCGCCATTTTGACCTACATTTTAACAAATTTCGAGCAGAGGTCCGACGATTCTTTGTTGAATATCAGACAACTATTTACTGTATGCTGACTTTATACATAAAACAGTTACCGAGTTGTGCTATAAATACACATACGACGAGTCGCACGTACGACGTGTTTTTTAAAATGGATCACAGGACCCGTTGCAGCTGCGACGCATCGTAGGGATACGACGCGTCGCAGCACTGCGTTGCATCGTACGTTACGATGAGTTTCATGACATCGGGTGCAGGTACTTACCAACGTTGCATACCGCGGCAGCCACAAGCCCAGAATCACACGTAACGGGTGTGCCAAAGTCGTCGTAGGTACACTGATCCAGCGAGGTCTCCGTACCGACACAGCTTATCCCATTCAACCACATGAGGTCTTGCTCTGATGCGGGCTTTTCTGTGGCCACGAGCGCGCTGGCAAAGCCCAACTGCTTGCACAGGACATCAGCTGAGGCTTTGGACCACTGGTTAGCACAGACGGAACCCCAAGCTCCCTCATTGTTAACCTAGAGATCAAAAAGGTGATAGAGCTTAAGTTTATCAAAAAAACCATGTCCTACTTGATCCTCAACAACTCTGTTGCTTACCAATGGAATCAAAGCAAAATTTCAGATCATGTAAACAAGGCATGAGAAATGTATGGAGCGAGTTTCATCAGCTTTGTGCAAGAGGGTTGGATTTAAATGCAATACAAAAACAATACCGACTTTCAGAATGCCGATACAGCACTGGAGATGGTGGCGGAAGGCACGTGCTGCGGCTGAAAGCTTCTGAAGGAATGCGGGATCACCCCTGATGTCATTGATAATGAGGACAATAACATCAGGGGTGATCCTGCATTCCATTAGAAGCTTTCGGCTGCAGCATGCACCTTCAGCCACCGTCTCCAGTGCTGTATCAACATTATAGTACGCCAAGTTGAAAGTGGCAGATTCTTTTTTAAATGAAAATGACAACGTTTCTCCGGCTATGCTACAATGTATCAACAATGTCTCCTAATCACTGTTAATCGCTGTAATACAATTGAGAAAGTACTTTTAAAAAGCAAGTTCAGGTGAGGACCATAAGTCGACTATTGGTTGATACATAACTTACACCTGCACTTTAAAGGTATAGTCCATCATTTGTAATTTGAGCATTTTGTTCGTTTGAAGCAACAAAAGTGCTCAAAATCTAAAGAAGGGTCTTGAACAACTAACTTGATGAAGTTTCAGCTCAGCTCCAGCTGTATATTTTGAGAAAAATAACATTCTAGGATCTCGATTTCAAATCAAAAGTTGCTGAATCATGTTTTGAATTGGGCCTGAATTCAGCGTCCGAGACACGTTCTCACCAGAACCGACTGCAGCTACACGATGTCGCGCACTGATCCGACGAATTATAGCAACCAGGCGTGCGTGTGCGTCGTGCCAACGCTTGCACGTGCTTCACCGAATAAAAAAAAAAATCACTAACGTAAATTTCCAACGGTGCTTCTTAAGACGCACCGTTGGAAAGGCCTTCTTTCGTTGATTTCTTCAAAATGACAGCTTGCCAGAAAGAATAATTTCACAGGGAGTTTAGTCCCCTTACTATCTTTCAACCAAGTATGTTTTTCAACAATAAATACGCCAGTTACTTTTTGAATAGCTGCAAATGATGGACTCTGGCTTTAAGGGTAGAGTAGACTTGGTTTGAAAATAGTAACGACACTTAACATATTCCATCTGGCACGACGCACAGCCACACGGTTGCCATTATTAGCGAGAATTGTCGGTTCAGTTCGTGTGCCATTACATACCAACAATACTCAATGAGAATCATGTCCTGAATGCTGATTTGAAAATTTTGTCATGACTCAGCAACTTTCGAATTGAAATCAAGATCCAGAATATTGTGTTTTCTCAATATATACATAATGAAAAGTAGCGCGCATCTGCTCAACCAGATATGTCCACACAAGCTTTAACGTGGGGAAATGACCACAAAGATAGCCCATTTTTACTCTAAATTCCTTGTATCTTCAGAACGGACGGTCGCACAAATCTGGGGGTTGCAGAATATGAAAATTCATTCTTCTGGCTTTAAGTCTATATGTGTCTGGCTTCGAAAGGCAGAAAACCACTGATCATTTTTTTATTGAAAATGTGGGGTATGAGGCAATTGCCTATGGAGCGAACAGAAAATGACCGTTTGTGACAGACCTTTGGTTGTTTATCTCAATGTATCTCGAGAACCCAATGTCAGAGCACACAGGGGGTAGCGGTTTTGTAAAGAGGATGAAGTTCTCTTTTTCCATTCATATAAGACTCGATTTCATTGGTTAAGAAACCACTGATCATTTTTTCGTCAAACTTTTCCCCAATGACTGGATTTTGAGAGGTCAGTTGTGTGAGTGCACTTGGCCAGCTTGTTGCATGTGGTATGCAAATCGCATCAAGGTCAATTGGGTAAGCTGTGGAGCTGTCTCACACACATTGATCTTTTGCGCGTTTGGGCCCCAAACTTTTCATTATGCAGCAGTAACAGACTTAATGCTTCATTAGGTTAGTTGTTAAACACTCGTCCTTAGATTCTGAGCACTTTTGTGGCTTCAAACGAGAAAGAATGCACCCAACCAACCTCTACCTTTAAATAGCAATTTGCAAACGACTCTAGTAAAACGATGGTCAAAACGTCATATCACAAAACATCATATCACAAAACGTCATATCACAAAATGTCATCACAAAATGTCATCACAACACTTCTTGGTCCTAGCTCCCCGCTGTGCTTTATGATGCACACGGCTATTGGTAACCAGTGATTCAACTGTTCCCCTTGCTTTGGTTTCATATAGTCGACAAGAGTAGTCCAACCATCCTGCGTTGGAGTAAAGTAAGTTGAATTATTGTTAACCACCGTCCTTGCCCGAACTTTGCTCTGTGTTGGATTTGTACCATACCTGCAAGATACCCTCCTGTGGTGTTTGGCCCCCGGCCAGCTGTATACCAAAGCCACCATTTGTACCAGTTGTACCTTTTGTTGCTGTTGAAAGAATGAATACAATTTCATCGGGAATAAAATCCATTGAATGGAGCCCTGCATTGAAATCTCATGCACCAAAACTGTGCAAAGCTACAAAGATGTTAACATTAAATTAGATAGTTATAATGCTTTATGGGTCCATGTAATGTATGTTTTGTTCACAGTAATTGTAAATGCAACTTTGTATCCCATTTACCTTATTATAATACCGGAGTATAGCACACATATCTACATAACAATTAGGTACTCAAGGCACTGGTAATTATGTCTATTTTTAAAGACAGGTATATGAAGTTTATGAGAAATATGAGACCCATCATGTAGCACCTTTACAAAGGGTATACAAGGTGCTGCGGGGCATATTGCAGCCACTGCCAGAAACACCGAGGCAAACCCCTTCTCTTAGCGGTAAGTGTTACTGCATTCTGTAACGTGCATTACACAACACACGGGACCTACGGCTTTACATCCCATCCAAAGGACGAAGCAATAATGGTAAAATGCCTTGCTCAAGAGCACAAGCACCATGTTCCCTGTCAGGGTTTGAACCCACATACCACGGCACACGAGTCGAACACTGTAACCATTGGACCACAGCACCCCACTTTCAACCCACTTATCAATTTTAATTTTGTTAACTTTAAGGGCAGTTTTGTGCCTTTTTGGTTTTTATGCTAATACCAATTCATGAGCAAAAGTGTGATGTCATTCCAGGCAGAAAAGTCAACGTTACAGCTATTTCAGCACACAAATTTGCCAGATTTTTGGATATTTTGCTGTTGTAAATGTCCTTTCTTTGGTGATTCGTAGTTGTTTTAGTACATGACAGTATAGTCCAATGAACAAAGTTTTCTCACAAAACCTTTTCAATGAGCAAATGTTGGGTTCACAATTTGAACAGAAAACCCTCAATTATTGAACAGTGTCTTCCTGAAATAACATCACAGCAACAGCGCCCTCAGTTGTTCGGAAAAGCATGGACAATTTCCAGTGTCTAAATAAGTGCACTTTTCAATAAGATTAACCAGAAAGGACGTCAAGTTGTTTTCGCACATTTTCAAGGAGTAGAATGACGCACAAAACATGTTCTCAAGTAAAATTCATGTCATATGGACCTTTAAACATTAAACACCCCAAAAAACACTCCTCAAAACGAGTCACAGGTTCAAACCTGCTCCAGTCAATTTCTTTGTTCAACTTTTAACAATTACGAAAATATAGTTACCCGTTTCACAGTAAGTTCCTGTATAGCCAGATGGACAGTTGCAAGTATAGTCCAAGTTATTGCTGATGCAGGTTCCGCCATTTTGACAGGGAGTATGGGCACATGGATCTGGGGGTGGAGAAGCTAAAATAGAGAATGGAAAAAACAAGGAGAAAGTAGAAATTCTGTTAAATATTATCAAACACCAATTTAAGACTGGTGTTTCAGACTCACTTAGGGGAGTGTGTGGCCTAGTGGTTAGGGGGGCGTACTCATGATCAGAGGGTCCGGGGTTCGAATCCAGCCGCTGGTCATATATTGTGTCCTTGGGCAAGGCACTTCACCCCCACTTGCCCGTCTCCACCCAGGAGTATAAATGGGTACCGGCATTAGCTGGGGAGTAACCTGCGATGGACCAGCATCCCATCCAGGGGGAGTAGAAATATTCTCAGTCGTTTCATGCTACTGAAACCGGAGATAAACGCCGGCCTGATGAGCCACATTGGCTCTGAACAGACTTTACTTTACTTCAGACTCACGCTAAAAGTGAATTGCTTATAGACCATTATCATTTTGCGGCCATCTTGATATTTTTTCCCCATTCAAATCAACGTAACCAAAGCGAGGCTGGAAGGAAAAATCATATGCTCAGTCACATGTCCGATGGGACATCGAAACCTTAAGTTATCAAAGGTTACATTGCTTTGATTAAAAAGGAATGTACAACATTTGCTTTTGCTGTAATTTACAGAAATAAATGGGTTTGGAGGAATAGTATGTTAAAGCAAATATTGTTACACTGACTCGTTTCATGTTTTGGGTTCGTAGATGCTGGAAAAACCAAGAAACCCAATCCTGTTTGTGTAGTCTGGTCCCCTGACCCCACTTAAGATGAAACAAAGCAACTTTTGGACGTTGGGGAATTATAAGGTCAGAGAATCAGTCTAGCTGGCTTGTACCCCTTCACAGGTGTGTAATCAATTGCAAAGAAAATGCGGAATTACTAAATATGAATAAGTAGGAGCAGTTTTTGAAGGAAAAAAGCCAGTTTTCCCCGACCAGCGTTGGAAATTGATAAAAAAATACCACTTTACTTAAAAATGTCAGCACACCAGGAACCATGATTGTACGATATGCTTTAGACTGTCATTCCCTAACAGTCCAGTAAAGAATTTTGTGGTATTTTGATCATTTTGTTTTTTGATGTTTGCAAATGTTGTATCTTCCCTTTAATTGATTTCTCACACAGTAAGTTATTTACAACCATTTATCTTTTTGAATTATTGGCACGATATAATAACAAAACTATTGTTGACTGCTGTGATGTGTGATATGCCGTTTTAACCCCCTCAAGCACAAAGCACCTTCGGCTTCGCATCGGGTGCTCAGATGGGCCCTTCGGATGTTAAAAACATCATATCAGACATCACAGCAGTCAATAATTGAGAAACTGTTATATTATTCCTTGGATTTCATTGGTCTAGAATGGCCAAGTGTGCAGTCTATAAACATAACTGTTTACTCCATATACACACTGGGTTGCATATAAATCACCTCATATACACATCATTGCATATAAATTGTCTCATACAATGTAACAATAAACCACGTTGAATATTCTGTGCACTGGTAAAAGGTGTGGAAAGCCTGCAACAGGAGGCAAAGTTGCCATCCAGTGTAGCGGGCAAAAAAAAGCCTCATTTACCATAAAACTGCAAACACTTGCAAATGTTGGCATTGCTTGCCTAACTGGAATGCACCCAAGGATTGAACAATGAGCATACAGAAGTATCCTGCAGCAGTCTCAGTTTAAAGCAAAAACAGAAGTTACTTCTTGAAGCTGCAAAGGTTTGGACACATCATACAGGGAATAACAGGTTAATTTCTGGCACAACACAGATAAGACCAAGGCATCTGACAAAAAGGAATACCGTCATTGTCTTGACACAACATTCAGACCTGCATAGAGAAGCCTCAATCCAAAGGAATGTGAGAGATCCTGGCATGGTTTGCCAAATATTGCAGTAAAGTGACATGCTCAAGGACAACAACAGCACCAATTTTCAAAACATCCACATTCTAGGGACTGCAGATGAGCATGAAATTCCTGCCGTAAGTACAGTGGCATGACACCACAAGTTTTGTACTTACCAGTCTCACAATTTACTCCCGTGAAGCCAGCTGGACAAGTACATGTGTAGCTGTTGGCCGCACCACTGGTGCACGTACCACCGTTCAGACAGGGATTAGTTTTGCACATATCTGTGGAGAGCAACAAACTGCATTGATATACCACGGCAATAGATTATAAATATTTATTGGTCAAGCATCGATCACGTGTCATGCCACAGATAAATATGTACAGAGATGCACGCCATCCGCACACACTCTTGTTTTACTATACTCCCAAGGACAATGCTTTGTGTTTTTTCTTTTTTCTCTGTAATATAACACTCTCCCACAGACTAAGCACACAAACCTACTTCAGAGGACCGTTTTGAACAAAAGGACTCTCATTTTGAACTCTCAAAGACTGAAAGGATCTGTTGTTCTCCCTTTGTGTTTCTCTATCGAGTGTTATGTAGAACAAGTACAAGTGGTACATGAGTGATGTTCAAACAAAAAGAGAAGTTCTTGAAGCTGCAAAGATTTGGACACATCATCTACGCAGGTAATAACAGACTAGTATCTGACACAAAACAGATAAGACCATGGCACCTGACATAAAGGTATATACACGTACAGTCAATGTCTGGACACAACATTCAGGCCTGCATAGAAGCCTCAATCCAAAAGAATGTGAGAGATCCTTACAGGTTGCCAAATATTGCAGTAAAGTCACTTGCTCAAGGACAACAACAGCACAAACTTTCAAAACATCCACATTCTAGGGACTGCAGATGAGTAAGAAATTCCAGTGGCATGACACTGTAGTCTCTGAGGGTACCTGTAGTCACTGCGGACCAATCGTTACCTGTTATACACACCACTCCAGCATCTTCACTGTGACTGCACGTGTCTACTCCCCAGCCTGCTGAACCGCAGTGTAGAATATTGGTCTCGTCCCCACGGCACTCCACATTATTCAGGTACACAGGGCCAAATCCAGGCCATCCGGGGAAGAACGCATCTGACTTAGCCTCCAAAGCCCCCTCGTAGCCTAGCTGACGGCAGATGACTCCAGCATCCTCAAGGCCCCAGTTGGTGTCGCAGATGGTACCCGGTGTGCCTTGGTAGACCAGCTCCACTCGACCCTCGTGCGGACCGCTGCCACCACCCAACCGAAGTTCAACATCATCCTCTGTTACAAAGCAATGAAAGTGATTTGGACGATTGACCACTTACGGTGCCTATAAATGGTGCCCCACACATAGTCTAAAACATTCTCTTTTACAAGTATGTCAATCATATCCCAAAAATATGCATGACATTTTTCACATTTTGGTTTTCCATTTCTGTTTTGGGAGTTTTCATCCTTTTTGCGTAATATTGGAAGAAATTATTGAAGCTAATTTACCAACATATGTGACCCGTCACCACGAAATCTCGACAAAGTCGCACCGATCCATTTCAAACAGCGTGCAAAGTAATTTCAGGGTGGAATCATCCTTTTTTAGATTTTGGGGTGACCATATTCTTTTCATATTCATCTATCATTTTAAAAATAAATAAATCTGTTAAACTCAAATACTTTTTTTCCACATTTTCGTGGTGATGTCGTTGAACAAAAGAAGCATGGACTGAAACAAAATCCCTTAACTCACCGTAAAGTTCCCGAAAATAATTCGCTTTCATACAAAGCGTATACAAAGTGTTTAACTTCCCCCCATTAAAAATTTTAATGATCCAAGTATGTGCTAAAAATCGTTGTGATATGTTCATTACCTTTCGTTGAAATTGGAAAATTAGGCCTGGCTACGTGCATTTTTTAAAGTTGTAACACTGGCGTTTGCAATATCTGTCAATCTGTTCAAGCCTCACAAATATTAATGAGGTTCCTATCCATTATGATGTGGAGTAAACATTTGGAGAAAAGCCTCCTTCATGAGTTATGAATTGATAAGTATCACCCCTTTTGCCGGCTCCCATTGGTCGATACTGAGACCCATGCCAAAAAATGCCGAGTGACACTAATGAATATGCTAATCTACCTTACGTTATTGTGAAATCGGTCAATTGTAGCGCCTAAGGCACTTTGCTGAACAATTCACGTGAGTTGGGTGGAAGAATATCCTCTTCCAAATTTTCCATGGAGATAGTTCTAGTTGTAACACTAGCGTTTGCAACAACAGATTAAGCTGATGTTCGGAATATACATAGATGACGTGTTCAACTTCATGTACTCCAAGGAATTGATATAAATACATAGACTTGGGGAACTTTTCGAACGATTTCTTCCAAACATGAAGGTTAGCTATACCAATAACCAGTGTTGACGTTTCGGCATTGATGACAGTGATTTTTTTCACTTACATGAAGTTTCGAATTTTTCCTCTGTTATAATTTAACATTTCATTCATACTGAGCCCATTTTCTGTGAAACACAACGTTCAAAAGGCCATGTTATTTGTGGTGCATAAATTTCACTGCTCTGCTATAGCGTCTAAGTACGTAATCGGATTAGCTTTCCTTAATAACCGCAGACGATTTGCCTTAGCAACCACATGACTGGTATAACCAGTTGTGACAGTGGCCTGCATGTCAATAATTTGGCTAGTCATTTTGAAAGATAGATGCAAATTTTGCTTTGAATCAAATTAGATGATTCTCAAACCCTTCAGTACTAAATTTGGGATTTTAAAGGTACGGTAAAGAATACTTGAACGTACCATCCAAGCAGGTTAGAGTAACATCGTCACTGTGGGGACAGGTAGACGGTTGCGAATAGTCACAGTCAACGATCCTGGTCTCCTGTCCTGAGCATCTGACAGCAGTCAGCCAGACCTTGCCGGAAGCTGGGGCAACAGGCACCGACTGACCGTATGTTCCGGATCCTTTGAAGCCCAGCTGTTTGCAAGCCACATCGGCTTCAACTTCGTCCCAGAAAAACTTACAGATGGTCCCCCACTCGTCATTAAGAAAGACTTCAAGTCTTCCCTCCTTGTCGGAAGGGCCCACTAAACGTAGATCGCCTTCAGTCGCTGCACTGCCTGTGGTAAGTAATTGTAACACATTTCAAACACCTTGTTAAAACTATCAGGAAAAATACAATGGCAAGTTGGAGGGAGTGATGGTGGGGGGGGGGGTTTGGTTGGCTTTTTTACTCCTCACCAGTCTCGCAATTTGCTCCTGTAAAGCCATAATGACAAGTACATGTGTAGCCGTTGGCGTCACTGGTACATTGTCCACCATTTTGACAGGGAATAGATTGGCACACATCCATTTCTGTGGAGGGAAACATTTGGGAATTCTAATTTTGTCTGAATCTGGATGGTATAGCTGGCAAAGCAGTAGATTGTCTTCATTCGATGTGCTGCCTGTGGTAAGAAATAGTAGCAAATTTCAAACACCTACAGGGTGAGTCAGAATGATCTGGACCCAAATTAAAGAAAATATTAAAAATATGTATAGCACTTAGCAAAACAAGTGCAAATGAGATATGGTATAGGCTGGTATTTTGAACATATCTGGTGAAAGTTTCATGTATATCCCATTGTACCATTTTGAAGAAAATCGCTAGCAAAGAACACATGTCAAAAAAAAACCACTCTGACCATTGTTCCATGGTTCAACAAATTTATCGAAATCGCGTAATGATGTGAAGCAGTGTAATAACAAATAAAAACCAAGTCATGGTGACTGACTCAGCTGCAGTTATTGACACATTTTTTTAAAAAATTGCAAAACCAATTGCGTGTGCAGACTGGAAAATGAGCCGCTTTAATGAAAATAACATAACTCCTCACCACAGCAAAATTCCAAATTCCTGTGGAAGAAAAGGTAATAACCATTCATATGAAACACTCAGTTTTTTTTTCTAAAGGTTCTCTGTTTGCCACCAAAAAAAATGGTAAACTCGGGTACAGATCATTCTGACTCACCCTGTAGTTAAAACTATCAGGAAAGAAACAATGGCATGGGGGAGTGGATGACATTAGTGGGTGGGGTGATGGTAGGGGGTGGGGTGATGGTAGGAGGGGTCGGTTAACTTATTGTAATCCTACCAGTCACACATTTTAATCCTGTAAAGCCATCTTGACAATTACATGTGTAGCCACTGGCATCACTGGTGCACTGTGCACCATTTTGACAGGAAAAAGATAGGCCCACCTCAATGTCCGGGGAGGGAAACACTGATCATTTCATTGTCTTCCCTGTTCATTTACATGTTTTTTATCTTTCATATATCATATTTTCCCAAAAGTGAAAATAGAATAATGCAAAATATCTGATAAAAAGTGAGGAGCCTGTACAAAGATGAAGTTGTTTTTCTCACTATCTTGACAAAAATGCCAGAGTGAAGGACAGATATGACCAGTGTGAAGTTTTTGGGTTTTTTTGCTCTCCCAACTTTATTTTCTTTGAAGTGATCTTGTGATCCATTTTTCCAGGTTACATGTGCAGCAGCAATAATGCATGCATCTCAGAAAGTGCGATACGTGGAGTGCAGTATCGACCGCGGTACTTAGGATAATACCACACTGCTGTTGCCATGGAACAACCAATCAGGATTGAGGATTCAAGTTTGCTTAAAGATAAAAACGGGAAGAGAGTGATGAGGAAGCTATGTATCAAGTGAGATTTACATGAACTTACCAGGAGTTGGTGACCCTCCACAGATCTCGTCCACCATCACCTCACCCAACTGCAATATTGCATTAGTGACATCAGAGTCACTAGGGTCTATGTCAAGGGTCACATATCTGGCCAACCGTGGCACATCGCACACAAATTCAACAGTAGCCCCATCGTTTGACTGTAGTCTCGTTGCTGGGGATCCGCAGGGATAGTTCTGGGCGTAGTCTGAGCTGGTGCCAGCTCTCGCTACAGCAGAGGTGAACCGATATTCGCCTTGACAACAAAAAGAGGATCCAATGAGTGAAACAAGCTGAAAGTAGATTATTGGAATATATTTACTCCTGAAACAAGTCGCTGAAGCTGAATAAGTGATTTATATGACAAAGCAAATCAATGTGCTTAAAGGGAATATACAACATTTGCAAACATCGAAAAATAAAACTACCAAGTTTTAACGAAATACCTTACTAGGATGTTGGTCAATGACAGTCTAAAGCATCCTGTAAAATTATAGCACCTGGTGTCGAGTCATTTTAAGAAAACGGTATTTTTGTATACATTTGACCACCGTTGGAAAAACCTAACTATTTTTCAACTACTGCTCCAAATTTACAATTTTTTTTCAGTCCAAATTTTGTTTGCTATTGGTTACATGTTCATGAACGGGTGCAGGCCAGCTAGACTGGTTCCCTTTTCTTACAATTTTCTGACATCTATAAATTGATCCATTTTATCTTTAGCGGAGTCAGGGAACCAGACTACTTAAACAGTTTTGTTTTTCTTGGTTTTTCAAGCATTTTCGAACACAAAACTTCAAACATGTCAGTTAAACAATATTTGATCTACTATACTAACCCCTCAAATAGTTTATTTCTGAGATTTACAGCAAAAGCCAATGATGTACATTCCCTTTAAGTGTCACAAGAATAAGCCAGTTTGGTATCTCGATGAAGTAGTCCATGTCAAAGGTCATTCGGGATAAAATTGCTGGTGATCTGAGATGATACGCGTAGTTACATGGACGCCCATTCTGCCTGTAATAATCACGCGAGCGTCATGCGCTTGTCTCCTTGCGCGTTCATGCGCCTTCAATGAGCATTCGATTATCTCAAATGACGTCCATATCATTGTGCGCATGGGCAGTTGAAATACAAAACTGGCTTATTAAAGGTGGACATTACACATTTATCTGAAGAAAATAAACACTGTCCAGAGCAGGCATGCAACTTGAAAGTTACAAATACAGGAAATTTAATCCCAAGCTTTCCATGACTTTTTATAGTGTTTTCTCATTTTTAATGATGAACGTGAAGTTAGAAAAGAGGAAATCAGCTGCGTCCCCCGAGGACAAGTTGCATGACAAATTGCATGCTTGCGAAAGATAACAAAACTTGCAGTTATGATGCTGTTTTTGAACAAGAAAATATAAACAGAACAGAAGGCTGCGATGTACAGCATGTCCCAAAAAAAAGTCCCTCTCATAGACCACAGCATAATTACCAAAATCGAGTTTTATACTCAATTAAGTTTACATATTTAGAAAGCCCACTTCATTTTGTAGTTCCTGTGGAAATTTCAAAGGTCTCGTTTCATTGGTTTTGAATACACAGGCTCTTATGTAACAGCAGTGCTTTCCGGCCCATTCCAAGTTTGACAAAAAGAAATGCACACTACAGACATACCATACCTTATTCCATGCTTCACTTTTATTTCAACAACTGTGTTCTTGTTTTTGTTATTAAGTAACTAAAGTCAACTTCATTTACTTTTTAAAATGAAAACTAATCAAAGTTCAGTTCCACTGGTCGTGTTTGCTTTCACAGGGTGTGTTCCACTTATGGTTTGTCCTTCAATGTCCAGCTTGTAAACCTTTATTGTCCTCCTGCACGTCCTTCCACCTGGTATTCATTCAAGGCAGTGCAGAAAATGTAGCACTGCAAACTTGGAATGGGCTGAAAAGCACTGCTGTTTCATAATAGACTGTGTATTCAAAACCAATGAAGCGAGACAAATGAAATTTTCAGAGAAGTTACAAAATAAAATGGGCTTTCTAAATCTGAACACTAAATTGAGAATTATACTTGATTTTGGAATTAATTTAACAGTCTATCAGAGGGACATTTTTTTTGGGACACACTGTATTGAGTCAGTGCACAAACTGTTGGAGAGACACACCATGTGCCGCCACTGGTTTGTGCCCATACATGTTTGGCACCAACGACTAATGTTATACTAAATGTACACAAATCTGTTACGTCTTCCCACGAGCCTCAGGTGTAATGGGCATTGCATTTGGATGACCCTCCCCTTGGTCTCCCCCACGAAATCCTCATCTTGAACCTGGTACAGTGGAATTGTCACTACACCGAACACCACTATACCGTACATTCAGCTACACTGAAGATTGTCCTTGGCTCCTGATTATTGTGTACAAAACATACTGAACACTGTTGTTGAAAAATACCAACAAAAGAGTGACAAGTGGCTATTTTTTCCCCAAGGAATGGAAGGGGAAAGCCACCCATTGCTGTAAGCTCAAAACTGTGTAAAATCATAAATCAATAGCCGGCACAGGTTTAAAGTTGTCTTTCAGTAACTACCAGGGTGTGCACGGTGAAGTTCTGAGGGGTGCTATTTAGTGAAAAGTGAGTACCAGAGCACCAGCAGGTCAATATCACTATACCGTGGGATCGCTATTAGTAACAGTTTCTGTGGATCTTGCAATGTTCGTTATAGCGGCGTTCCACTGTATTCTTATGAGCCAGATACAAATGCAAAAGCATCTTATAAGCCTTACCACAGCATTGTTGTCGGAGTACCACGGTGATCTTTGTAATTAAGCGCTCCTCACCCAGGTCAACTTGCCATACGGGGTGCCCGTCATTGGGCTCTGTACGTGGTAAATATATATACGTGGGCAAATTTTTCACGAAAAAGTGGACATGACAGAAAAATGGAAACTTTATGAAATCTTCAACACTGCAAGCATCAAAACGTGAAACGTGGTATAAAATTAAAAGGGACAACAAAAAGATTTTTTCATTCAGTTCACAGTATGAGAAAACTTTCAAATCCAGGGTTTTTAAATTTTTGCAATGTCCTTTTCTTGTAACATGAGCTACCAAAAATACACGATTGCCAAACTAACAGGGGTCTCTTTTGTTGGCGTACAATTTAAAACACTGACTGGAAATATTTTGTCAAGCCAAAATGGTTGTCAGAATTTATTGTCCAATAAGCATTCTTCTCATATCAGCGTTTAGAAAATTGTATCAACTTTATGAATGACGTCACCCCAAGGTTGCTGAACTTTTCACTGTGATGCTGTGGTGAAAAAACAGGTGGACGTATGTCTTAAACAAATAGTTTATGCTTCGTGGAAGTGCACCACTGAATAGGATCACATAGCATGACTGTGCTTGTTCAAACTAAAATGGTCGTTATTGGCCGAGCACTGTCAATGACAAATTTCATCCCTATAGACAGCTGAAGATGTTTTCTTTAATGTTCTGATCACCCCACAATTGAACGAGGCCCAGTTTTAAAGATATGCCTGTTTTGGTATCGCAACAAGGCATGCGCACACATACTGAGCATGTACACACAGTGTAACGATGAACAAATGTCCAACATTTTTCATTATGCTCAGGTCACACATCACTGAGTTCCATTGTTTTGAAAATGGTACATGAAAACCCTCTTGGGACAGAGAATTCATTAACCAGTCTCTCTGCCTAATAACAGTGGGGACAAAACGTAGCCTTACCAGTGTGTGCAAATGTATTGATGTCGCCGTCAATAGCATTTGGTGCCTCGTATAGGCCAGAGGAATGACTCGTAGATTGCGAAGCAGACTTCCCAGTAAGATCGACAGCTGTATATCGGAGGAAAATTACAAAATAACCACAGAGAGTAACTCACAAATGAGGATCACTCCAAGAGAGAGTCACATTTGACAAATACTCAAAAACTAAACTGCAAAATTATAATGAAACAGTACTTGATTGTACGTAAATAATAATATCTCCGGGCACTTGGCCTCATTAAAATATATTTAAAAGGAGGGGGGGGGGGGGAGGTATCATCTTCCAATGGGGGCATTTTTCAAATCAGATGATTATGCGCACTATCGAAAAACAGTGCGCCAATACCCTCTTACCCCTGCCGGCTACGCCTCTGTGTACAATTGTTGCAGACAGGCGGGCATAAAGGTAATAATTACTAACAAAATTGTCATATTTTTTGGTTTGTGTGTCAGAGAAGGGGGAGGGGGTTTCGAACCCCGAAACCCCCTTTCTGGATCCTCGCCTGGCCTGGTACGCTGTCATCCTAATTTTGTTGGGAGTAATTTTCCAGTGATCGCCAGGCCTAATGATCGTTGAAAATTTGCAAATAGTACTTCCGTTAAACAGGCGCAAGCCAGCTATTGACCTAGTACGGCGTATAAATAGACACGTACATGCAGGACATTGTTTTTCTCTACAACACAGCCGTCACCCAGGCATGGCGTGTGACTCATGTGTTTTATGCAAGACAACTTTAGTCATTTGCACTCTTACAATTGAAACAAACAGCATTTTCTCTTCTTATTGTGGTACCAATAAACACAAAAATTGAAAACTCCAGTGGGATAATATCCAATATAAATTACTAATTAGCCCCAAGTTCAGTCCATTTCACATATGGAGAACTTTGCCACTCATATGTGCAGAAAATCAAAGCCCTGCATGCTCTGCGGTCACACACAGGATGCATTGACCCGGCGACCTGCACAGCCCCACTGCGTTGACCGGACTATACATAAACAGCAGGTCGATCCTCAGAACAAAAGCGATGTCTGATTTGACAAGAAAAGTGCCCCTGGTTCTTTTTAACCAATCAAAACAGTTGTTACATGAAAGGAAAGCTTATTGTGTTCTCTTTCAGAAACTGTATGAGGTAATCGTATTCAACTGGGTACACACATGTGCCGTTCGAAGAAGTAAACTCGCACCCTCAAAAATGGACGAAATGTGCCGTGACCTCCATAGGAAACGCGACATTTTCACTGAGTTGCTCGCTTTTTAAAGGAAAAGTGCATATTATTATTCAACTTTAACCATGAAGAAATTATATTCATTTGAAAGAGGAAAACCTATATTTTATAATGCGATGCGAGGAAGTAAGTTTAACAAACATACTTTCCGCATATTAACGAAAGTTTGCTCATAGCGCCTAGACATGAGCCAGTCTTCCCACGTAAACAGAGCTGCACAAGTGGCGAGTGAGCAAATGCTCCCTAGTTCTCCATATGAAAATCACAACAAATGCAAATGTTGTACAGGGTGAATCAAAAAAAAGCAAAACACAAACCCAAAGAAATATATTTCATATATAAACAAATATGTAGCACCAAAAATAAAGATGACTGGTAAGCCTAAATTAATAAACTACTTTTAGATGAAACAAATTACTTTGATTGCTCCATCCGTTCGATTATATCACAATTTAAATAAGCGTACAATCTGTTTCATCAAAAAATGCGATTTCAAGAATTGTCTTTACAATTGTCAAACACCACCAGCGACAAAACCTCAGTTTAAAAGTTTTAAATATTCAACAAAGTCCTTTTGAAGGCTAAAAAGTTGATTTTTATAAATCCAATTGCTAGCCAAAGCAGGGTTGCTATTATTGTGTACTACAGTTGTTGAAATAAGTATTCTGTGTCATTTTCTTTGTTGTTCCAAACAGTCAGAACACACAATAAATTGCCTTTTTGGAAGAAACTGATTTTAGGGTTACTTTGTAACATGTGGCGCAATTGAAACAATGTAGTCGTTTAAAAGTAGTTTAATAAATGGGCTTCCAAGTCATAATTAAGCTTGGTGCTGCAAGGTTTTTGTTATATGAAATATGTCTTTGTTTTTCGGGCTCCACTTTTTGGACTCGGCCTGTAAAATACCTTGTTGGAGAAAATATAGAGGGATAATAAATCATTGACTTACGACAAATCGTGGTACACTCGGCAAAAGTGGCCTCTTCTACCGTCACCTCGGCAAGCTGCAGTAACTTTTCCTCGGCATCAGAGTTGGCAGGATCTATGTCCAGGCTGACATATCTAGCCTTCTTTGGTAAGGGACACACAAATGTGATGGTCGCACCAGTGGCTGCCTGTTCGCTTGTGGCGGGTGAACCACACTGTTGGTTCTGGGAGTAATCGGAGTTTAGGCCAGCTCGCGCTACCGCAGCCGTGAAACGGTTCTGGTCTATAGAGTTAGAACAAAAAGAGTGCATTAGGCCCTAACCCTTACTCCGTAGGCATTTGTTTTGGGAGAACCTTAACAAATCCTTCAAATGCTATCACTCTGATGAAACTACAATTCACGATGTGATTTAGGATGCAGGCCAGTAAATAGGCCTAAATATGCCTATGCCGGCCAAATCACGGCTTGCACGTCCTCAATTATTTTGCTATTAAGAATATTTTGTCGGCCTGAACTTGAGGTTTTGTAAAAAGATCAAGGTTGACAGCCATGAAGAGGACTATGGGAAGTGACTGCAGCCTCTAGCCATGTGACACGGACACAGCCTAAGTAGAACAGTCCAGCAATGGACAAATGGTAACAGCTGCTTATGTTGTGTATTATTTCCCATTATTATAAAATGCGAAAGACGTGTTCAATTAGCTCACCCTGGTTGAATCAGGTTGGACCTGTAGTATCCTTACATGATAGCTATATGTATAGGCACCAGTGCTCTGAAACCACACACCTAAACCCAGACATTACCTCATCCACATTGGAATGCATGAACCCATAAGGCCCCAACTTGGATCAGATTGCACCCTTGAACAATGTCGCCCTTTGGCATAGAACCTCATGTGATGAACATGAGATGTACTGAGACACAATATACCAAGCAGGCATCGAAGGAACAACTATTATCCGTGTGCTAGTGAAAAGCTCACTACATTACAGGACCCATGCCGTTCGATTAGCTCTGACATCATTCTCGGGGCTCAGTTGGGTCAACAACCACAGACCCTGCTCGTGGAGCAGAGTCAGTTATGGAAATACATCACACGCATGCGCCGTTGATTCCGAGAAACAGACAAATAATATGGCGGCCGGACAGCAGAAAAAATCAAGTGGACCCCAAAATCAACTTTATTGGAAGTCTAAAAAAAAAATCAGTTGTTGATCTAATTGTGACCTGAAAGGTCATTCCAGCCCAGCGTTGTTGCTTTTTGCAACTGCAGAAAAGCAGCAGATCTCAAAGTAAGATGCAGTCCGATGAGGGCGTTTGTCACTAGCTTTGGCTGCAACTACGAACGCCACATGAGGATCATGATGACCCATGTTTGACCGTTCGATTGGCTCTCGTGGCTAACCTATCTGCCTTTACCCGAGTCGATCCAGGTTTAACTAATCAAAACGCACCCAATCAGAGTAATCCTTTTTTGTTTTATGACACATGACAGTTCTCGAAACAAGACACAATATAAAATTGTGTTGACTTGATCTTTAGTTGCACACTTTTCATGACAATGTTCACCTTAATACATGAACCTGACTACTTTCGTAGACGTTTCTAGTGTACTGACCACAGCAGTCTTGACGGAGCACGACAGTGATTCGTCCGATGTCAACCTCTTTGCCCAAGTCCACTTGCCACCATGGATGTGGGTCATCATTTGCTGAAAAAAAGGACAAGAATAACATAATTCTTAACTATACCTTTCGAATTTATGTCCATAACTTTGTTTTACAAACCAACTGCTTATAGGTCTGTCTCAAAGACGGCAATCTCTGTAGGAGAACTGCAACTGCATATATCTTATGCAATCAAGCACGCATTGCGCAGTGTTGAAAATGTTCTAAACATGCGTACTTGTTGCTCGAAATGTGCTCGAAATACGACGCAGCCGATGTGCATTATGAAAGTTGACGCTCAAAATGCCGATGCACGTGGCTGGTCTGTAGAAAATGATGTCATTTGACCTCTTATGGGTACACAGAAGTTTGCAAGTCAATCAACATTCATATTGTTCACAAGTCCAATCAGACTTAACAGCAGATGAACAAGTACAAGAGAATGTCTCACTTGAAAAAAGTTTATTTGATGATAAAAAAAGGGAATTACATGCAAATTAGGGGATAATAGTGTGACAGGGCAGTTAGGGGCCTGGGGCCAATTTTACGGCGCTGCTAAGCACAAAAATGTACTTAGCACAAAAAAGCCTGGCTTTTAAAGGCAGGTTACCAGCCAAAACCCCATGTGATGTATATTGCTCATGATTAGTATTCACATGCTAAACACGCCACAATGCTTGATTACGTATAAGAGCCTCGAAAAACTCCCTCGTAAATTACCCTATAAATGGCCATGACTCGACACGAGATATGCAAGTCTTTTGATCTCCTACACTGGACCGTTAATAGCCTTGGTCAATGCTCTCGTCCTTATTCGTCCCGTATGCGGTCAATCGTCGGCATATATCCTCACGCGCTATGCACATGCATGTAAAAATACAGCGCGAACAGCGACCTCATGCGGCCACTATTTTTTTATGCAAATCAATTGGGGACGATCGAGAGCCTTGGTTCAATCGTCGGCAAAGCTTATGTTTTTCTTTACTTTGCGCTAGATTTCCAGCACACGACCTCGTATGCGAATACAGATAATGTAGGCGGGGCTAATATGTGGAGTGTCCAATCACACCTTGGTAAATTTGCAGCTATTCCGCCTTTTGCGGACGTGACAGGAACCACAGTTTTTGTGCATTAATTGGTGCCATGTGCAGAGACACACAATGTGTACGTGTATGGATTATGTACGGTGCCACGTTTCACTATGCAAGTTTCCACGCAACGTTCGACCATTAAACGACATTTAAGGTCAGCTAAGGCTATTAACATAATGAGCACCACCCCCAAAACCTCACATGGACGATTGAACCAAGGCGCTAGATTGGGTCCAACTGATTTGCATAAAAATAGTGGCAGCGTGAGGTCGCTGTTCGCGCTGTATTTTTAATGCACTGCATGCATAGACATAATGACTGCATGCATAGCGCTAGCGAAGATATCGTTTACCGCGCTACGGCCGGATGAATAACAACTAGCGCCTTGACCAAGGCTAGACCGTTAATGACAATACTTCTTTTGACGCAATGGTTAAGTCGGAGAATACACTCGCAAGTGTGGATTCTTAATTTACGAATTCACTCGGCACTTCGCGCCTCGTGAATTCTTAAATTACGAATCCACTCTTTCTCGTATATTCCTCCTAACATAACAATGAGGAATGTACTTACCTTTAGTGTGTGAGATTGTATCTATTCTGCCGTCAATAGCATTGCCTGCTGGGTAGGTATTGTCTTCGTTATAGTTGATGCTTTGTGATGCAGGCAACCCACGAAGTGGAACAGCTTTAGAACAAAATTTTAAAAAAAACATGGGAATGAGTGCCAACAAATCCAATCCAAATCAAACAACCAAAAAATGGAACAGAAATTGGACTGAGTTGATGGGATCACAAGGAAGCGATGGTAAGTCTCCTTTTCTCAAAAATGACAGCATACTTTTCACAGGATGCATGATCCTATTCATGACTTATAATCAAGAAGGATACTACATAAATTTGGGCAGTTTCACTTTTGAATGTTTGCAAATGGTGTCAGTAATCTTTAAGATACGGACACATTTAAAGTAGGATTGAGAATTCTAGAGTCTTACGACAATATGCGGGGCATCCAGCATCGGTGTTTTCCTCTACAACCACTTCTGCCATCTGCAAGAGAGCGGTGGTGACATCGGGGTTGGAGGGGTCAATGTCCAAGCTCACGTATCTGGCCCTTCGTGGCACGTCGCACACAAACGTAACCCTGGCCCCGTCAGCCGATTGCGCCCTCGTTGCCGGCGAGCCGCACGGTTCGTTCTCTGCGTAGTTTGAGCTCGGACCAGCTCGCACAACTGCGCCAGTGAACCGACCCTGGCCTTTACAGTAAAAAGGTAAAAAAAGGTACAACTCTTGTAAAAAATGAGTTTCAGTGAAACGCTCATAGCTTTACTGACAGTTTACGCATTCTGATTGGCTGCAAGCTATCATTTTCCAAGGCTTACTCAGAGTTGTTTGATGAGAGAAGACAGGTCTCCAATGTGTAATGTAATGCCAATCCTGGTACAAAGTGAGCCTTATTTGTTTTCATTGTTTCAACTAAAGACTGACAACAACTCAACAGACTGTTGGAAATAAGCCATGATGGTTAATAATTCAAGAAATCAAATTTTAAAGATGAGTTCCCTGTGCTATCTTCGAGTTTCACAGTCTCAAAAAATAAGATTTTGTTTTCTTTTGATATTTTCTTTGCAATATAAAAGTTATTCACTTTTAAATGAGTCATTTACTCAAAAAAAAAAAACAATCTTGGAAAATTTTGGGATGGCGCTCTGAGAGTTTTCAAGTTATGATTATTTAAAGATAGTTTGTCCAGGGAAAAAAAACCTAATTTGCATATATTTACATACAAATGTATACTTAAGTGAAGGTTTACCTGTACAGACTTGCCCTTCACATCCTTAATGTGTTATGTCCAATGTTTATGCCGCATCTTTTTTGTGAGCCCCCCCCCCCCCCGCACCAAATCCTGGGTGCGCCACTGGTTGCACCCGATTCCCATTGACCTTCATGTGTGATAATTAATTGCTTAATAAAATGTTTCCAACTTTATGCATTTGTGTCTGTATGGTACTCTGCACGCACACTGAAAGATATAAGGAGGTATTTCCAAAACGTGATATACATCATTTTATCTTATAGAATCCCATCCTCTCCTAGCTGCCCAAAGTCAGTTTCGACAGCTGTTAGGTTAACATAGTTAACCACAATTTAAGAATTATGGTCACGCAAAAAATGATGCTTGGAAACAACATTTATACTGTTTTTATTATTTTAAATTTCATAACTGTGCAATGTTTCACTTCTCCAAATGGATGTGTCGCACTTTCATGGGTGGTATCTACGGAACTGTGTTTAGGACATGACCAAAAAAAAAATTTCCGGCCCTCTATTTCGCCCGGGTGGATTACTATTCCGCCCGGGCGAAATAGTAATCCGCCCGGGCGAAGAAGTGGGCCTAAAAAATATTTTCGGTCATGTCCTAAATACGCTTCCGTAGGTATCTCATCAAGTTAAAAAGTAAACTGTACTGCAAATCAATGTTTTGTTTGCAAAACATCAGAATGTTCCATGTGCATATAAAATGCCCAATGTAATTCCCGTGGGAAATATTCCCACGGAAACCCATGGGAATTACATGGTGAATTGGTCACCATGTACTATGTAGCATGGGATTTTTTTTCCCAGGGGGTTTTCCCGTGAATGATTTCAGAATCCCACATCATTCACTTAAAGGACTTCAAATTTTCCACAGCAGCTAAGTTCATTACAGATATTTCCTTGACACTGTTACCCCATGTGATTTATGCTGTTCATATATCACTCACCCAATGGGGAGTACCACTTACCACAACAGCCTTGACGAAGGTCGACAATGACTGTACCCACACAGTACTCATTCTCCAAGTCAACTTGCCACCAGGGGTGAGGGTCTTGCCCACCTAAGAAGATACGAGTGAAAGAAATCATTTATTCAAGATGACCTACCGCCAAAAATACAAGGATATAGGCAGAAAATTAACGCAAATCCACTCCAAGATCGTATCCAGAGAATATTGTTGATGTACCCTAATGTACCGCAGCCAAATTTGGACTGACAAAAAAAATGGTAAATTTGAAGCAGTAGTTGAAAAATAGTTAGGTTTTTCCAATGGTGGTCGGCTGACCACCGTTGAAAATTGATCCAAATATAGAACTTTTCTTATGACTTCACACCAGGTGCCATACTTCTAAAGGATGCTTTAGACTGTCATTGCCAACATCCTTCCTAAAAATTTGGTAGTTTTGTTTTTCGATGTTTGCAAATATTGTATACATTGTTTTTAAAGAGTGCCGGTCCTATTCACTGCCCCGTACATAGATGTACAGTCGGGAGTGGGGACCCAGACTTTTTGTTTACTACAACCAGAATTTGTATTAACAGTGATTGTATTAACAAGAGTCAACTGTGGTAGACTAATATCACAGTGTTATAACACATAATGAACATGTAAAGTAAATAAATAAAAAATGAACTGATTATCATTGGAATTAACAGATAGATCTTAAACTTTCAATAAATCACTTCTGCAGGCCCTCAAGTTGTGTGTGGGGTTTTTTTTTGGGGGGGGGGGGGGTGGGGGGGGGGGGGAATAAGGCGAACAATACAAAGGATGGTAATCTTACCCGCAGTGTGTGAGAAGGTGTAGAAGTTGTTATCAGTTGCCTGATCTGCACTGTATGGATCATGTGTAGTGCTCTGGGTGACTGGCTTCCCTGCCAGTGGGATACCTTGAAGGGATTATGGAAAGCAGAATCAAAATGACAGTTAATTTACCAAAAAAGACACAACATACAAAAGCCTGGCGCACACTTTTCCGATTTCACAGGATCCAATGTGACTGGAAAGGTGTGCGGGCAGCACCCCGATTCCACCGGACGCGATATTGAAGTTAACCAATCAGATTCACGAAGGAAGTCACATGACTCAAAATTGAAGGCTGCTTTATACAAATTGACATATTTAATGTAGATCCCACTTTTTATATTGTTATTTTGATCATCCCAGTCAACAGAGAGGCTTTAAAAATGTCAGATTTTAATATGACCAAAAAAAATCCCCAATAATATAAGAAACACATCTTTTTGGTTGCACCGTAAGTTTTACAATCTGCAAAGTATTATCTATGACATATTAACTATAATACTGACGGCAGTGGGAGACCAAGAAGGGTCACCTAAAAGTTTCGGTCATATTTGCCCCAGCAAGTTGTTGAGTCACCAACCCTGGATATTTTCAAGACCAGAGTGAATGGTGTCACCTTCAGTTAACCAACCTGTCCCAAAATAGCTGTTTTTACTTGCACATATTTGTCTTTTTATGCCTCGAGTTATGTCTGCACCTGCTTGTTTGCACTTCAACCAAGGTGCGAGTATACTCCAGCGGAGGTTTCTACACAGTATAGGAAGATATGTAGCCTGACTGCATCTGGCCCTACAGTACTATTGCAAGCTCTGTAGTACGGCCAGACAGCCGACATGGCCAATGCCCCCCCCTAAATGCTAAACTCTGATGTAGCGATTTTGCTACCGATTTAGATCAAGATTATCTTCTCATCCAGGACAGAAATTTCCAAAGTAAAGGTTCCTAGTCGTAGAGGAACTCATACCTTTTCGAAAAAAACGTTCTGTTATCTAAAAATCTTCATCCATCTGACCAAAAAACGACTTTCAACCATCATCTCCCACGAATATCGTCCCGAAAATGTTCCTCCATAGGATTTCAAAATGGCGACCGCGTTGTAATGTATGCATTATGCGGGCGCAATTGGGCAAGATTATGAATATGCATTCAGTTCATGACGTTTGTCAGGTGCGCAGGGCGGCTGGCCATGAACTGAACAATGCATATTCATAATCTTGCTCAATTCTGCAGGCCCAGAAGCATCTGCCTGCATTTGTACTTAGTAATATTACTGTAAAATTAAAAGCTGATTTATTTTTCCATTTTTTGCCTGAATTCCCCACTGGCACTAAAACCTTCACTTTCCACATTTTTTTGGCAGCTGGTTAAAGTTTGTGCATTAAAGGATACGATCCAACTCCAAGTAAAAGTACGTCATTTTGAGGATGCATGCGTTGCAAAATATTATACTTAGGCCTATAGTTAAACACGAGTGCGTAGAAATTGGAGGAGGAGGTCGACGATACAGCAGGGCTTCTTTTTACAGCCGAATTATTGACATAAAGTAGTGTGATAAGCACACAACTTTTTTTACTAGAAAAAAAATAGAATTCACACTTCATTCCCACGAAGTACTGTCAAGTACATATGAAAATCGCTGCATACATTTTAATACTGGGCCAGTGACAGTCGAGCAGTTCAACCTACGTTTGATCGGTGCGATATGCGGTGATCACGATGTACCACGTGGACGGTGGAAGTGCCATCAACATTACATAGCGCCACCATGAGACAAATGCAGCCCGACGAAAAACGCACCGCGAGCGCCCTCAAGTGGCGATGAGTACAGATACCACTGATAGTGTATTCATCTCCCCCTCAAAGTGTCCTACTATAAGTGGGAGACGCCCACAGGCAGAGATGTATAACTCATAGCTTGGACTCGACGGTCACCATTAACTATGATTCAGACTCAGACTTGACACTACTGACTCGGACTCAAGTTACTCAATTGCAAAATGACAAATGTTCTGGTCTCAGATTGTAAAATGGAGATATTTTTTTTGCATAATAGACCCTAACAGTTATTTATCGAAAATTAATGATATAATAACATTGTAACGTACATGTTTTTCTTATTCCTTAGTTGTGCAACCGCTCGACGTTCACTTTATTGTAACCATCCAATTCGTCGGGTTTCGTCCTGATTTTTTTAGCCACCGCATTCATTGATGCAGTTAATATAAAAACGGTCATGTGCAACGAACCAGAATTGGCTATCACCGTCACACAGATTTCGTCGGTCAACTTAATGTCCAACGATGATTCCAATCGTTCAAAATTGTTTAAACAAAGTGTTAACGAGACAAATGACTGCTTTTACTCGTATCAAAATTATGCCGAGCTCCACTAGTGGCGAGTGAGCAAATGCTCCCTAGTTCTCCATATATGTTAGGTCAAGACTACTTGGTCACCAAAATGACCAAATGTAATGAAGTCGTAGATATCGTCACCGACACCACGAACTGACACCCAGTGATCAGCGTTGCAGAAATACAAATCGGAGAAAAACGCTTTTAAAGGTTTGACACGAATTTACTCAGTAAAATAATCCATCTGTCTTAGAGGTTTTGGTACCACTTAACGTGAAAATGCTTAAACTACTCAATTTTGCTTCATGCTTCACACGACTGCAAATTCCAATTGAAATTGACGTCAAAATTCGCGACGAAATTCATTGGATTTGAAATGAATTGAACCTGGCCGGCTATTTCGAATTTGTTTTAAACAAACAATTGACGTCATAAAATCGCGTTGACTTTCGCGTCTTCAGAGTTGGTGAAGCTTTGTTTCTAAAGTGCACTGCACATCTGTATCTGTATCTATCTGTATGAATATAGTCGGTAAAGCATCCCATGGGAAACATCACACCAAATTAGAGAGAAGACAATGAGAAGAAATTACTGTTTTAGAGGTGGGAGGAAAAGCCCAGAAGATATTCTGGGGAAAACCCACAGAATCAGGTACCGGTAGGGACTGAAAACCCAATCCACATATTGACCGAGGGCGGGATTCAAACCCGGGTCACAGCGGTGGAAGGCGAGGAAAGTACCGCCACGCCAACCTGACTTCCATGTCCTTTGACATGGGCAAAGGACATGCACGTAATTATTGTAAAAGAATAGCACGATATCGTTCCTCGCTGAAAATGAATATAACCTCATAAAGTCATCACAAAGCCAACACAGCCGCCTTTTCAAAATCAACTGCCAGTTAAAACCACAATTTTTGTAGGCAATTATGGGGATGCGGCGCCGGCGGAGGGGGAGCTAATGGGGACGACTCGGCTAAAACAGAGATGAGGGTTCAACACCCCTCAGCCGTCTTTCTTGATCCATAACGGCACCCGTATGTGCCTAGAAAATCCGTGTCCAGATTGATCTATAGTTCGGACATTACGTACGTGTAGTATAATGATACGTATAAGGATTGTCCGAGCCGAATTTAAAAAAAAAGAGTCGGTTTCGGGCTTAGTCCAAAAAAAGGCCCCGGTTTCTGGTATATATGCGCGCGCGTCGCCGTAGCCATGCGCGTCGGCAAAATTAAAAAGTTTTTTTCAATGTAAGGTGATGTCTCAAAACCGCCAAACTCACTGGTTCAACTGGAATCCTGCTGCTGCAAAATTTTGACGTGTTTTACATGGGGTTACGATCGAGTATAAGCTTAAAGTGGCCTCTCTGACCTCCCATATATTTTGCACAGAATAGTCGGGCACTATTTGCAGTCGGTGTTGTATTTTTGTGATTGTTTGTGTAAAAACCAGACGTGTATCTGGAACCTGTAAACGCTTTTTAATAAGCGCAATGTGTAAGGGAGCAGATTTATGACCAGCCTGGCAGCACATCGCACGCACGATGTCGATGGTCTGACGTTACCGTTTTCTCTGATTTTTGTCTTGACCGTCCAAATTTCCCGAAGAATGTTCGTGTCGGTCGAGATCGTAAGTGGGTGCAGAATTTTCAAGCCTAATTGACCTTACTGAGGTCACCTCAAGCTCCACCCTGAAGGATATTTTTGAGAGTTTTATGGGGATCGAAGCATCTGCAACATTAGACCCCACGAGTCTACTGCAACACCAGCCGACATTTGAAGAAAGACATTTTGGGCCTATTTATTTGTGTGCACCCATAGGTTACAGTTTGTGAAGTTCTAGTACTTACCTCGTTGTGGATTTGCGCCACCAAGCACCGCCGGCAGGACAAGCAAGATGACAAGAAACCTCATTGTGACGGAGTTCCTCTCTTTAAGCGGTGCCATCAGACAACACAAAGAACTGACAACTCCCACACAAAAACAGCGTTTTTCTAGCTTTTCAACCGAAAGCCGACCGCGAGTGTCGGGTCCGGACTGGAGTAATGCACAAACACCAAGTTGCTTCCTGAGTTTCTCCCTTCCGTACCCTAGACAGCAACTGACTGTTGAGCGCAGTGGCTGTCTGGTATAAAGCTGGCTCTGCAAAGTTCCAGGGTATCGAAGTTAATCCCTGGTACCTGTTTTATTTGAACACCAGCTTATCGTCAGTTCCGCTTATCTGGCGTACGTGACCCCGTGCGGATGATTCTGTGCGATAATTAGCTGCTTACTGTCAAAAAACTTTTGTATGCATGTATAGTTGTTTCATAGAGCAAGGGTCGCAAAGGGTGTAGGTTAACACTAAAAAGGTACGATAGTCTAGGCGATATTCAAAAAATGTTACATGAAGAGGCCTTTTTTAGTAGAAGTTGGTAACATAGCTATTTTACCTAATTTTGTGGTGCTGAATCCGAAAATGATGGATACCAAGCTGGAATTTATTGGAAATATGCCTAGGGACCATTGGAAATTATTCAAGTATACCTAAGTCGTAGGCTAATATGGAAAAAGTGGTCGATAACACTATGCATATTCCTGCAGGAATATGGGCAATGGCGAACTCATGTCCAAATTTTGAAATGTAGAAATGTAAGCCTTGTGAAAACAATAACCACACAAAATGTTCTTGGCAGCATTTACTCGGAGCCACATACACGTCTCCGGTAATCTTAGTACATGCTGCCCCGGACGAAGCGTATGCAGTCCCTTGTAGGAATTTGACTTTTCTTCATTATAGAATTAGAGGTGAGAGCATAACTTTTAGCCACAAGTGTCTGAACAAAATGAAAATGTCATAGTGAATTAATCAACTGTTCACTCGTTGATCTTGTTCTATAGGCCGAAATGTACTTGAAATTCAGGGAAGCCTTCGCATCATCTTAAAAGTTAAAGTTTACTTTTAGTGGAACGAGTGGCTTAATAAGGAGCATAAACGTTGGTCGGCAATATTGAGGACAAATGATTTCTACGAAAGGAATTAATGTCCGATTCTGCGGCTTTTCCATGAAATGTTTTCCAGTCTTTTCGCCATGGCCTGCCTGATTCGGGGCTAGACTGTATGGAACCACAATGACCTTTGTAGTCGAGGGCCCATAGGGCAAACGTGACAAGCGAATTGTATGCAAAAGAGATACTTTATAGAGTAAACATGATCTAGGTCACCTCAAGTGTAAAACAAACAACAAACAGACGTTTAGGTCTAATATGTACACTTCGGCAAAATGATATTCGTTCCCCATCAGGTGTCCAGTTGGACCGTTGCAAGCTCTAATACCCCAAATATCTCGGTTTTCCAGCTGACTTTCCGGAGTTTCAAATGTACCGCCACCTTATGGACCGAAGATGTTCTTGTTTGCGAAATACCTTTAAACTTTGTTATACCTCGATACACACTGAGTTTTTACACGAACTCTGTCTTTACGTCAGCTTGTTCTTTGAATACCTTTTTTGTTCATAAGTTGTTAATATGTGTTAGAATAACTTCGTGTGTCCGTGCAATTGACCTATCGACGTTTGCGAATTAGCCACGCCCCTTAGACAACCCTATGGAGTTTTTGTACACTAAGTTTGGTTTGTCTCAGATTTTGCGCGTTCTGCGTCCAGTTGTATATCATGTAATTGCAGGGACAATATTTCACAAGCTGCGTTGACGCGATTCTAACGCGATTCTACCGCGATAGGTCAATTTATCTCAGCTGCAATATTTTAGCACATACAGCTTGCACAAAATCTTTGGGGGAAAAACAGACCAAATGTGTGTCTGTGAGCTTTGAACTGAACAGCTGATTGTTACGATCAATAAGCAATCTTATCTATGTACTTAAGGATTATATGGCTGATAAAAGAGTACATCGGGCTAGACTGTCGATAGAGGTTCGTGAGCTTTACACTTCGCTGGCAGATTGTTATGATCACGTAAACAACTTGTTGAACTGGTGAACGGGTACAAATCTGTCAAACAACAAAGATAATTATATATTTTTTTGGAGAAATAGGGCCGTGTCAATCCCTGTAGATTGCATCATTACATCAGCAGGCCCTTTAGATCAGAAGAATGAAAGCCACCGTGAATTATGTATGTGCGCTTTCTCTTGCACCTATATTGGCATGCGCATACTCGGGTATAAAGGGGTTTACATAATTGTGGATTTATATGTTTGTAAATTCATGATTAATTAGGGAACCAGATCCCATATAAACCATTACATTTCGCCTGATATCCGCCATTCATCAAGATAGTAATTTCTCAAAAATATAATATCTGCGTATGATTGATTGTGTTATGACAATTCAATACAAGCTGATTGCAGGTGTTGAGTTTTCGAGTTTTGACGACGGAAATGTGAGCCCCGAAATTCCTTCGGCATATTTATTACACGACAGTTTTCAAGGTGGAATTGTGTGCACTTTCATTTTTTACTTTTAAGTGGTATATTCAACAACTACAAGCTCGTTTTCAAGACGCAAGATTACCAATCCCAAATCTTTTGTAAAGACTGTCCTTTTGTATTAAAGTGCCTTTTTTTTCACCAGCGTTCTCCCCCCCCCAAATATTTATAGAGTGCCTTTTTTTTTTTATAACAAGTGCCCTTTAAGCGCACAAAAAATAATAATAAGATAGGGAGACTTTTGTATTCTTTGAAACTTACGGAACACACTGTACGTGTTCTCTTAATACGGAAAATGAGGTCCCTTCACGTGTCCCCCCCTCCCCTGCAAATGGGACACCCGCAATATGCTACTGCGCATGGGATGTGTCCATATGCCTGTGCAAACTCAACTTGCGACGTCAACATATACTTGTGCCTGGACATTTCAGATGGGTACAAGAGATATCTTGGTCTGTGATGGTCAACAAAAATCAGCCGACAAAAGGAATTAGGCCTATCTCTCCAACTAATCGTATATCTGATAACAGGCTCACGTACGTTTCCAGGGAAGCAAGCGGAAGTGCATATCGACCTTCCAGGGGTTGTATTTGATTGTGTAAAGAGACAGACTGTACTACCAGGGCAGGCACGTACCGGTACACCACAACCACACCCACGACACGAGCACTTAACATGGACAAGCAAGGAACCGTTGATATTGGCCCATGCACTTGTGGTGTATTGTAGATATATCTGTCCTTTCACTTTGTCTGAATTGAGTCTTTTACACACATAAGTATCATTCCGGGGTCCTTTTGTTTGAGGGAGGATCCACGCGAAAAGTGGGTCGGGTGCCAAAAGCAAGCTGGTTGTAGAGAACGTCTTAAGGTATCCTGCCATCATCCATGCGGTGCGTATGATGACCAAGTCATCGCAGGCGTCGCTGACCAAGGAGGACGTACATGCTGGGGATGTTTGCCTCTTCAAGGACCTTGTGGCTTGGATGCAAGGTCTTGCCATGCACGTGATGCCAAGGATACGTCAAAGGCAGAGCAGGTGAAGCCTGCTGGGTGTAAATTGTCCATGTCTCACTGCCATCTGAGTTCTGATTCTGTTGGTACTTCGTCCAGTTCTTCAAGGACAGGTAGGGATCAGTGGCATTCAGTGCAGTACTGGTGACAGTGGTCTGCCTGGAACAGAGTCCAAACTAATGCTCCACCCAGCAGTCCATTTGCAGTTGTTTTTTTGTCCGTAATGGTTTCCCAAGATTTAGACTTGAGCAGGGCAGTTCTCTTGATGCATGAGCCGAGCGCCAGGGCTTTCTTGATACCATCATACACTCCCCTGATGTTTCCGGTTGTTGCCAGTACATTGTAGTGGTTTGGGACTGCAAGTGTTTTTACTGGGATGTTCTTGTACATTTCAAAAGTACAGTTCGTTTTACAGGATATAACTGGTTCCATCACCTCTAAATGGGCTACAAACCAGTCTGCATAATGTTGTCTTTCACATTTGCCAACGACTACCATTGCCGTGTTGTAGATGGAATCTTTAATGCGGCTCCATTTGGTCGCAGCGTCCCCTTCAGGTGTGCTGTCACTGGAGGGCTTTGTCAAGCAAACTCCTGTTGCGAGGATGACTTTTTCGGCTTGGAGTGATGATGGACCTTCTTAACCCGTAGTTTGACCTTACAGTCCTTACTGCATACTGGTGGTCAGAGTCGCAGTCTGTGTTGTAGTAGCTGCGTGTGATAAGAACGCTGTTGATGGAGGTTTGTTTTTATAGTGTTGACGAGGTCAAACAGGCGCCACAGTGCTTAGATCGTGAGTGACGCCATTGTGGCAGGGTTTTTGTGCGAAAGAAGGTGTTGCTGATGCACAGATCATGATAAGCGCACAGTTCCAGTAGTCGCTGTTTCTTTCTCATTCCTTTTCAGGTAACTTTATACTAGTAATTTTTTTTTTTGGGGGGTAGGTCAATATTGCTATTACATGTAGCCTATACCTGCAATGCTTTGTGACGCCTGCGTTTCCTTCACAATATTTTGCGGAGCGGTCAGGGCCGGGCGTCATGGATAGGGGACTGCATGGGTCAAGCGAAATCAACTGAGACGCCTCTTTTATGAGCAGGCGCAATTCAACTTTAGAGGTGAGCCACCTCTCCCTTGCAAAAAAGACCTAAATTAGGCTTTTTAGAGAAAGCCCTATTTCGGGTAGTTTCTACGAAGTCACAACGGTTGGAAAGATCGTTTATCAAAGTAGAATGCGATCTTGAAAATGTGCTGTTTTTGTGTAATTACAGCTCGACGGAATTTCAGTGTAGAGCTGTAGGAGCTCAAGTAGCCATTCCAGCCACACATTATATGTGACGTTTCTTTTCAAAACGTTCCTCTGACGCTAGGTGTATGACAATCATCTGAAGCTAGCGTGGGACCTGATATCTCACAATGACTTGTTACGTACAGATGCGGCACCAGTCTTTTGTTGACACTTTGGTTCAAAATTCGATGCTTGAAGAAATTATGCCTGTAGACAAGGCCAAAAGTGCTGCCACGTCAAAAGTAAACAAACGCCGGGGTTTTAAACATTTTCTTAGATTTTCTGTGGCCCATACACCTTTGAAATGAGGCAAGCAAACAATCGAAACAACAAAACTATTGCGAAATAGGTAATGTACACCTAAACCATGCAGTAGCTAGGGTTTCAGTTCCTCCCAAAACAAGTGCTAGTCCTTGGTAAACTGATACCTTAACCCATAAATCACAAGGGAATTCTCATGTGCAGCTGCAAAGCTAAACGTTTTATTGAGATATAATTTAGATAAACTGCTATCATCAATAGCCTCTATTTGTCTTACGTTAGTTAAATAAATCTTCTAAAGAAAACTATGTTAAAAGACTTCTTTTTTTTCAAATTACAAAAATGATCGAACTCTCCACATCATATTTTAAAAGCCTCAAGAAATACACACAGGCTACAGTAAACAGTGACTTGTGAATAAATTGAACTTAAGAACACTGCACTGGACATCGAATTTCTCTGAAGAAAACACACTGGACAATACGCATTGTTTCATAATTTCTGAACTGAGTGGACCTATACTTATTAAACTGGTTGAATTCCTGAGCTGTGGGGGTTTCTTAATTAAAGCGCCCTCTGTTGACTTCACTCGGGTTTCAGTTTACAGTATTAGACTGTTTGCCGGCCCCTAAAAATATGGGACCGGTAGATAGCTCCCATTTATAGCCACTGATTGGATAACCTCTGCGCGCGCGCAGCACGATTGTTTATTTTTGAATCACTTCTCAGCGTTGTGCATGGACGATACTTTAACACATGGTATCAAAAAACTGACTTTTGTCTTACCACAAAAAGTAGGCGAAATCGCCAGTGTCTCTATGAAGGCAACTTTCAAGCATTTCAACTGCATAGGTTTTAAAATACTGAACAGTAGACCCCTAATGCCTCTCTCTATATTGATATTTGCCAGAGACACTTTTGACATCAGCAAAAATTGAAGCTCATCACCTCCGAAATTGCACATTCGTGGCCCATGGCCATTTTGCAATAGACTGGTTGCGCGCAAACGTTACTGTTCTGATTTTGAATTCATATCAGGGAGGCCGAATTCAGACCTATAGGCCTACACGTGATGCATATAACTTGCATACATTTGGAGGAAAGCAAAGCCTCCTTATGCATTCTGGATTCACTGCTAGCTACCTGTCACCAATATTTGAAGTCCGAAGGACAATGGGACAGGGAACCAGACTATAACAGCATGACTCTCGAATATAAAGCAATACATAGAAATTATTAACTCTTTGCGGCCATCTCTACTCACTGATTATTTACAACGGCAAGATAATAGGATTATTTACCAAAATAGGAACAATTTAAAATATGATTACATACCGTACGCACAAAAATGACGAATTCAGCCTCTCACTGGTGAATGGAGAAGGGCATCCTAGGATTGGCATGAACAAACAATATAGGACTTTGGCACATAAACATGATCATAAAATACGGTATGCTACCTGACAAAAATGTAATGATATTGCACAACAAAAATCTGACTATTATGAAAATATAGGTTTTCCCGACCAATTTTGCAACTTGTTCAATCAATCGGACAAAATGTGCATTCCATTTCATGAAGTTTATAAGGAAGTCGGTCAGATTGTCAGGTTCTAAATTGCAGTTATAATATTTGATCTCCTTTTTTTTTTAGTGTTTTCAAAGTAGTGTACGTTCAACTTTTTGTGTGTGTTTCAATTCGTTTATTGATTTTCAACTTTCGCTAAATTGAACCGAGTGTGCGAATTTGAATAAACATTATGTTTGATTGAACGAAAAAGTTGTAAAATTGGACTGGAAAACTTACAGCTAATATGATAATTTCATCTAGCTGAAATCCTCTGCGTAGGCATGAACTAATGCCTTCATTGAATAAATCAAACCGACAACCCCACCTAAGACCCCTACTCCTATAATGAGATAATTTATGACAACCTCCCAGCATTTAAGCGAGTTCCTCCTTAACTTCAGGTAGAATAAACAGGGGAAGATAAAATCAAGCCAGGGGCTGGTCAGGCTTCCAGTAACGCCCATCAGCAGCGTGAAGTGTGGTATGATCACGGCCAGCAACAACGTGAAGAGGACCAAGAGCGCGCGAAATATCATGGCCCAGACCGGCGGCATGCGATCGGGGTTCGGCCCGCTGCAAGGCGGTAAACAGGACAGCTTCATGGAATCTACGGAGTTGACGATCAGAAACAACATCAAGGGATAGGATAGGAGGGACTTGATGACAAACAGCATACTGACCGCTGCCTGGAGCGGTCCCAAGGGCATGTTGTACGTGATGAACTCCTTGGTCTCCATACCGAACGAGAGGTAGGCGAAGAGCGCGTAGGCGATATTCAACACGCCGGTGATCAGGTAGGTGCAGTTGACCATGCGATTGAAACGGGATCGGTTCTTCATGCTATCCTCCACTCCAGGCATGATGAACTGGGTGCCAAAGTTGAACAGGATGATGGAGGCGCTGACCGAGTATGTCTGGAGATTGAAGGCGGGTACACTTTTGATATCCCACACTATGCTCTTGCCGAGGCTATACCACACCACGCTAAAGAACATGATGATGAGGGACAGCACCGCGATGCAGCTCAGCCACGAGATCTTGGTCAGGTTCCTGAAGAAAATGGTCGGCAGTAAAAACACCGCGCACAGGACGGTCCACGTGAGTTTCGAAAGTCCCGCCAGGGAGAATGTGTCCACGAGGAGCGAGCCCGCCAACTCCAGGTAGAGCGCCGCCACGGCTATGACGTCAACAATTTGCATAACGTTCAAGACGGTGCCGCCAGATTTATAACAGGCGTCTGCTACGTCCGCATACGTGTTGCGCACGCGCACCAGGTAGGGTTTGCCGTCAGACTCCAGGTTCAGACGATCTTCATAGAGACAGTACACTAAAACCTGAGATGAGAGACAAAATATTATGTTCACAAAGCAATAAAGAAGTTTACTTTTAACTTCACGGTACTCATACACAAATGCATGCATGAGCTGGTCTCAACCGGCATTATGGCAGTAAAGTCGGAATAATGCCGGCTTTTTCACGAACCATAATCTTCAAAACGATAACCACTCGGAGTTATTTCAAACGCAACATACATGACGTCCGCTACCTTTAAGCGTTCACGATAGGCTCCCATTTACGTAGTGACAAAATTCCATATTCCTTGCTCTATGCCTATACAATTGGTCCCAACTGAAGTTGGGACCGTCCGAACTTAAGTGTTCCAGGTTGGTCGGCCCAACCTTAGTTGTCCTGGACTCAGCATGCTTTTCACAAATTATCAAAAAACGTGTCTCTTTGCCATTTTATCCAAGATGAAAAAAACCAAAAAAGTAACTAAATCCAAGTTGGTTACTCTGGTACTTTGAAGCACATGTGATGACCGACGTGTACGTATGGCATGGTTTGCAAAATGCGCGTCCTCCAAGGAGCCATCCGAAGTAGCAGAGTCCTAACTATAGGCCTAGTTTGGAATAGTCCAACTGCACCACTTCAGTTGGGACGGTCATAACTTAAGTTGGGACCGGCGGTACAGTTGGGGCGTAACATCGGCGTTAAATCACAGGCTTCCTCTGATAAAATACATTATCGAGAAAATAGGTGTCTTAAATTTCAATACCTTACTGGTGTAGTTTCCGATGATAAGCACCACGGCCATTGTAATGAGAGCAGCTAGCCCGCCCTCTCTCACCATGTACGGCAAGCTCAGCATGCCGATGCCTTGCATACAGTTGCCCACGTTCCAACCTGCCTGCCAAACCGAACTCGTCCCTGAAAAGTCCAAAAAAGGTCGAAAGTGCTAAATGTTAGACTTTTATTGCAAATAAATGCTGAAAACATACTGGATAAACTCGTCTAGGATTTTAAACTTTACCAGCCAACCGGTTCTACATTGAAGGCGTTATATTGTGCTTGGCCGGTTTTAAACAAGTCCGTTTAAGACCGACTGGGGGAATGGACGCTGATAATAGCCCGAGCCAAAGGCGAGGGATATTATTGGCGACCAGGCCCCCAGCCGGTCTTAAACAGACTTGTTTAATACCGGCTAAGTACATATTTACTCCCATTCATAAATACTTTTTTCAGTCAAAGAATCGAAACAAGCCAAACAAAATATACATTTCAACGATACTATTCAACAATTTACTTCATGTTTTAAACACCCCTCTAACCATGTTATGGTATGCGCCTCTCGCGAGCAGTCGTAAACAACTCCTTATATGGAAATTGGCGCGCACGTGGCACGTACTGGGCGATGTGACTCATTGGTAGTATTGTGCATGCGTTAGTGTGGATTGTGAACGTTCAACCAATAAAAGGGTAAACGGGACCAGATCCCATGGGATCCAAATTGTATGTGACACTGGAAAAGTCTTTAAGACCAGCCAGCCGGTGTTTCATTAAACGTTTAAGACCGGCCACGTGACGGGCTCTCGACCAATAGGAATGGGTTTGGTCTTAGGTATTGATGAATATCATTTAAAATATATTCTTTGAAGAATCAACAGTCACTTTATATTAAACGTGAAGCTCACGTGATTCAATTGACACTACTTTTTACGCTAATCATCTTTGTATACTGCACAGGGCTGTAACATACTTTGGGCTGTGAGAACTGTGTAACATTATTGAGAATTGCTCGAGTTTTAAAACTCACCGTGGCTTTCCCTATTCATTGAAGGGTTTATCAGAAATTATTCACGTCAGAGATAAGCTTGCTAATATTAAACTGACCATGTGATGTGCATCTGAATCCCCTAATCTACTGTTCAGTTAGCCAAACCAAGCGTGTAAGTTTTCCACCACCAACCATGCGAGCGAAGTTAAGTTCATATTCTTTAAGTTTGAGGAGTCAGGTACCTGGTTGGCGCAGCAGTTCTTTCCTCGCCTTCCACCGCTGTGCCCGGGTTCGATTCCTGCCCTAGTCACATGTGGATTGAATTTTCAGTCCCTACCTGATTCCGTGGGTTTCCCCAATCTTCTGAGATTTTCCTTCCACCTCTAAAACTCATTGTCCTCTCTCTATACACAGGTTTCTTCAGGCTCGCGAGCTACAGTGCCTATTTTGAGGAATCCTTGGTTTCATTACCAGAAATCAATAATAAAAATAATAATCTCTATATTTCCAAAGTAAAAAATTTCTCTATGGCCTATTCGAGGAGAATTCGGTCCATTCGATTAAAAGTAGGGACACGCCTATTTACGGTGAAATTATTTCAATTAAATTGTATAAGGGCCTATATGTAGATTAAGTTATCATCGAGTTTTCACAAGACTGGCTCTTTTCAAAGCATTTCAGTTTTACATTAGAGTCATTTTTACTCTAAATATCTGGTCATCCCTATAGTTTCATTCTTTAAGAAAAAGAGAAAATCTGATGTACCTCCGCTTTGCATATCTTGACTCGGTGGCACCCCATCGCTCTTCGCTTCCACCAGTGTGATGTGGCCGTTCGGCTGTAGACTCCCAAGAGTAGTCTCGCTGGCCGCGGAGTTACACAGCTCTATGTCCTCCCCTTTGGTCTCGTAGATGGGCACTCCGTAGCGCAGAATGGAGCTCCGGAGCTGGCTACCGAGGGAGCGGAGGTGGTCCATGGCGGAGGCGGAGGGGAGGTGAGGGGCTTGTGATGGGGGCTGAGAGAGCTTGGATGCCCGAAGATGCCTGCTGGGCCTTGGAGGAGACTATCAGGCAAGACGCTTACAACAGCTAAGGAAACACACTCCTTGACTTTAAAGATGATTACCGGTCCTGTGAAGGGCTGGTCAAACTGTGGGGTAACGATTATGAATAGAAGTAACATAAGAAATGGTTCAATTAAACGTATTATAGGCTACTGTCTGTACTTCTAATAAGCCTGACTGGGCACATCTCACGGCTACCGTGGCACTTTCATTTTTAGGCACTGCTATTCGACGATCTACGGAGCTTTTAAAGGGACATAGGTGAAAAAATAAAATTGAAAAAATCATCGTAAGAATGAAAAAAATCTGCGTTCGAACGAAAAAAATCTGCGTTCGAACGAAAAAAATCTGCGTTCGAACGAAAAAAATCTGCGTTCGAACGAAAAAAATCTGCGTTCGAACGAAAAAAATCTGCGTTCGAACGAAAAAAATCTGCGTTCGAACGAAAAAAATCTGCGTTCGAACGAAAAAAATCTGCGTTCGAACGAAAAAAATCTGCGTTCGAACGAAAAAAAATCTGCGTTCGAACGAAAAAAATCTGCGTTCGAACGAAAAAAATCTGCGTTCGAACGAAAAAAATCTGCGTTCGAACGAAAAAAATCTGCGTTCGAACGAAAAAAAAATCTGCGTTCGAACGAAAAAGCTGTTTCCTGTTTGCTGTAAGCTGTTTGCCCTCCCTGTGCTGCCCACCACTTATGTGGGTGATTTTTGTGGGTCAAAACATTCTTTGCCCTGAAAACTGTTGTACCAAACATGTAAAACGTATCAATCATGATGTGACTCATATCATGCTCTTGTAAATGCAACAGTTTCTCCACATTTAACTGGTTATCCATGGGCCACCAAAAAAACATGTCGGGCTAGCCATGGCTATCAGAATAGCCCGACATGTTTGTCAATTGCTATGAGTATGAGTAGGAATCAGCTAATTAGTGAATCCCGTATCTGAAAGTGAGGAAGCAGAAAGTACATGTACATGTACAAGTGTTAGACTAGTAAAATAGGCTTATTGAAAGCCAGAAATGATCAAACAATATATACATGTCAGTCGCTTCTAAAGTTTGGAACTATTACAAGGATTAGGAATGAACATTTATACTGTAAAGGATTTGTGGATAGACAAATTTTTGAAAATCACAATGACGACCAGTTATATTTTTTTATCTGAAAAACTTGAAAGATAATTATATAGCCTTTTTTAATTATTTTTTTGAACTTGCCTCACTTTATAAAAAGAAACCAAAAAGGCAAATTACTTTATAAAATGTCTCATAAGTGTGTTGCCTCAGCATAGCATAATGGGTGGGACTGATGGGGTGGGGGGGGGGGTTGTACCTAGTATTGTAACAGGATAGGGACTCTTAAAAAAAGAAGGACAATTAGCTAGAACTTCATTGCAATGGTCAAACGTCATGACCAACTAACAGCAAGCCCTAGTAAGACCGTTTGAAAGCTCATAGACTGCTTTAAGACCAGTTATTGAAATTCCTGTACTTGGGCCACGGACCTATATTGGGCACATATGTCATGCATGTTGGACCTGAAAAAACATGACCAAATCACCCACATAAGTGGTGGGGCAGCACAGGGAGGGCAAACAGCTTACAGCAAACAGCAAACAGCTTTTTCGTTCGAACGCAGATTTTTTTCGTTCGAACGCAGATTTTTTTCGTTCGAACGCAGATTTTTTTCGTTCGAACGCAGATTTTTTTTCGTTCGAACGCAGATTTTTTTCGTTCGAACGCAGATTTTTTTTCGTTCGAACGCAGATTTTTTTCGTTCGAACGCAGATTTTTTTCGTTCGAACGCAGATTTTTTTCGTTCGAACGCAGATTTTTTTCGTTCGAACGCAGATTTTTTTCGTTCGAACGCAGATTTTTTTCGTTCGAACGCAGATTTTTTTCGTTCGAACGCAGATTTTTTTCGTTCGAACGCAGATTTTTTTCGTTCGAACGCAGATTTTTTTCGTTCGAACGCAGATTTTTTTCGTTCGAACGCAGATTTTTTTCGTTCGAACGCAGATTTTTTTCGTTCGAACGCAGATTTTTTTCATTCTTACGATGATTTTTTCAATTTTTTTTTTTCACCTATGTCCCTTTAAAAGCTCCGTAACGATCCGATTTAGTTGTAGTACATTAAAATCCACAAGCATTACGAGCCAATGTTGATGCAGTATATAAAAATATTGCCAGATTGGCGTGCAAAGAAGTTTTAATATACAGAAAGACGGCCGTCTTGCATGGGATGTCAGTACAAGTGTTGTTTTAAATACAACTAAATTTATTTAATAAATGTTAAGGTTAATTGGAAGGCAATGTATCATCACTCATTCCGGCCGTGTAGCCCGTAGCCTTTACAAACAAAACAGTATCATCCAATATCCACTATAATTACATCTCGAAAACAGACAAGAGCATTTCTCAACGTGAATCCCATGATCATGCGTGGCCTACTTTCCAGCTGAAATGCTGAATAGACACCAACGCGTATAGTCTCCTCTCCAGAGGCATCAGCAGCGTAAATGGAGTGTGAAAACATCTCTCTCGTTGTCAGGTTACGGGAGGACATGTAGGCAGCCAGCTGTGCATTATTAAGAACCCACCAAGACGCCTGGTATCGACGCAGGCCATCGTGAATGATGAATTTAATATGGATCCCTACCCTGGTGGAAACAACGAATTTCACATTTATTTATTCATGAAGGACACTTGGTTTGCTTTTCAGCAAAGATCATGGGAGCAGAAAAACATGGAGACATAATTTCTCAATTTATGAGGCAGGAGTCGGTTCTTGTGTAGATGAATCCAAACAAAATATTAGCATTCACTTAAAATCTAACTTAAAAACCTCAACACCACCCCCTTTTTTGTTTGTTAAAATGCGAGCATTTTGTCGCAACATGATGTATGTTTTGCTATTCGACCATATAGCATTACCAACGGAGCGTAAACACCAAAGGAGCAATGAATGAATTCTATACTACACTTTGCTTAAACATCAATGTCCGTGTGCCTTATTAAAACTATGGGTCGCCCTTTTTAATTGAATTTTTTTAAAGTGCACCTTCCCCGACGATCAATATTCTTTCCCAGCACCTGGGGTATAGCTGTTGCTGTGATTTCACTCTAGGCATGATATGGATTACCATTTTCTGTACAAATTGTGAATCTAAATCTAAACAACGTTACTTTCTTCGTAAAGTTTGCCCAGGCACCAAATGTATACCCAGCACGATATGTGACAGAGGGGTTCCCCCACCCAACGGAATCAGGGACGGTCTGAAAACCCTATTCAAATATTGGCCCAGGCGGGATTCGAACCCGGGTCACAGCGGTGGAAGGCGAGGAAAGTACCGCTACGCCCTGACTCCCTCCAACCTGGCTTTATCAGCATTTTAAAGAATGAAGGTTAAAAGACCAAATCGTCGTTTTGCTTATGAATATATTAGATGTGAATAAGTATTAAAAACAAATACATATTGCATGCCCTTTATTAGGTTATGAGCCAACGAAGATCTCTTCAAGGCAAAAGGCAATGTTGCTAGCCGCGCGCTTTGCGTCCCAATAGCATTCTGGAATCATTGAAACAAAACAAAGGCAGCCCCAAAAGATTGCCTTTCTCGCGGCATCGAAAATAAATGATGTTTTCCGAAGATTTTGTTTTCTACTGGTAAATCAAATCTCGCATGAAAAGTGTCAGATGTTTTATTTACACAAGTGTGGGGCAGTATACCCTGAATGAAAAGCCCATGCATAAAGGTAACTCCAGGCCAAGTGAAAATAATACTATTGTATAAAGTACTCTTCATATTTATGAAAAGCACACAAACGGCTGATAAAATAACAAACAGAGCCAGGCAAGGAATCCCGTGAGGGTGGGGAATGAACTTCTACAAAAGAAACAAAACACCAGCTACAAGGAATTGACGGGAAAATATCTGCCATTTTCCTGTCAAAATTAATGGAAGACGCTCTTATCGAAAAGTACGGTTAAAATAGGTTTGCACGTGCATCAAAATTGCTCAATTCAATGAAAAGGTCCATCTGTTGAATTAACCAAGGTACAGCATTGACGTATGGAAAGTTACCTGTGCTATCATCATATTTTGAATAGTTTATGTTGCTGCTTTTATGGGGAAAGAAACATGTTTGTGTCACAAGTCGTGTGTACAGTCTACTGTTTGTGAGCGTTTCTTAGCGCGAAAGGTTGTCGAAAGAGTGAACAATTGCTCTTTCTGGCTGGAACCAGGGTAAAGACGTTTAGGGATAAATATATTTACTTAATTCGGGTAGGGCCTACATCGAGTTTCCATTGAAGTTATATACAGTGGCGCATGCAGGAATGTGCAGACGCAAAATTTAGAAAGCTTTTAATTTATTATTAACTCTTCCGAGGCACCACGCCCCCGTCCAATACTCAAGTGAAGTTATGTCTTTTTTTTCAATTTGCAAACAAGCATTGAAATAACATCTTAAACTAAAAAGTTCTTAGAGGTCGCAAACCTCCGCCAAGGCTGAACAATTCCCCGCCATATTGCCAGTACACCCAAAAGTGTGCATATTCACTGGACTATTTTATAGCACATTGAAAATGTCAACAGGATTGCTCATATTCTAAATTTATCGAAACATAGCAATGTTGGCCGCTAAGACAGTGTTAGTTGTTCAATAAAACAAATTCTTAAACTCAAACATTATATAGTCTGCATGTATATGCCTGTATCGGTATACCTCTCCACTCCCCCATTGTATAAAATGTTCTAGTCTATTGACCTGTGTGGTTAGATTACGTGGGTGATAAGGCATACAGGGTCACTGGTTTTGTACACAGAGGTTCATGGTCTAAAATGGCGAAGATTCCTTGATCCTGTACCAAGGACCACGCCTAAAAACTATTTCATGAAAATCCGTCCATAAGTTTTGGAGTTATCCTGTTCACAGACAAACAAACCAACCAACCAACAAACCAACACCGATGAAAACATTACCTCCCATTACGGAGGTAATAATTCATTTTATTCACTACACGCAGGTAGACCAAGGCATATTGGTTATTTTTCTCTTATACTATAAACATTTATGCTGTG